GTACTAGTAAAGAAGAAAGACGGTACCACCAGGTTCTGTGTTGATTATCGGCAGCTCAATAATGTTACCAAGAAGGATAGTTATCCCCTGCCGAGGATAGACGATACTCTAGACACGTTGGCGGGATCGACAATATTCTCTACCTTGGATCTGAAGACTGGATATTGGCAAGTCGACATGGCGCCTAAAGACAGGGAGAAGACAGCGTTCTCGGTGGGCTCCGGACTGTGGCAATTTACCGTCATGCCTTTTGGATTGTGCAACGCGCCAGCTACCTTAGAAAGACTAATGGAGTCTGTGTTAAAGGGACTATCCTGGACCACCTGTTTAGTGTACCTGGATGACATTATAGTGATGGGGAAATCCTTCGACGATCATCTGAAGAATTTGGAAGAAGTTTTCAAGCGACTTGCGAGCTCTGGTTTGAAACTTAGCCCCAAGAAATGTCATCTGTGTCAAGAAAAGGTACACTACTTGGGCCATGTAGTCTCCTCCCAAGGAGTTGCGGTAGATCCACAGAAGACCAAGACAGTGGAAGAGTGACCGATACCCAAAGACAAACATGAACTCAGAAGCTTTTTGGGGCTATGCACATATTATCGCCGTTATGTACAGGGTTTCACCACCATCGCAAAACCATTGACCAGACTTACCGAAGGCGAGAGGCGTTTCTCTTGGGACTCAGATTCTGACGAGGCATTCCGAAGATAGAAGAAAGCCCTGACTAGTGCGCCTGTACTTAGCTATCCTCTTGGCAACGGAAACTTTATATTAGATACCGACGCTAGCAATGTTGGATAGGCGCTGTTCTGTCTCAGATCCAGGATGGTCAAGAAAAAGTCATTGGTTATTTTAGTAAGACCTTGTCAAAACCGGAAAGGAACTACTGTGTAACCAGACGAGAATTACTAGCAGTAGTTAAAGCAGTGGAACACTTCTACAAGTATCTCTATGGAAGAAAGTTCTTGTTAAGAACAGACCATGCTGCTTTGAAATGGCTGTTGCAGTTTAAGAATCCTGAAGGGCAGGTAGCTAGATGGATTGAACGATTACAAGAATTTGACTTCGACACAGAACATCGAGCTGGGGCAATCCATCGAAATGCCGACGCACTTTCCAGAAGACCTTGCGCTAAGGACTGTAAGCATTGTTCCCGAGCAGAAGAGAAAGAAGTGAAACTCCTAAGAACAACTGTGGTTAATGATAGTTGGCAACCCGAAGATCTTGCAAATGACCAAACCAGTGACCCAGAATTAGGTTTAGTAATTAACTGGAAAAACACAGGCCAAAGACCAACGTGGGAAGAAGTTTGCAGATATTCGCCGAACGTAAAGTCGTACTGGGCCCAGTGGAATTCCTTGGTAATAGATAACGGACTACTTCGCCGTGTGATCGAGAGACCGGAGGGACAAGAAGAGAGAAGGCAGATCGTCATTCCAAAGAAGAGGGTCCCAGAAGTCTTAGAGGAAGTTCACAATGGAACCAGCGGAGGACATCTTGGTGTTACCAAGACACTTGGCAAGCTGCGTGAACGGTTCTACTGGGTGAACTGCAAAGAAGATGTGAGGGCCTGGTGTAAGAAATGTGACATTTGCGCAGCCATTAATGGGCCACAAAAGCGTGGTAAAGCCCCTATGCGCCAGTACAATGTTGGTAGTCCCTTCGAACGAATAGCGATCGACGTGGCTGGTCCTTTCCCGGAGACGAACGATGGCAACAAATACATTGTGGTAGTAATGGATTACTTCAGCAAATGGGTCGAGGCCTACGCGTTGCCAAATCAAGAAGCGTCCACGATTGCTGATGCCCTTGTTAAAGAATGGATCTGCAGGTTTGGTGTTCCCATGGAGCTTCATTCAGATCAGGGAAGAAACTTTGAGTCCAATCTGTTCCAAGGCGTCTGTGAAGTCCTGAACATCCGCAAGACCAGGACGACTGCTCTACATCCACAATCCGATGGGATGGTTGAACGCATGAACAGAACTATCAACCGTTATCTGGCCAAAGTAGTCTCTGACCACCAAAGAGACTGGGACAAATTTCTTCACCTGTTCCTGTTGGCCTACCGTTCATCCGTCCAAGAATCTACAGGGCAAACTCCAGCCAGCATCGTTATGGGACGGGAAGTGCGCCTACCCTGTGATCTGAAATTTGGTTGCCGACCGGGAGAAGAAGTCGCCGGAGAAGATTATGTCCACACACTACGTCAAAGGATGGACGACATTCATCAGAGAGTCCGCCTAAATATTCAAAGTGCTAGTGACCGAATGAAGGAACACTACGACATTCAAGCTGAGCATGGAGGATACCAACCAGGGAAGTTGGTGTGGCTATATAACCCGCAGAGACGTCGTGGGTTATCTCCGAAGCTACAATCCTCGTGGGAAGGGCCATACGAAGTCATGGATAGAATTAATGACGTCGTATACCGTATCAGAAAATTGCCAAAAGGAAAACCGAGGGTAGTCCATTTCAACCGTTTGAGCCCCTACCAAGGCGAAATAGAAGATCGTGCTGGGACCGTGAGAACCTGCAGCTTTGATCCCCCTGATTCGGAGATGTCCTTTGACGATTTCATGGCCCGATACAACAGCAGTGAGAAGGCTCGCTATGGTGTAACCAAAGAAGATCAACGAGACCTCTTTTCCGTGCCTCCTGATTATTCGCTCGCTCATTGTGTGGCTCGAGATTTGCGGATGTCCAGAGGAATCGCTGCGACGTTCAATGAGAAGTTTGGGCGTGTCGGAGAACTACGCCGACAGGATCCAGAGGTTGGAAGCGTCTTGAGGCTAACCGACAATGCACATGGTCAAGCAAGGCACATCTTCTACCTGGTCACCAAGGAATGGTCCCCGAGTAAGCCGACTTATCTCAATCTATGGAAGACCCTGATTGAACTGAGAGAAGCCCTGCTAAACAACAACATTGCACGATTAGCCATTCCGAAGCTGGCGTGTGGACTCGATGGTTTGAGTTGGCGTACAATCCGGAACATGATTGAAGTCTTGTTCAGATTTACGGGAATCGAGATCCTCGTTTGCTGCTACAACCCAAAGCTGAGATCGGGAGAGAAAACTGTAGACTGCTATTTCTACCAGACTTCGCAATGTACCAGGGGCCAGCTTTGCAAATACCTTCATTCACCGTATACATCTCCGGGACGAGCATGTGCCTAAGAAGGGGCAGTGTTGCGAGCCGGTGTGGACTCGACCTAACCTCACAATATGGCCCGCCCTCGGATGACCTTAACATCGCATAGACACCGCAATGATTCATTCGTTCGAGAAGAATCGAGACCCACTAGAATGGACTAGTACATACGAGAACATTCGAAAACCTTCTCTATGCGCCTAACGATCTTTGGACTATTCTAGATTTCTTTTACCTGTCGGTATAAAAGCCGGCGGCAGTGGCCTAGAGAGGGCAGTTATAAATATACCAGTGCAGTTGACGCGCTAAAATTCAAAATAAATTCTTAGTTATAAATCGTTTGTAAATAGTTCTATAAGTCTTTTATCGTTATCGTTATTGTTTTTGTTAATTAGTGTTAAATAAATAGTGTTTGGTTTGGTTTGGTTTGGAAGAACTGGTTTGAATTGATAATCGAGGTCGTATATCGGTTTCGCTAGTGCTAATGGACCAGTTTGGGACTTGAAACAGTTAACTAAAAGGAACTAGTTTCAGGTAGTTTCAGTTGAGAAACGAGGTAGTATATCGTTTTAGCGACGCGGTCGCTTGGCGTTATATTATCGAGATTGAGTGCGAGTGCACTAATATAGTGCATAGACGTAAAAAAACAAGGGTGACAGTTTTCGCAGCGTTGCCGATATTTGATATATTTAATTAAAATTCAACTTAACTTTTATTATAAATTTTAAATAGGAAATCAATATTTAAAAATACAGAAAGAAAAGAATATCTAATATTTACTATTTTATATATGTAAAATAGTAAAATACGTATATAAAATAAAAACAACTTACATTCCTAGATATTAAACCTAAAGTCAAAATATATTCTTGTAATAATAAAAATTCAACGGGCCTATAAATATTTATACCCTAAATTAAACAACTAAACAAATTATAACAGAGATAGACTAAAATGTTTTGGTTTGCTCAAAGAGTTATAATACTATTTTGCTCATTAGCAAAATAGTACCGTATGATCGAATAAAAACGGCGTCAACGATGGCTATGAAATGAAGATCGCTGTCATTTTATATGTAAAATTATATAGGAAATGTCATCGATCGTCATTTCCAAGCCAACTGGACGCCGTTTTTTTTCGATCATACGGTATTATAACGTCTAATTACAAATTAACACGAAGAATCTTGGAAGGAATTGTTAACGTTTATAAATAACAATTGTTTTAATTTGTTTGCACTAAGTCTTCTTCGGCGATCGGTTAAAAAAAATCCCGCTTAATTATGATGATTGTTGTGTACTGCACCAAGTAACTCTATAGATAATAATTCGGTAGCACGAATTAGCCAAAACAAAAAAAAATTAAAGTGAATTCCTTATACGTCTTTCGAAAATTATCATGCCTATAAAAAAGGTGGTCGCCTTTATCATAACATGCGGTTCCTTTGTCGGTATGTATACATTTTTTACGCAGAGTTTTTTAATGTAAACAGAATAGGGTGAAGAGAATATCTTACGATGAAAAAAAAACGTACTGGCGATGTTGCCAAATGCAATATAATATATAATTATCTCATTTTGAAAAATACACTATTAAGAATCTAGTATCACAAATATAGTAGATAACATAATTTAAACAATTCCAAGAATTTATTTCTTTAAGTATTTAATTTAAGTTGCAGTGTATTGAAACAGCTGGAACAGTTGGAACTGGAACTGGTATAGGATAGCACATAAACCTGTCCCAAGCCAGTTCCAAAACAAACCTGTTTCAAAAATAACAGATCCTGTTCCAAAGCGTCATCACTGGTACTGAATAAGCTGTGATTATTAGTACAACATATAGAATACCTGTTATGTTAGCATCAGGTTGTAACTGACAAAGGAACGATGTTTCATTTAACCGAGCTTGACTGATACATTCGCATTGCTGATTTGCGGAATTGCAATAAGCGTAAGGGCCCATTGCTTTGCACCACTCATTGTCCATACAATTATAAGTGTACTGTAATGTAGCTGAAAATATATTATTAATAAAACAAAAGAATATAAATATTTGTAAAAAACTCAAGGATCAGCAAATACCAATCATAAAATTTACATCTCAAAAACTTTATTACAATATATTTTAACTAAAATTAAGATCTTCACCTGTCAATTATAGGATGAAAAACAAAATGTTTTTTGAGCTAAAGTTTAAAACACAATGTAAAATGGTTTAACAAAGTAAGGAGTTTAAACATATCACTTTATCATCAAGATAACTATTTTCCCGATAGTTTATTTTTCGACTCATGTCAATAGTTCTTTTTTTTGTTAGAGATATTCGCTATAGAAGGAGATACTTACAGCAATATTTTAGCACTCAATGGTCCTGATCAACACACCTATGGAATAGTAGCAGTCATTGAAAAGACATATTATTGTGTGATGGCAGTTCTGGAGTTAAAACCATTTCTGCTAGTGTAACTGCCAACAAACAATATGACTTTTCAATGTCAGTGACAATGCAAAAACAAGAAACGGTATTCCAAAGGTATGTTGATTAGACTGAAACAATGGCATGCTTTTAACGCTAAGATTATTATTAATGATTACTGTCTTCTAAAGCCAATATCTTCAACTAAGGTAAAGCTATTGAGAAGAATCAAGAAACAAACTATCGAGAAACGATGCACCTTGATGACAAAGTTATTAAATTTCTTGCTTTGCTAAACTATTCCACAGGGTGTTTCAAAATTCGCCTAAATAATAACATTTTATTTTTCCCCGTATAAGACAGATGAAGGCTTCAATTTTTTAATTTAGAAAGAAGCCAAAAATTCGAATGATTTAGCTACAAAAATTGCTGAGAAAGTCATCAAAATAACTAAAACCAAATTTATTTAACTTTAAAATACATAATTAGTTAATTACTAATTTTAAAGTGTCAGTTTTTGTCTGCCCTGTCATAACTACTATAATACTAACTTTTTGTACACTCCCTGTTAGTATAATGTTGGAACCAATAGTTCTTGCAATAGCATATGCCATCTTTTAATTTTCCAGATTTAATAGGACAATCTTTATCTTCCGAATAATGGGTATTTGAATCCGGCATGCCCAATTCAGCTATGCACTGACCATCTTGTAGAAAAAACCCTTGCTTGCATATACAAGTCGAGTTTAAGAAGTATAAGGTATTAAGGCATTCATCACATTCTTCTTTAGTCAAATTTGACAAAACTCCTAGAAATATAACAGAAAATATATCAAAACTAAATATACATATAATATTTTATGACATGTATGTAGATTCTTTCCAAATCACTATATTTTTTGTAAAGCAGAACTCAAGAACCTGGAGGACTCCATCCGTAACCTAGAATGGGATCCTACAAGTTCCTCCATAAGTCACTCCAAGAAATTTCTCAGTACCAACGATCAGTGGCGGCTCGTGAGTATATAGGAAGGTGAGGCTAAGACATGAGGTTAATAATTTTGTTTAAATACAATAATACATTTTCTCATCTATGAAGTTTTATTCTGCGACGCGTTATCCTTTTTTTAATGGTACCAAATTTTTATTTTTATTAATTTTTTGTGTACTAAACCTAATAGGTTGGTACAATATTTGAAATTTTTTTAAATACCTATTGTCTACCTTGCCTCTTATCATTAAATATTGAGAAAATTTTTGACTCCTTAATATTTATTTGTCTTTTATCAATTTCATTTTGTCTAAGGTCTTAAAAAAAGTAGTTTCAAGTATAGAAAGAATAACGTTATAAATAGGATACATTTTAAAGAAAACACTAAAATTCAACTCCTCTTCGGTACTTTAAAATAAATAAAATAAATCTTATCGACGAAGAAAAGCCTAACCTTCAAATTTCAACAATATTTGTTGCGTTGAATTTTAAAAATTGCTAAAATTCCATCTTACCCTGTGTGTAATCGAGTTAAAAATACTGTATCTAATAGCCATCAAATAATTTAAATTTAGAAACACAAACAATCTAAATAATCGCCCTAAATGTCTAAATAAAAACAAAAATATACGCTAATAAATTCACCCACGCTGTTTTCACCACAACAGGCCAACCCCCGGCACTTTAACTTCCTGAGTCATGCATACGAAATCGAGACTTTGTCGCATTTTTCAATAGTCAGATGATTTAAATTACCAATGAAAACACACCCAAGCGCCAAATATCGCGCCTCAACCCCGCCTCGACCCTGCGATCGAGAATGTCGTGCGTACCCCGTCATCGGCCGCCGCATCACCGGCGTCACATGATCTTAAATCGTCGCTGCTAATAGGTAGGCATTTCGAAATTTCCAAGCTAGAATTGTTTCGCCTCTGTGTGCCTCTGTCGAGTCGCGTTCTTTTTGGCTAGATTTACGCGGCTTATGTTGTGCCTTTACCCGGACCTGGATGTATTTATAAAATATATATTTTTTTGTTTTATTATGTTGAATGTGTTGTAGAATTGTAATAAGTTATACTGGGATTAAATAAAAAACTAGATACAAAAAAATAAATCGTTCCTTCATTTTAAAGGTGAGGCGCGGCCTCAAGAGGCCTACCCTAACGAGCCGCCACTGCTAACAATTGAGAAAAATCAAAAATTTAACTAAGAACAATCTTGGGATTGTCACGGGGTTTTTAACAGGGCACTGTCTCCTCAGCACCTCTGTAGATTAGGAAACAACGACAAATGCAGATTCTGTGGAGAAAAGTGGGGAAACACCTCATCACTAAGTGCGCTGAGACGACATTCGTGCTCTAAACTTTGGTACGACTGATATCGGAGATAGAGAACTAACCTCTGTAAAATTGTAAAACCGTCTCAGATATTGACTTTTGTTATACAGTTATATCCACTATTATACAGCTATTAACTTATGTAATTTTCAAAGGCCTGGTATCGTAAAATTACGTACCTTTTTCACATGTGGTGTCGCTTGTTTTATTTCTATTTTCATTAAAGAGACTAATATTAGTTGTCGCAGTTGTTCGTACAGAATTTCCAGAAACACATTTTCCAAGCCCACAATAGATCTGTTTCGATATACTAACTACATCTGTAGAAACGCAATCTGCATTTATAGCGCATTCTACAAAAGATATAAATTAATTAAACCCAATGAATAAATAAGCCATCAAAAAAGTAAAATACTATTTTTATATTCAAGCATTAAAGGTGGAAAAACGGCAGTAAAAAACCCGTTTTTGTTAGTTTTATTTGACGTGTCTATTTATTTATTTATTTACTGCCAACAGTGGTAAACCATTTCATACAGGGTCCGGCAATAGTGCGTCGAGCATCTGTAGCTCCTAGAATAAAAAGCTTGAGAATTTTGTTTAAGTGCAAACATAAAGTATGTACCAGGATGTATTTCTGGAAAATATTTTAACTTCTATAGGGTGGCTCAAAAAAGTGTGGGTGGATCTGGATGACTTTTTTTAAATGGAACACCCCGTATCTTATTGCATTTTTGGCTTCCTTTCAGATCACTTTACATAATCCTAAGATATGAGTAAATCTATTTCGATAATTTCAGAAATATTAATAAATAAATAAAAATTGTATATTTTTCAGCCTTTCTTAAAAAAAGCGTTAATAATACAAGTAAAAGGGAAATTAAAATAACTTTGGTTGCACATCATAATACTATCACCAGCAAACTCCATAAGACAACGCATGGTGTAATTGATGACATGCACCCAAAGTTGTTTTAATTTCCCCATACTGCCCTGAAATCAAAACTGTATTAGATATTTACTTTAGATGGTCTGTACTTACTTTGTTATAAATATGGAAATCGTAAATCATACAGGATGTTCAAAATTCTACGCCAAACTTTCTAAAATATACAATAATTTTTCTTTGTTTTTTTAAATGGGACACCCTGTATATTATTTTTTCAATAGATGGAGAATTAAAAAATGAACATTTTTTGCATTTAGAGTATTTCATAATTTTTAACGGTTTCGCAGATATTCCCGGTTTTGTATTTCATATGGAACCGACCGTTTAAAGTAAATATCGAAGAAGGGTTGAAAAATATATATTTTTGATTTATTTTTTAATATCTCTGGAACTATTGAAAAAGATTTAGTCATATCTTAGGATTATGTAAAGTGATCTGAAAGGAAGCCAAAAATGCAATAATATACAAGGTGTTCCATTTAAAAAAAGTCATCCAGATCCACTCACACTTTTTTGAGCCACCCTATCGAAGTTAAAATATTTTCAGGAAATACATCCTGGTACATACTTTAGGTTTGCAATTAAACAAAATTCTCAAGTTTTTTTTATTCTAGGAGCTACAGATGCCCGTCGCACTATTCCCGGACCCTGTATTTATAAATCAGTTTATTAACTTTATTAGAAAAACCACTGCTTCGCTTGATTCCATATAGACAACGCAAACAAATAATCAAATAAAATTTAGCCAAATGAAAAATTTCATTTTTTACAAACCTTGTGAATATTCATACTTCACTCTACAGTCTAACCCTCTATCATAATACTCAGTATTACACTGACACAACCCTTCATGGCATATCAAAGCCAATGGGTCATTACCATCTAAACATAAATCAGTATCGGTACATGTATCACCTTTATTCAGTATCTTTTTGCATTCTCCTTGGTACCATCTAAAAAAATAATGTCACCCTAATCAATAACTAAACTAATCCAACAGATATTCTAACCATTTTCATAAGAGATTATATAGTTTATAATCTATTAAAATATCTAAATACACGGTTGGCAAAAACTGGCTTTGAGTAACTATTTTCGAGTATAAGACGAGTACAGTCAATGGGTTAAGTAGAATAAGATATACTGAACAAAATACAAGAGCAAATATTTTCCCAAACACATGAAATAAAGCGTCAAATTAAGTAGTTATATGTAATCAACACTTTGCATTTCCTCTCTCCGATTGACAAGATCGCCACAGTGATTCACTCCTTGGCATGTAAATACCGATCCAAGACTCTCCCTTACCGACGCTGTATAGTGAAAACTAAATCAAAAATTGGCCAGGAACACTAATTCCCGGATGTACGTACTCGGTTCAGGGTGAATTAAACCAGGATTTTAATCGTGAATCACATGAACTCGAGTTTAAGCTACGGTATCTCCATTATTAGTGAAGATAGAAAGATGCGGTTTGTACATACCTTTTTTGTCAAACGAAAGATGCTGTAAACAAAATGTTCATAGCCCTCTTTGTTTCTGAGCTACAGGATCTTTTTGAAAATTTTGCAATTTGGCACACCCCCCCGTATCACCGTTATTGCGAAAGGTATCGAGAACGTGAAAACTGTGGCGTAGTCTGTTATTCTACAAAAATAACATTTTCGAAGATATGAACTAAAGTTATGTTTTTTTTTTTAAATGGAACACCCTGTATATTTATAAATTATATACTTTGGCTTGCTCAAAAGCTTCTCAAAAATATATATCACTCTATATTTATTTTCACTATTTATTGCAATATTTAAAAGTTTTTATTAAAATATCATATTTGTTAGTAGGCCATGATTGATAATAAAAGAAAATAAAGAATTATTAAAAGTTAACTGCTATCTGTCTCTTGTTTTATTTTAGGGGCCACTAATATTTTTTTATATATTAGGAAAACTTAACTCTCTACCGCTATTTGTAAATCTTGAAAGTTATAGTACCGGAACTTTTAGATATTCCTTTAGCTAATTTACGTGAAATATACTTTCAGCAAGATGGGGTTTTCCCTAACAACTTTGAAAATATTAGAATTTTGTTAAATTACTATTTCTGAAATCAATGAATTGGAACCAATGGAGCCATATGATGGCCTCCCAGATTCCCGGATTTGTACGTTCTCGATTTCTGACTTTCGGGATTTTTAAAATATGAAATATATCGTGGCAACTACAACAATGTAGAACACCTGTAAAATGCTTTAATAATGCAAGCTTTTAGATATTAAACCCATCCTGTTATTATATAAATTCCGTTATAAAGAAAAAAATATATATTCAGGGATTCAATGGTAACAGTTCCAAAGTAAAATATATCAATCCCAAATAAAATTTTAATGTGTGTATGTGTAAATACCATTTTGATTTTTATGTTATTTATCACGGCCTACTAATAAAAAATGATATAAAGTAAAGAGTGAAAATAAATATAGATTCAGAATCATATGATTTATAAATATACAGGGTGTTCCATTTGAAAAAACATAACTTTAATTCATATTTTCAAAAATATTTTTTTCCGTAGAAAAACAGACTACGCCACTGTATTCTACGTAAAAAGTTTTACAAGAATCAGTTTTCACCTTCTCGATGTCATCCACAATAACGGAGATGCGGGGGCTCTCCCAAAATAGAAAATTTTCAAAAAGACCCTGTAGCTCAGAAACGAAGAGCGGTATGAAAATTTTATTTACGGCATCTTCTATTTGACAAAAAAGTGGGACAGGTTTGTGCAAACCGCACCCTGCTAACTTCACTAATAACGGAGATACCTTATAATTTCAACTAAAATGGGACACCCTGTACAATCAGGTCTAAAGGTCGTATTCACGAGTCTATGGTAGGAATGTTATATAATTACGAAGTACATAATACTAAATCAAATTTGAAAATTTGAAGCAACTGATTTTGATGATCTGTATTTTTTTTTAACAACTTATTTTGAAGAATATATTCAAACTTGGAATTTCCGCTCGCACAAAAATAGCCAATTTGTTATTAATTCATATAAATCAACTCACCTATATCCTTCGCTACATAAACATTTATTATTTTTACATTGTGCGTTATTCCCTAAAAATTTATCACACTGCCAATCTTCAAAACAGGTAAAACTATACTCGGTAGCATCTAAAAAATAGTTAATATCTATTAATCATGTGATCAATTCTAATGTTAAAATCAAAAGAAAATATTTATATCCGAAAAAATATTCATATTTTTAATTAGGTATATATACAGGGTCCGGCAATAGTGCGTCGGGCATCTGTAGCTCCTAAAATAAAAAAAAAACATTTGTACAAGTGCAAACCTATATTAATACAAGATGCAAGATAAGTATGTATTAGGATGTATTTAAGGAAAATATTTGAATTTCTACAGGGTGGCTCAAAAAAGTGTGAGTGGACCTTTTTATTCAAAGGAGTGGACCAGGATGACTTTTTAACCTTTTTTTGTATATTATTTTAGACTTCCTTTCTGATCACTTTACATAATCCTAAGATATTATTAATTAGGTTTTGATAGTTTCCGAGATATTAATAAATAACTAAACACAATATTTTTTTTAAGACTTAAAAAAAATAAAAGAAATGTCCTGAAATCAAAACTATATACTAAGTATTTACTATATAGTCGGTCTGTATTTACTTTGCTATAAATATCGAAATCTTAAACCATACAGGTTGTTCAAAATTCTATATACCAAACTTACTAAAATATAAAATATTTTTCTTCGTTCTGTTATTTAAAATAAATACCCTGTATAATATTCCTTCGTTCGATGGAGATATAAAAAATGAACATTTTTTGTTTTTAAAGAATTTCAAAAATTTTAACGGATTTGCAAATTTGTGTAGTATTATATTATTATATCTATGGGATTTTAACAGTAATTTTTTATCAAATCTTTTGATTTCAGGATATTTTTTATATTTAAAAAAAATAAGAAAGAATGAAAAAATATTTTTTTTCTCTTTGTTTATTAATATCTTTGAAACTATCAAAAAATATTTAATAATATCTTAGGATTATGTAAAGTGATCATAAAGGAAGTCAAAAATGCAATAATATACATGGAATTCCATTTAAAAAAATTATCCCGATCCACTCACTTTTTTGGGTCCTGTAGAAAAACTATTTTCCCGAAATACATCCCTGTACAGACATTATTAGGTTTGGTTTGGTTCGGAATCTTTGAAACTATCAAAAAATATTTAATATCTTAGGATTATGTAAAGTGATCAGAAAGGAAGTCAAAAATGCAATAATATACATGGAATTCCATTTAAAAAAAACTATCCCGATCCACTCACTTGTAGAAGTTAAACTATTTTCCGGAAATACATCCTTGTACAGACATTAGGTTTGCACTTAAATAAAATTAAAAGAAAAGTTTTTTTTATTATAGAAGCTACAGATGCCCGACGCATTATTGCCTGGCCCTGTATATTGAAATATACAAATATATGCTACTCACATTTTAAACACTTCTCTTCTACAATTGAATAATTTGAGAGTTTGTCACATTGACGAATATTGTCGATACACATACTTTTATCTTTGGCACAATCATCATCGGAACTATATGTCTGGTTTATAGATTCCCCTAGTCCTGTTAAATTTAACAATAGATTTAAAAATTGTAATGTTAACACAGGTGTTGATTATCAATGCGATATAAAATTATGATAATATAAATTAATATTTAAGCACCTGCAGATATTTGAAACTTTTCCTAATTTAGAAAAAATATTAAAAATGATATGGTAAGCCAATGTGCAATGGATTTTATGTGTTAGAAAGCAAAATGTAATGCTTATAGAAGCATATTCCCCCTTAAACTTTTTAAATGAGTTTAAGTTCTTATTTTTTTTATTCTGACAGTTTATTAAATAAATTTAAACAATCAACACTATAATTTTCAATATTTTTTTTTCTAAAGAGTTCCTTAAATATAGTGCTTCTCTGATAACTATTTCTCGTTTTGACATTATATATCTTAACGCAGGTTCAAATAAAAAATACGCTAATATGGCGGGTGGTAAATTAGTCAATATGTTCAAGATACATTAAAATATTATTTTTTTAATCTATTTCACTTTTCCGATATTTTTTTTAATTTAATTTAACTATATCTTTCGGTAATATAATAATTAAGTAACTAATTTCAAAAAATATATATATATTATAAAAACCTGTACACTCTAAACAAAATGTTTTTTAATAATTAAAACATTCGATATTATTTTATTCAAAAAAGCAATGCTATACATATAGTAGAAATGTTTAACTACTCTTTTTACCTTGCAAGTTAATACTAAATATTAAAATGTATTAGCAGTTAGCGACAAAATGTTAAACTTACCAATAAAGTATATACCAAAAACTATTATTAAAAAATGCATTGCTATTATCACAGATAAACGTGTCTTTCCGATACTAAAACAAACTGAAAATAAATTCTAAACCTGTCAATAACCTTTCTAATTTCAATTGTTCAATAATCTCGCATTATCTTGGAAGAATCTATAGATAACTATATATCAAAAAACTTGAACAATTCAAATTATTGTATTCTACAATTTCTTACACTTTTCAAGTGTTCAAAGCCCACGACTTAACCATAAAAGATTTTGATCACACGGTATATCATAACATATAGCGTGTGATCGAAAATAAACAATCGGCGTCGGGTTGGTTTGGAAATGAAAATCGATGACATTCCCCATATAATTTTACATATAAAATGACAGCGATCTTTATTTCATAGCCCTCGCTGAAATAATAGCCTTTTTTCCATCGTATTGTATAAATTGAACAAAAAAAATGGAAATTGAACCTCTAAAAATTCTCAAATTCACTCCAATGACTCAGGGTGTATCCACACTATCCTACAAACGACGTATCGGCGTAACGACGTTGATTTCCAGTAATTCTATTGGTTGAAATTTTTGACAAGTGAATTTGACAGATAAAATTCTGACAGATGAATTTTAATTACTGGAAATCTATTTAAGGTCGTTACGCCGTTACACCGATACGCCGTTTCTAGGATAGTGTGGATGCACCCTCAGGGTAAGTCCAAACCATCGTAGGAAAAGCAGAACGGCCGATCGGCGTATCGATTTTCAGCAATTCTATTGGCTGAAATTTTTGACGTATGAATTTTTTGCGTATTCAAATCCATTACGCCAAAAGTAAATTAAGAGATATTTCATTTAAATCGTTTCTATCCTTTTTCATTATCGCCTCAATCTCTCTTACTGTTTGTATTCATTTTGATGTTTTTTGTCTATTTAAGTGCATAAAAATGGACAATTTTGACAGATAATTTAAGTGATATAATAATATATGGCCAGTTGAGACTATTCACCGTTACGTCCTTTATTATTGACTGACCGAGTTCCGTTTTTTTTTCGGCATTTATTTTTTTTTCTTAAACTAATCATAAGTTACGATCCCTTTGATTCCAATCCTTTGGACTGCTGAAATTCCTATTTCTAAAGTATCAGCAACTGGCTATATTATTTAAAAACAATATCTATTTGTATTTTACATAGGAATATTACACCTTTGTATTGTACTTACTTCATATACGGCGTCCACGGGCAAGTGTTCCACGCGAGTGTTCTACGCGTCTCTTTCTCGAGAAAAATCTTATATAAGCTTAGCAAAGAGCTCTTGTTCATTTTGGTTAAATCTATGTGGCATTTTTGCAATAAAAAAATTGAATTTTGTTTTACAGCAACAATCAAATTTTAATTTTGACCTTAATCGATGTCCGTCAATAAAATTATAATCTCAAATCAAATGACAATAGCAATTGACGATTACTAAAAAGAATATGCAGTAATTTACGAAATGCCGTAATGACGTCACCAATCGCTTTCATCTCGTTGTCAGGTAATTGAGAGAGTTCGACAACATATGACGTGACGTTGAACGATGACTAAACATTCTATACCGCCGTTACCATAAAATAGGAATCAACGCCGTTAAGGCGGCCGCACATTTCCTACTATCGGATTATCGGATCCGACTATCTGAAACGATTTTGAATCGGACGACTACCGCACAGTGCCCAAAATATTTCCGTTTCATATTTTTTTTATAACTAATTAATAATAAAATAAGCCTGCACTGAGCAACTCACGCATCAAAACTGACAAAAATAATCGTGTTTGCCGTACAATATACAAAAACAATGCATAGAATACCTTCCGGCTGTCGGTTCAGATTTTTTGTCGGTCCGACCAGTACGACGATGTCGTACGTCCGATCCGATTTCGGATCGTAAGTGTGCGATATAGTTAAATAACCTATAGTTTATTTGAGCGTCAGATAATCGGATCCGATAATCGTTTCAGACAATCGTATCGAATAGTAGGAAATGTGCGGCCGCCCTTACGCTGATCCGCCGTTCTGTGTTTCCTGCGATTGTGTGGACCCAGCCAAATGCGTGTTCTTATGAACGAATGATTAATGATTATAAACATGTACATGATATGTTCTGGGCATGTATAAATAATTGGATTTTATAATTAAAAACACCTGAAAAAATATGTTTGGTGATATATATCGTTAAGCGAATGATATAAATAGCTGTACGATTCCAATATGGCTTTATATAATTGAACACCTGGCACCTGGTCTATAGATAAGATTAATAGTAAAATATTGTTCTTACCAACAATATAATTTTAAACAGTAGTTTATGTAGACATATTTTTTTAGATTTAGCATATTCAGCCTTTTCTGTACTATACTTTTCAGCATTCCAACATAGTCTCACTTCCTTTACCAACATACATTCTTACACTAAGTCGAGGTACTAAAGAAAACCATATTACCCAGTTAAATTATTATATAATATATTAAAACCATATAAATAAATATAATCTTTAAAATTTATATTATTATATAAATAAATATTTGTTTAAAATTGTTATCCACATAAAATACTATACGGCAAATTCAAACTGTCTTTTAAAATTTGTCACTCTATCTATGACGTCCTCAATAAAAGGTCTCTCTGCAGAATTAACTTTTAATATAAAAGTTATAATATCGTGAAGTTCCTAAAAAATATATTAAAGTGCATAAAAATGTACAATTGAAGTTAAAATACAATAAACTAAATACAGAAAATAAGATGTTTTATTTATCAATTAATATAATAAAAATAATAGTTTTAAGGGTAAAAGATCCCATTACGCATCCTAAAAGATACGTCCTAAAATATTTGTACACCACTGATAATCGGCGCCTACATCAAAATTGAAAATAAAAAAAAATCTAGAACAAATAGTAACAATGTATCGAGAATACGAAAACTTATAAAGTAGGTAATTTATTTATTAACATTTTTTTATATATTTACCAAATATTTTGATAGCAATTATTAAACTTTTAGTTACGTAATCGAGGGTGCAATTTTTAAATTCATTGTTGCCAACCATAGACATATTCGGCGCAGGGCTGACTAACTAGAATTTAAATTTCCCGCTGGAGATTCAGGTGGTAGCCCTGCTGTAAAAAATGTCAAGTTGCCACATTTATTTATTTATTTCCTGACATTTTCACTAGCTTGGACACTTTAGTTTTGTATTACGAGTTCTTGGTTTAAGCTAAAAAAAATTTTAAGCTTAAAAATTTTTACTCTTGCAGACGAGTATTGTTCTTTTTAGAACCTCTTATAGTGCAAAGGGTACAAGATTAAGCTTAAGAAGAACTTAATAGCCGTAAAAAACACATCGCAACTTTATTAGAATATTTTGAACGGGAAAGCGGTATTAATGGCCCTTTATGCCCCTTAAGTGCTGTTAAGAAGGTGAGTTTTGTTGATGTAAATAATAACTGTTTATATATTTATAATCAATTTATTTTTGTTTCCTACAATATTTTTATTAAAAAATATGTAAAAGTGGACAACGCTCTGCCGGTCAAGCTTAATCACGTGACTAAGAGTTTATTTGATATGAACATGCATTTAATTCTATCAAAAATTTAAACAAAGCAATGAGATTTTTGAATGTCCGGAGTGCGGTATACAGATAACATCACGTATCGGGCTTTTCCGTCACAGAAAAATTCATGAAAAAAAAAAGCCTTGCTGATGAGATGTCACCTTCTGATGCATGTCAAATACTCGTCAGAGAGTAATGGCAGTATGTATGTATCAAAAATTTACACTAGGGTGTATTCCATGGTTGTGTATTTCGTTGCTTACCTAGGTTATGGTTTTATGTTCCGTTTCTATCGGTTTCCTGAAAGTTCTCTTATTAACGGAACACGGTTCCTGAAAAAATCGGTTATAACATGTCATGGTTATAACTGTCACCAAACTAACCAGCGCGAGAAGGCTGTTTTCTCTGGTTTTGTTTGTCAATCAATGTCATTTATGTGACAGAAATCAAGCAAATATTGGAAGTTCGAGTGAAATTCTCATTTAATTTCTAAAATTTGTAATAATATTTTGTATTTACATCCAAAAGCAATGGAGGTAGGCAGTAAAGGTAAATAAATTTCATTAACTAAATAGAATGACTTTCTAGGACCATTTAAACTTATCATGCAGCCATTCTTTCTTAAAGTCAGGAACATTTAAAGAAAACATGAAAAACAAGACAACAAGTAATCGTAAATGTTTTGTAAGCTATAAAAATATAAATATTGATTAGATTTGTTTATTTATTATTGATCTGTTTTAATATTGGACCTGCAAATATTCACTTGAGCTGTCTAACGAGTTTAATAGTTTATTAATAAAGTACTTTTCAATATTAAACAACATTGAAAAGAAGAAGCAAACGTAAAAGCAGAGAATAGGTACATTAAAAATGCATAAAAGATAAATTTTATAATAGAGGTACTGAAATTTAGAAAACGTCAACATTTGACGTTTCTAGTATTTTACCAAACCGTTCCGTATCAAACCGATGTTTTTCAGGAACCGCTCGTTATACCGGTCTGGTTCGCCTGGTTTTGCAACAAAATACAGCCTTAGAAACCATATTAAAGCAATAAAAAAATAATTAATAAGTTATCCAATATAACTAAATGTTTTAGTCATTAACACTAACAAGAAATGTGTTTAATATTGGACCTGCAAATATTATATATATTGTATATTTGAGGTTTTCAGATTCCCGTATTTATACAGGGTAACTCCAAAAAGATCTGTATAAAAATTATTCTAGTTTGAAGTATTCACTCCATCTTTTTTTACAAAATATGAGGGCAATATCGGAGCACATGTATTTAAAAACTATTTGTCAGTATACAGGGTGATTTAAACGTATATTCTAACTAAAGTCGTATATCTTAAATAAAGTAGTATACGTTCCTTAATGACATAATTTTAAGGGGTGATTCTTGGATTTATTTAAAAAAAACTTCATATACAGAGTGGTAAAATTTAAAAAAAAGTGTTTTCATTATAATTCTGATGTTATAGATAACTAAAATTTAATACACATTTTCTATGCATAAATAAATAGAGTAAACGCCACGAATGTTTGGGAATGATTCATCGCTTGATGAAGTTAGAATCGACACGCGCGCTATCATTTTTACATTAAAAACGTAAATTTTTACCGCAGACGTAAGTTTTTAAAGGCCCGGTCTAATCATCTGCCTGCGCTCTTCCTACTTATTCTAAAATGTTAGCGTGATTGACAAAGACGATACTATATCGCGTTTCTTTGATTGATTCGTTTTTGTGCGTCAGCCCATTGGTGTGCTTGCAGTGCGACCAATGGGGCATTCCATTTTATATTTATTACCAAATATATGTTTTGACAAGACTTTGACAGTTAAAACAACAAATTACAACAGATTATATATTAATTATTATATGACTTGAAACACCACGGCACTGGAATTAAGTTTTATGTGACCTTGAACAGATTAGTTCACATGGTAGCGACCGATGAATCACTCCCAAACATTCGTGGCGTTTACTATATGAATGTTTTAATGTACAAAAATTTTTTTGTTGTATCTTCTTAATTTTTTACCGCATGTTTTTTTGCGATTTGGTCCTGAAGCAAAATTATTTTAATTTTTTTAACCAAAAACTAGGCGTCGGACGAAAAAAAATTGAGAGTTGAAAATTGTTAAGAAATGAATGAAAATTTTGAAAATATCATTTATTTTAGGAAAAATCAGTAGCGCACCATATTTTTCTTGAAAATATTCAATGTAAACCTGTATGGACGCCACTGTTACGACGCCAAATAAATAAAATTGTACATCAAAAAGCATTTTGATGCATAGAAGGCGTGTACCAACTGACCATTATAGGGCCGAGGACCGCAGTTCGTATTCCATGTAAACAAAGTAGGCCCCGTCCAGATTAGTCTTAGCAGCAAAAAGGAAACGTTAACTTAGAATACTTTAAAATAAAATTCTTTACCTGTGGGAATGGTGTATTGTCCGGAAAAAAAATATTTCCAGACAACACTGCTAAATTTACTGAATCCCCTCTCTCGTATATTATATCATAAGGTGATTTAAAATATAGCAATGCATACAGAAGACACCCTAAGCTCTAAAAAATATTATAAACCTATATATTATAATAATTTAGTACATAAAAATTTGTTTTTTACCCATATATCAGTCCTCTGATCAATAACACAATAGCTTTCTACATGAAATAGTTCTGGGGCTCTATATGTCATTGAACACCTCTCAGCTGCTAAATCTTGTAACTTTTGTGCATCTTGAACACCGCAAATTTGTACCTTAGCCGTCGTACATGATCCTTACATGGAAAATACATAGTGTAAATAATGTTAACTGTACCATAAATACCGTATGTTCGACAAAAAAGGGCGTCCAGTTAGTTGGGAAATGACGATCGATGACATTTCCTATATAAATTTACATATAAAATGATCTTCGTTTTATAGCCATCGCTGACGCCGTTTTTTTTTTATATGGTACAATATGATCGAAAAAATGGCGTATGAAGATCGCTGTCATTTTATATGTAAAATTATATGGGTAATGTAATTGATGTTCATTTCCAAGCCAACTAGACACCGTTTTTTTTCGACCATTCGGTATATGATTTTATTTGAAATGAAACACTTAGATGCAAAAGCCCCCCACAACTAGTTTACCAATAAATATACTTTATTAGTAGTAGTGTATGGCAGATACAAAGAATTTTACAAACAAACCATTGGATGCCTGTATAGAGTAACTATTGTACCTAATATCGCTGATTGAAGAAGTAAGAAGATGCGCAACCTTATGGGCGATTGGCACACCGATTGGCGTTACCGTTACATGTCCGAGATCTAATTTAGCTCTGCGCAGCTGCGCGCTTATTGTCGTTTACAGCGCAGCGGATAGAGAATACTGTACTGTAGTTCTGCTTTCAGTCGACAGAGTGGATAGTTGCCGGAGACTGTGTTGCCAAAACTACAGATTAATAAGTAGATTTAAGGATTTTGAGTACAATATGTTGATAATACGGATTTTCCATCATTAAACAATTTAATATATAATATGATTAAACAAAGAATGGTGTCAGAGTTGGCTTGGAAATGATGATCGCTGTTATTTCATATGTAAAATATGGTATATGTCAATATGTCAATAGTCATTTCCAAGCCAACTGAACGACTTTTTTCGATCATAGAAAATATTCAGTACCTATAAAAGAATTTTTATTTTTGCTGATTACTCTACATTTAACATGAATAAATTTTCAATATATAAACGCGGATTTTTCATCAAAAGATATTTATCTCCCCATTAGCTTGCGTATCTTCCCAATTCTTTCAATCAACGCTAATATGTAAAATTATTAAATCCATTTCCATTTTTCTTTACATAGGGCGGCTTGTATCTAACATTTTTCCTCATAATGTTTAATTCAATATATTAGCAAAAATATTAATATTTTAATAAGAAATATATACCTAAATCCATTAAAATAGGATCCATATTATCAGTAAGACAAACATTTGCTACTTTTATATCTCTGTGAGCTATAGCTTCTGGAGAATAATTATGAAGATACTTAACAGCTTCACATATATCTAAAAACAATCTAAAATAAAATTTGTTATTAAATATATCTGAAGAAATTTTAAAAATTAACTTCTATGTAAATTTTTACCTTAAAACTTCTCTTATGTCTAAATAATTCGTAGAAGATTGTCTAACTGTCAAATAATCATGCAAAGTTCCACGTTTATAATATGGTAACAATAAATAAGCCTCTGAGGTAGTTTGTACAACGATATCTGCTGATCCCTTAATACAAGCATCTGAAAAATATGAACAAAAATAGATTGAATGAAAAGAATTGATTAAAATGTATATTGATTAAAATATTTAGTGAATGTTCATACTGCAGTATTAAATAAATATAAATTAATTATAAACGTATTTTTTATATTAAAAGACCAACAAAAAATATTTATTTACTTACCAATTAATTGAATTATATTAGGATGTTTTAATTTTTTGTAATACATTATTTCCTGATTTGCTATTTTTTGATCCTCTATGCTGTGACAAGTAATTCGTTTCAAGGCAAATTTCTTTTTTGTAGATGTTTGCTCTACTAAATCAACACATGAAAAGCCCCTAAAAATTTAATAACTGATAGAAGAATATTAAGAAATAAATGATATTTACAGTAAGATCAATGTAATATCTCTAAACTTACCCTTCTCCAAGTCGTTCATTAACAACATATTTTATGCCATTAATGTCTATGGATTCTCTTATACATAAACATCCCATTTTCAAAAGCGTGCTTAAGCCTAATGCATTCATTTTATAGCCGTCTTGATATAAAAATTGGGTTCAATAAATAATATTAAAATTAATAGGATAATAGGCAATATTCTTAATTTCTAACCTTTAACTCTATTTCTATTTTATTTCATTACTCCTTCATCTATGAATTATAAGTTATTTAATATATTATTACCTACGTAATGTATTGTCATATGTTTAAGACTATTAAGACAACATAAACATCATATAAACATTTTTCATGAACATAAAAATAGAGAACATATGTTTATAAATTGTAAACACATTGGTAAACACCACGGGTAAATCTTTTGTAAATCAACTGTAAAAAGTGTAAATAACTGTAATGACTGTAATCATAAACTGTCACGTCATAAATAAATGTAAGAGGCTTTGATTAAGGTATTTTTGGTTGCATAGGTTGCATCAGGTGGCATTTTGAGGTTGCATATAGAAATGCTTGTTTAGAAATGGCCTGAAATGGTTTAGAAAATGTCTAAGGAAAATGTCACAATAAATTTTTAGTTATTTATTATTCTGCTATTTACCAATTTTACTGTTATATATCCATATATTTATTTTTTATACGAATAACTGGATATATTTATTGTTTATCAATAAAATGTTTTAACTTACCCAAGTTAAATGTAGAACAATTACTGGATAATATCTGACAATTATTAAACTTAGCAATAAACTGAAAAAACTAGTGGGGGCGATCAAAATATTGATTTTTATATCCTTTTCCTTTTTCGTCAGACTTGTTGCTTTGCTTTTACCGCTTTTACCAGTTGCCTTCATGGCCTTCATGTTTCGTTAAACACCAATCACCTGTAGATGAATTCTGAATTTGAATCATTATTAAATCAAGAAGAAAATCAAGGGGATATCCCATCTGGAAATAGAAAAAGGTACTGTATAATATTTTAGATACTGTATTCTTTCTAAATACGTTTCAATGTTTCTATAAAGTGTATTTGGTTTTAGAATGGAAGCCCGTTCTGAGCATCAAAAAACTAAAATGTATAATTCAATATATTCCTTTACAACATCCTTGGGTGTTGGATTAATATCTTTAGTTTTGTTTTGGGTTCTTCATAATCGAGGAGGTTTTGCATGGCATTCAGATATTAAAAAACAATTCAACTGGCATCCGTTTTTAATGATTTTAGGAATGGTATTCTTATATTCTCAATGTAAGACAATGCGTCCTTCTTTTATCTGAATATTATTTATATCCTTTCTTTTAGCTATGTTAATTTTTCGAACTGGTAGAGCCATACAAAAGAAGAAACTGAAAATTCTTCATGCAAGTATTCATCTGTTAGCCTTTATTTGCTCAGTAATTGGTCTAAAGGCTGTTTTTGATTCACACAATCTGGAAGAACCACCAATCGCTAATTTGTATACAATGCATTCTTGGATAGGGCTTATAACTGTAATATGCTTCTCAATTCAGGTAAAAATTACCTAATAAGTATTTTAATAATATCTAAAATGTATTAACTTTCTAGTTTTTATCTGGCTTCATATCTTTTTTATTTCCCGGATTATCATCGACAATAAGGAAAACTCTATTACCAATTCATGTTCTTTTTGGAACAAACATCTTTATTATGGCTTTAATAAGTTTTTTAACTGGACTAACGGAAAAAGCAGTGTTTACATTGTAGGTTGAAATTGATATTTTTTCTAACATTTTTAAGTTAATTTCCAGCTTTTGAATACTAATAACACAGAACAGCTAATAACTTAATTTTATTTTAGGGAAAAGACTTACTCTCAATTTCCGTCTGAAGCTTTTGTTTTAAATTTTATTGCTCTAATTGGAGTATTTTATGGCCTGTTAGTATTGTATTTGGTAAACGAATCAACATACAAGAGGTCTGCTTTAGAAGAAGATGAGCTTGCTTTGACCAGGAACGAATAATAAGGTATTCTAAACATACCCATACTATTCTAAACTTAATTCTATACATTATCTCCAATATTATCCCTTAGTAGATGGACTATATTTTATTGCGACTGTATTTTGTGATTATATATCGGTATTTATTACTACACTCAAATGCAAAAAAAAACGCAATGAAAAAATTTTTGGTTTGGTTTGGTTTGGTTGTGAGTTTGGTGTAAAGTTTAAAATGTTTTATTTTTTTATTTTTTTGCTCTATTTTCTTGATTTTTTTAGCAAACTCTCTATAAATATATCAACTTTAGTTCGTAAACTCAGTTTATTATAAACTTTAGTATTTGACTTATTATACAGGGTTAATCGAAGAATTGTTTTTTAACCTATTTTTAAAACATCCTGTGCAATAATTCAGTGAGCAAATAACCATGTCACTTGAATATTTTATTTTTTGACTCATGTCAACATGCTTTGATTAATTTTTAAGAGCAAAACGAACTTGCTACAAACATTTTTCAATTTTTGTCAAATATTGCTACTTTTTGATGTTATTCTTCATATTGACGAGGTGGCTTTGGTGATAATTGTTGTGTACAATTGAATATGGTTCTTAGTGTCAAAGATTGTGCAAAAGTCATTGATCTTGTTGAAGATGGCTAAAATTATAAATATTTGCTTCGTCTTTGAAGAAGAATGGGAAAACATGACACAATATATTTGCAGCCTCATTAACAGTATGAACCGACGTATACAGACAGTTATAGCAGCTGGGAGAGACAATACAAACTATTAAAGTATTTTTTATAAGTTTTTTGTAAACTTAGTTATTACAGTTATTTTTTTAATATCCTTAGTTCTGTTAGTGTTACCACAGAACAGATACAAATTGTATCTGTTCTGTGGTGTTACTAATACTTATTAAAATCAAGCCTGTTGGTGGGTTCATACAGCCAAATAAAATAAAATAAGAATAAAATAAAATAAAATAAGAAAGTTGGTTATATGGGATACCGTACATGCGTTCATACGGCCAAATAAAATAACAAATAAAATAAGAAGTCTTTTGGTGGGTTCATACAGCCAAATAAAATAAAATAATAAAATAAAATAAAATAAGAAAGTTGGTTATATGGGATACCGTACATGCGTTCATACAGCCAAATAAAATAACAAATAAAATAAGAGGTCTTTATCTTTTAACTTCTTGTTTTATTTTATGTGAAAACGGCTTTGCGCACGCTTAATTCTAACCTACAAATATTTTCAGTTTGGATTTAATTTATTTTATAATTTCACATAAGTAAAATGTATAATATAGTAGGCAACGAATAAATAAATATACTATAAATAGTAAAATTACTATAAACAATCGTAAAAGTTAACTTTTTATCCAGCCTCATCGTACTGCGCATGAGCAAATATATATTTCTTATTTTATTTTATTTGACTGTATGAACGCACACAAATAAGAATTCCTTATTTCTTATTTTATTTTATTCTTATTTTATTTTATTTGGCTGTATGAACCCACCATTTATCTTTTAACTTCTTGTTTTATTTTATGTGAATACGGCTTTGCGCACGCTTAATTCTAACCTACAAATATTTTCAGTTTGGATTTAATTTATTTTTTAATTTCACATAAGTAAAATGTATAATATAGTAGGCAACGAATAAATAAATATACTATAAATAGTAAAATTACTATAAACAATCGTAAAAGTTAACTTTTATCCGGCCTCATCATACTGCGCATGAGCAAATATATATTTCTTATTTTATTTTATTTGCCTGTATGAACGCACACAAATAAGAATTCCTTATTTCTTATTTTATTTTATTCTTATTTTATTTTATTTGGCTGTATGAACCCACCTTGTATCGTTACTTTTTAACGTTTTTTAAATTTTAATATATGGTGGGTTCATACAGCCAAATAAAATAAAATAACAATAAAATAAAATAAGAAATAAGGAATTCTTATTTGTGTGCGTTCATACAGTCAAATAAAATAAAATAAGAAATATATATTTGCTCATGCGCAGTACGATGAGGCTGGATAAAAGTTAACTTTTACGATTGTTTATAGTAATTTTACTATTTATAGTATATTTATTTATTCGTTGCCTACTATATTATACATTTTACTTATGTGAAATTATAAAATAAATTAAATCCAAACTGAAAATATTTGTAGGTTAGAATTAAGCGTGCAGTGTTTTCAGCTGTTTTTACATAAAATAAAACAAGAAGTTAAAAGATAAAGACTTCTTATTTTATTTGTTATTTTATTTGGCTGTATGAACGCATGTACGGTATCCCATATAACCAACTTTCTTATTTTATTTTATTTTATTCTTATTTTATTTTATTTGGCTGTATGAACCCACCAATAGAGTGTTGATATGACACTACAATATAGTCACCAACCCCACCTCGTGATATTAAAGAATATCATCATAAAGTAATGATAGTTGAAAAAATTGTAAATTATTGTTGTTGGCAAGTTCATTTCGCTTTTAAAAATTAACCAAGGCATGTGTTGCAATGAGTTAAAAAACAAAATGCTCAGAAGAAATGGATCGAAACATAATGTTTTAGGGAAAGTAACTCACGAAATTATTGCACAGGGTGTTTTAAAGTAAGGGTAAAAAACAACCCTTCAATTAACCCTGTATAATAAGTCAAATACTAAAGTTTATAAAAAACTGAGTTTATGAATTAAAGGTGGAAGATTTACATACAGTTTGCTAAAAAGTTCATGAAAATAGGGCTAAAATTAAAAAAACCAACACTTAAACTTGACGAACAAATGTTGCGTTGGGTTTTTTTGCCTCTGAGTGAATAATTTTTTTTGAAGGTGCTTTTTCCGTTAAGTTATATAAAAGAAATGGTGCTGAAATATCTAACTATGGTTCTATTATGTGATTATATATTATTAATTATTATTAAAATAATCTGCAGATTATTTTTGGTATGAGAAATTTATTTTGGACTTTTTATTTTCTGTATTACTTGATATGACTGACATTTACGGTTGAGTCTAATTGTAAGTTAAAATATTTAACATAACAAGCATTAAATAATCACAAATATCATAGTATTCTATGTCTTCCTCTACCTTGAGATATTCCTTCACAGTTCTATGCTGTTTTCTGTTTTTTTTTAATGTTTGTTAAGCACACAGTACTTGTGTGATATTGTGATATGCCTAATTTATCTGCAGGTTATTAACTTAATTATTGTTATTTGTATTGTTTGGTTTATTAATTATCTCTTAATAGCTCATTATTCTTTTAGAGTTATTTATAATTCTGATAAACATCACTCTCACACTTGAATATCTGTAGATGGTGCTAAAAGTAATATTTAATAAATTATTTATTTTATAATTTCAGATGTATCTTATAGTAAGTTTTATGTGATTTATTTCCTTAATTTTACAATGATAGAAACTTACTATAGAAATGTTCCTTAATTTTATTTTTGTGATATATTTTATGTAAATCATTTATATTTACTAAATTTTTAATTATTTATTCTTTGGCCTGATTTGCCAAAAAAAACGGGATGAATATTGAATCCTAAGACAATATATTATGTTTAAAAAAATATAACAAAGCTTTTAGGAGATTATTAGAATATATAATTATAAGCAAATAGAGATAGACATATTACGTATATAAGATTTGGCATCTCTATGACTATAATTTTAATGGTATCTAAACTCTAAATGTGTAAATTTAAGACAAATTATTTTTATTTGTAAATTTCGCACAAAGATGCCTACAAATTATAACCTATCTATACTTATAGGTATTATTCTGATTAAACATATAAATACATACCTATAAAACATGTAAACTTATAAAAATATTTAATGTGGAACAATGTAGGGTGTAAACTTATATAAAATATATATTTATATTGCTTTTATTGTTTTATTTTTAAAAGAAGTCAGGGCGTTCTATACTTATTCTATATTATTTATATTATTATACCCGCGCGCGCGTGTTCTAATTATGGTATCTGTCTACAGTGTCCGGCAATAGTCCGTTGGGCATCTGTAACTTATATAATAAAAAACTTAGGAATTTTGTATAAGTGCAAACCTAAAGTATGTATTGGTATGTATTTCAGGAAAATATTTTAACTTCTACAGGATGGCTCAAAAAAGTGTATGTGGATCGGGATGATTTGTTTTAAATAGAACACCCTGTGTATTATTTCATTTTTCGCTTCCTTTCTGATCAGTTTACATAATCCTAAGATATTATTAAATATATTTTGATAGTTTCAGAAATATTAATAAATAAATAAAAAATTTTGCCCTTTCTTAAAAAAAATATTAAAAATACATAAAATATCCTAAAATTAAAACTATACTAGGTATTTACAATTGTTGGTGTGTGCTTACTTTCCTATAAATATCGTAATCTTAGACAGGGTGTTCAAAAGTCTGTGCCAAAATTTATAAAATATAAAATATTTTTTCTTCGTTTTAAATTTTTTCCTTTTTTTAAATGTTTTTTCTATTTAAAGTGTTTCAGAATTTTTAACGGTTTTGGGGATATTCGTGATATTATATTACATATGGGTTTTTCAACAGTAATTTTTTTATCAAAGCCACCTAATGGTTTTTGTCTGGTATTTTACCTGAAATTAACGAAAATAATTTGAAACTATGTTTTAATGTAGTTATAACATTGCGCGTCGATAAGTCACTAGCCTGTCGTAACTTTGACCTACTTAGAGTTTTTGCAAAGGACTTTTTTTACTTTTTTCTATGGATTTATAAATTGACCAATAATATGAACTTTAATATTTTACTAACATCTCAGATATCACGCGAGATTTAACGTTCTTTTTAAAACTGGAAAACTAAGCGGCAGTTTTAATGTCATTAGGCGCTGAGTTTTTTTTCTGCGGCGTCAAATGTAAAAGGGCGCTGAAAAACTGCAGTCTTGGCTTTGGAATAATATGATTATGACAATATCTTACTTACCGTCATTGTTCGCCGACAAGAATTTGACACGCATCAAAAGATGGTTATGCAAGGCGTTTTCTTTCATGAACTTCCGCCCTTCGCGGACATTTAAAAATCTCATGACTTTGTTGCCCCTTCACTTTTTTAGCTGTCGTTGTTAACTGAGTTTACAATTCTTCTCCATTGCGTTCTATTGTGCGCTGCTTGCTCCCACCAATTCTGCATGCTTATCCTCTTTAAATTTTCATGGTATATTTCATTCTTGTACCTTTTGAGTTATCCACCGGGTTTCCTCTGGCCGTCTACAAGCTCAGCTTAAAGGAGAGATTTCGGTAGGCGGTTTTCTTGCATCCTGCATACGTGACCAGCCCATCTTAACCGGGATTTAGTACCGATACGTTTGAGACATGGTGGTACCATTGATGGTAATATCTATATAGTTACTCTATCATGTACATCAGTACCTAAGAAGTTATATACTTAAGTAATTCCATGTGTAGATATATTCTTTCAAACGTAGAGCCACTTTCGCCTGATTACTAAGTGCCTAGCCATTTTTTAAACTCTAATATCTGTTATTTACATTATATATGGAGTATATTTTTACCGTCTATTTCAAAATTCAATTACTCACTAAGTCACTGGCCTGTCGTAACTTCGACCTACTTAGACCTTTTGTGAAGGACTTTTACTATAGATTCATAAATTGGGCCACTTTTATAAAGTTTAATATTTTAGTATATACCTAACGCTTGGGCTTTTTGAAGACTTCTGAATTAACAAAAAATGTTTCACCGATATTCCCTTTCATTTCAGCTCATTTTTTCATAGTAGATATAGCTGGATGAGCATGGCGACAGAGAGGGAAGAGTGGAAGAGATTGGGGGAGGCCTATGTCCAACGATGGACCGAAGAGGCTGAATAGATAGATAGATATAGAGCACAATAGTAAAGCTTTTAAAGGGAGTTAAGTTATTTTTGTTTATAGCTTGAGAAGCTTCTTAGTTTTTTGTAACGGTTGTGTTTTAAATATGCCTATTTCTTGTGATTTTTGTCATTCATTTGCTTTTCCCATTTACTGAATTTTATTTGCATCAGTTTACAACTTTTGCAATAATATAGCCAGAGATGGAGTCGTTTTTGTATTTCCATGATAAAGTTTGATACTGATCAATTTTTTTAATAAAACTTAAAAAAATACCATATATTTTCAGATAGGAATGCATTGTTGGGGTATTTACAAACCATTTGGGTCTGTACTAATATCTAATGCGATGAACTCTGAACTTTACATTTTTATCTTAAAGGAAAGTTCGTTTATTCAAAATGTCTCAATATCAACACGTCATTATGCGATAACATTGAAGAATTTCAAAAATAATTTGAATATGTAAACATGTGCCATTCTGTGCTTGCCATAGTAATTTCATTAAATTTATTTAGTTCAAACGTTTATAAAAGTATAATAAAAATATGGCTATGTATTCGACGAAATTTTTGCTGATCCAATGTGCAAAAAACAATCTACAGCGATGCTTCTCTTCGCAAAAAGGCCAAGTGACATCATTATACGAGTTCCACATTAAAAATGGAGGGAAAATGGTGAATTTCGGAGGCTATCAACTTCCGGTTCAATATAGTGATCAATCGATTGTCAATTCCCACATTTTTACAAGAAAAAATGCAAGTATTTTCGATGTGTCACATATGCTTCAGACTGAAATTAAAGGTATAGTTCATGTCTGATTACTATGAATTAGAGTAATTTAATGTTGGTATACTTTTAGGCAAACATAGCATAGAATATTTTGAGACGTTATGCACCGCAGATATAAAAGGTCTAGAGGAAAACAGTTCAGTATTAACTGTATTTACGAACGAAAATGGTGGTATTTTAGACGATCTAATTGTTACTAAAATTAATGAAGAATTTCTTTACGTCGTTTCAAATGCAGCTATGAAGCAACAGGATCAGGAAATTATGTCGCGGGGTTTGGTAATTTTTTATTTTTAATTATTCATAAATGTTTTGTTGTTAAATTTAATATTTTTAATTAATAAGTTCCAAAGATTCACAACCACATTCAATTTCTTTATAGTTCATATCCAAGAACTATAAAGGTAGAAGCACAGATTATAATCTTTGTTTTTTCTTTATTGTTTTTCGTGGTTCCAATTTTCGGAATCGGGTACTAGTTAGGTTACTAGTTTGCGCACATAGCACGCCCACTTATGGCCTCTAAAATTGTACACAGCGCCTGACCGGCACAGTTATTAGAGAGATATCGGAAAACCGAATAGCGTCATCCAGTATTTACGCGTACCTTATCACGGTTACGATAGGTGCGAGTCAATTTTTAACGCAACACCCGCTAATAACGTTGCGGATCAATTACACCAAGCGCTATTTCTAAATACCGTTTAAAAATTGCTTAAATGGACATATGCGGGTATTTGACAACCGGGGCCGGCCGGCGAGATCTTTTATTTTAGGTTTACGTTATGTTTGAATTGTTTTGAATTATTACTATAGTTTTATTAGGTAATTTGATATTTAAGTAGTTGGGATTAGTTTTAATTAAATAAAGATTGGTAGAAGTGTCCCATTTTTTTGATGTTACAGGGTATCTCGTTTATGTGTATGATCTATTTTCACATCACTGTACTACTTTTTGAAGTGAAACTTCTTTACGCGCGCTGTGAGTAAAAATTCAAGGCCGTGACACACGCGCTAGTGGTAACAATCGAAAAGTGGTAAGGACGGCTTAGAAATACATAGTGACACAACGTGTATTTGTGAGCAGTCAACCTGTTTATCAAAAATATTGATATTTTAATACACATTTTGTGAAAGGGAATTACAAACTATTTGTTACACGTAAAAACATCTATCTGTTACACGTAAAAAACTATTGGTTACACGTACACGCAGTGGCGCATCTAGGGATTGAATCTGGGAGGGGTAATGGCCATATTTAAGTAAAGTACTAAATTTAAGTTAAATTTTCGCTGAAAGGTATTACGACTCTGGAAGAAAGTAAGCTTAGGTTGGCCTCTTTCCTTTCCGTTTGGCCTCAAATTTGTCTTTTCTATTTTGATTTGTATTATTAATTTATTTTTTAACAATATTTGTTTTATGTGACACATTTTATTTTATTAAGAATTACTTCCTGGGATTCTGGGAGGGATAAGTACAAGTACCCCCATTATCCCTCTCGTTTTTGCGCTACTAATTAAACGTAAAAAACTATTTTATTACTTTTTTATTTTACGCATATAAACCTATTTGTTACAGGCAAAAAACTATTTTTTTTGTGTGAAAAGCTATTTGTCACACGTAAAAAAATATTTGTTGCACGTAAAAATCCTTCAGTTTAATAGCTGTTTAGTACAATAGCAGTTTAATAGCTGTTTAGTAAGAAGTTTCACTTCAAATATGCGCACATAGTGCACACACCATTTTTTTTATTAAACTAAAGATGCTACACACAAATTTGTCCATTTGTCCTAGCTCTTTTAGTTCCTCAAATACAGGACGAATTATCCCGGTTATCTTATAACTTTTCGAAAAGGTGAAAACTAAGTCCCATAGATTGTGTCGCGTAGTATTCATTGGCGTAACTTGATTTTCGCTGGGAGCTGCCATTCTTGAAATATGACCCAATACTATGTTTTTTTTTAATGGGATACCCTGTATATTATTTTTTATTTTATTTGTCTTGTTATAACCTTTCTAATAATATAATATACTCTATACTTATTTTCATAATCAAGGCAAAAAACGAATTATTTATCTTTTTAACATAGACGGCCGGTTTAAATTAGGTAATCAAAACAAATCGTCATCAAATGTTGATTATTATTGGTTATTCCACGCGCTAGTTTCTGTGTGTGAAGCAATTGTACAAGTACATAAAAAATATCAAATACTCTGATTGACAGCCGCCTTATCTAAAAGCTGCACAAATTCATTTTTAGTGCAGTTTATTAAGATAACACGATGGAAAGCAAAATTATCTGGTTACATTAAATTAAATAAAACAATAATACTTATTTAAACTAAATTGGTTTATTTTAAAAAGTAAAATAATCTTATTATCTTATTTATGAAAATAAGTATAGAGTATATTATATTTTTAGAAACCTCATACCAACGCAAATAAAATAAAAAAAAATATATTGGATGTCCTATTCAAAAAACATAAGTTTGCCTCAAATTTCGAAAATGACGGCTCCCAGCGAAAAACTAGTTACGCCACTGGATTCTACCTGAAAAAAATATACGGGGCGGTTTTCACCTATTCGATAAGTTATAAGATAGCCAAGATACTAAGGGGTGGAAAAATGCAATATTTTGAAATTCGCCCCGTATTTCAGATGTGAACACTACTGATGGGAAAAACCTATTAATTTCAATAATCGAGTACTCGAGTTTCAAGCGATTTCAATAATCGAGCGATCGTTTGAGCGAAATATCGCTCGTATTTAAAAATACGTTTTTTCGCCCGTCGCTTGTCGCTTGTTGTACCCGTAACGCCAAGCAGTAAGTTGCGTGCGCAGAGCACATATTCTTTCGGTGATGAATGGCAAGTAGCAAGCGACGAGTAATTCGCTTGATTTATGATTTAGTTTGTTTCAAAGTATTGTCGATGTAGGTCGTAAAATTTTGTCACTCAGATACGCAACAGATAACGTCGTCGTATAAATTTGCTATCTGCAAGGTATGTAGTAAATTCGCTCGGATTTTTATCGAGTATGTCACATCGGAAAAAAATAAATAGAAAAGTTTTAGCGAATGTTATGATTTTAATTTGTATCTTAACTTTCTCTAAAACTTCCATATTTAACATTTTTTCGTAGTTCAGAAAACCCACGGGATAATTAACTTTACTATGAAAATATGTTTTAGAACTCATTCCAGAAGCGCGTAAATTCCGCTTCTGATATCAGAATACAGTTCTTTCATACCTTGGAAAGAACTTTAATAGCCTTACAAGGACCGAAAGCATCTACAGCATTACAAAGTATTACCGACTTAGACCTATCAAAATTATATTTTATGAAAACAGCTGTAGGGAGTGTTGCAAATGTACAAAATTGTCGAATTTCACGGTAAAACATACAGTATTTGTATAGGGTGGTAATTTCAAAAGTAGCAATCAATCGGGAATACAGGGTGTCCCAGGCTGAGCGTGCGTTAGAGGCTTCTAGAGAACTACAACATCTGGCTCGGAGATTTTTTGCACATCATAGTTTCATAACGAGATCTATTAATTACAATTATTTTCAATATGGCGGCACTTCCGGAAATACCGGAAGTTGACAGAAACTTTCTTAATTTAAATAAGTGCCCAGATTTTTTATTACATACTTAAATTATTTGTAAAATTTTATGATTTTTGATATTAAACACTCTATAACTCTATATATTATCTAACATTAACCGTTTTCGAGAAAAAAAAAATTAAAATTTTTGAACGAAAAATCTGCCTGTCAAAAATATGTGTATAGCCCTTGTATAGCCTAAACGTCAAATTTACTGATTACCACAGCCACTGTACCATAAAGAGAAAACATGTGGCTATCTATTTAAAAAAATAAATTGTTCGAATGTCATATAATAATTGCCACAGCTGTCATAGAATTGAGAGATTAAAAAATTATCATAAATCACTTTTTTTTTCAAATGGAAACTTATTTTTTTATTTCGCTACTGAAAAGTCTCTTCAATTCGTTACTTTTTGAAAATACATGTTCCTATACCTAAAATAAATTGTTTTTAAGTTATTTAAGATTTCGTTTTAAAGCGTATATTTTTCTTGATTTTAACCAGTAGACTTTAAACGTCAAGTGATAACAATAGATCTGGCCATATCATATTGTGACGCTTTGTTCAAAAAGCAGCATCATTTCCGAGCCAACTTTGCGCTTTTTTTTGATCATAAGGAATATTATTAATAATATCAACTATTATATATCGCTAAAGAGCAAAAATACGAGATGTATTTTTATAAATACACTTTTTAAACTCTTAAGACAGGCAGCATTTATAATATAGGAAATTCAAATAATTCGTTTTCTGACAGATGGAAATAAATTGTCTCACCGTTTGACGCTTTGAAGGAAGCTAGATAAAATCAAGAGAAATATACGTTTTCAAATTAAATCTCAAATAACTTTTATTTTAGGTATAGGAACATGTATAGTTAAAAATTAACTAATTGAAAAACCTTTTCATTAGTGAAATAAAAAAGTGGGTTTCCATTTTAAAAAAATTATTTATGATAATTTTTAAAACGCTCAATTCCATGACAACTACCGCCATTATTAGATGACATTTGGACAATTTAATTTTTGAAATAGATAGCCACATGTCTTCTCTTTATGTCACAGTGGCTGTGGTAATCACTAAATTTGACTTTTAGACTATACAAATATTTTTGACAGGTTTTTTTTTGAAAAATTTTAAATATATTTTTTTCTCAAAAAACGGTTAATGTTATAGAGTGTTTAACATCAATATTCATAGAATTTTACAGAGAATTTAAGTATGAAATAAAAAATGGGGGCACATATTTTTAGTCGATAGATCTCGTTGTAAAACAATGACGTGCAAAAAATCTCCCATCTAGATATTGTGGTTCTCTAGAAACTTCTAATGCACGCTCGGCCTGGGACACCCTGTATATACGTACATACATTTGAGAAGTTACTGATACATCTACAAACCTGTTTGCCAATGTTTCTTTGGCGTGTACGCGTCTTTAGAGATATTCGTGATTGCTACTTTTCGAATTCTACCTAATATACTCCTATTCACGTAAGATGACGATTGCGTTGGAATATATTTATTTTATTCCAGAGAGTCATCAGTTTTAGTTGGAATATTCAGTATGACGCAATCGCCATCTTTCCTGAATCGGAGAATAAGTATATTAATATAGATTCTTTTATCTTAGCTGCGGATACACGGGTGAAGATGGTTTTGAAATATCTATACCCGCCGAAAGGTCCGAAAACGTCGTTCAAACTTTGTTAGAAAATTCCGATGTAAAGCTGGCAGGATTGGGTGCTCGAGATTCGCTAAGGTCATTATTATAATATGAGGAATTGTTTTCATAAATTTAATTAGATATTTTCTTCCTACGTAGGTTGGAAGCCGGTCTTTGTCTATATGGAAGTGATATTAATGGCGAGACCACTCCGGTGGATGCGGCTTTAACCTGGTTGGTTGCCAAAAAAAGAAGAGAAACAAAAGACTTTCCTGGAGCCGATAAAATAGTACAGCAAATAAAGGAAGGGTAATAAAGATCTCCATTATATTCTTTATTTCTTACTGAATTAATATAAGCTTATATCGTCTTGATCACGCTAATCATAAAGTTATAACTCCATTGGGACATTATTAACGGGGGTTAAGATTATAGTGATCTTTAACATCCAAAACATTTATCAAAAATATAAATATTTCTTCAAGCAGCTAAGTTAAGAAAAATATATGGCTACGGCACTGTTTGGTGCCATGGTAACAATTTGGTCTCGGGTGTTATATGTCCTTGTATTCTTTAGTCATTGATATTAACACTATACCATCCTAATCACTTCATCTGCCTGCGTGGTCTGTATTTTAATGCATGCGATAGAAATAAATATAAATGACCGGTTGACAGACAGAGAGACAAAATAAAAGCGGCATACAGTGTTGCCATTTTTTACGTGTGTAGAAAAAATAAACTATTTTAAAAACTTTCATGTACCCTACTGAAATGAAGATAATATATCTAAGCTAAATATAATCTATTACAGCTGTAGTAAAATAAGTAAATAATTGTGAAAAATAAAGTTCCAACCTTAGATGCAACATTTTTCATAAACGCCTACTTGTGCGGTTTGAAATTTTGCTATCAAATCCGACAATACCGCATAGAAAAAATGTATCAACCAAGTATCAACCCAACTTTCATGTCTTTTTAATACATTTGATTTTTCATTAAGCTGTCTATATCACTGTCTTAATCACGTTAAAATTCAGACCACGCAGTTTCGATGAACAAATCGGTATATTAATAAAAGTATTAATATCACTATTATGCAAATATTTTAGTGAAATATGTGCCATTTGTTTATCTCAAATTCAGAATTCCCCCCAAATGTGCTTTTTACCCTATGAATCAAACAAGTTAATAAATAGTTAAAGATGTCATCGATTTAAATAGTTAAAATAAACCGTAGAGCTTACTAAAACAAGGTTTACTTTATTCGCTTTAAAAAATTATTTTTTTGTATTTCATAGTTCAAAAATAAAACGGGTGGGAATAACGTCATCGACTGGTCCACCACCACGACACGGGACGATAATTTTATCAGAAGATGGCCAAGAAATCGGAGAAATAACCTCTGGATGTCCGTCGCCGACGTTGGAAATTAACGTAGCGATGGGTTACGTACCAGCAAAATCTAGTAAAGTCGGTACAAAAGTAGGATTGAAAATTCGAGGAAAACAGTACAATGGGATTATTACAAAAATGCCATTTGTTAAGAGTAATTATTATAATAAAGTAAACTAATATGAAAATAATTTGATTATACATTTTCCCTTTCTATAAAAAATAATGGATTTGAATCATAGATTTATGAAGTGATCTCTTTACTTTTAATCAATTTAAATAGACTAAAAATAATAAAGGTTTAGCATTACTCTGATTTTTGAAAGATGATTCCAACTTGTTATACTTCTATATTGTTAATCTAGACTGCAACTATGGAGGGTAGATTTTACTACTGCGGTTTACTGGCAGCTGGAAGGAAGGACAGTTTCAAATATATCTGTAGCAAAAATATAAGGCTGAAGGGAAAAATACAAGAAACCTTGAATATACAAGGTGGTTTAAATTATAATCCAAAAACTTCGGCAATTCATTGCCGAAGCTTCAACATTTAACAATAAGTAAAAATTTTAATATAAATTTATGTCCTAATATGCTTCCTTTTTTCTGTAATTTCTGAACTAACATCAATATTTGAATTAAAATTGATGTCCGTTTTTTTACACGAGAAATTCGATTTTGATGCTAGTATGAGCAGTGATGGGCGGTGGGTAAAATAAAGTTAAAGTACCCAAAAATGATGGGCGGTGGGTAAAATAAAATACCCAAATTTCTTTATTATACCATTCAATGGATATAATATAGAAACTTGGATATATGCCCAGGTGTACGGTATATACCCAATACCCATAGAGAGTACATTTCGTCTGGGAACGCCCTTGTAAAAGTTGATTATTAACCTATTACCCAAATTCAATTAACTCTGTATTTTGGGTATATACCGGATGCAACACATCGGGTATTTATCCAAATCTCAATATACCGGGCGTTTGCCCATCTCTGAGTATGAGTACTACTTGTAGAGGGTGATGCCAACTATATGTTTTTTAACAGTTTTGAAGAGTAATAACTTTTCGTCCGTACCTGTATTACACTACTGTGAAAAAACATCAATTTCCTACCTTTTTACGCAAAAAAGGTCTCTTGGAAAAAATCGGTAAGAGCAACAGTTCTTAAGTTATTTCGAAACGAAATAATCAATACATGTCTACATTGACAACTAATAAACATGTTGACTAAATGAAATAATAAATATGAAAATGTTTTTGTGCTAAAGATTCTACAGAAACTGTTTTATCATAAATTTAAAAAATAAAATGTTTCCAAATGTATAATTTCAGTGAAATAACTATGACATGTATTGATTTATTTCGATTCCAAATATCTAACAGTTGTCAGTAGCGATTTTTACCAAGAGACCTTTTTACGTAAGAAATGGCGGAAATGTATATTTTTTTCTCCCAGTATAGTGTAATATAGGTAAGGGACGACAAATTATTACACTTTAAAACAGTTAAAAAAACATATAAACACAAAAACAGTTAAAAACATACTGACATCGAAATCGAATTTCTCATGTTAAAAGGGTGTATCTTTTGAGATAGATATCAATTTTAAAACCGATATAAAAAAGAAACTTCTACACCCTGGATTCCGAGATGGTTTTTTACCAAGTGACCTTTTTTTGCGTAAAAAGGTAGGAAAGACATTTTTTTTCTCAGTAGTGTAAAGGTACATTCAGGCTGAGAGCGTCGAGCGTCGCGTGGCGTTTGCGTCGCGTCCGCCCTATTGAACTCGAACCCCGACGCTCAGCGGACGCTAGCGCAACGCGAAACGCGACGCTGTCTGCCTGAACGGTCTAATTTAAGTTAAGTAAATTGATTCCATTTCGACACGCGGACGCGACGCAAACACGACGCGACGCTCTCAGCCTGAATGTACCTTAAAGCATGATTTTCATGCATCCGTTATCCGACGATACGAGATTAATTTTATTGGTTGAATTGAAAGATTTCGATTGGTTAGAAATGGTTAACCAATCGAGGTCTTTAAATTCATCCAATAAAATTTTAAAAATATCGTATCGTCGGACAACGGATGCATGAAAATCAAGCTTAACACAGGTACCGATAAAAAGTTATTATATTGTTACGTTTTTCGTCGGTTCCGTGTGGACAGAAAGTCACAATTTATTTAAACACTATTTATTTAACACTAATTAACAAAAACAATAACGATAAAAGACTTATAGAACTATTTACAAACGATTTATAACTAAGAATTTATTTGGAATTTTAGCGCGTCAACTGTATATTTATAACTGCCCTCTCTAGGCCACTGCCGCCGGCTTTTATACCTACAGCAAAAGAAATCTAGAATAGTCCATAGATCGTTAGGCGCATAGAGAAGGTTTTCGAATGTTCTCGTATGTACTAGTCCATTCTAGTGGGTCTCGATTCTTCTCGAACGAATGAATCATTGCGGTGTCTATGCGATGTTAAGGTCATCCGAGGGCGGGCCGTATTGTGAGATTAGGTCGAGTCCACACCGGCTCGCAACACTGCCCCCTTCTTAGGCACATGCTCGTCCCGAGATGTATACGGTGAATGAAGGTATTTGCAAAGCTGGCCCCTGGTACATTGCGAAGTCTGGTAGAAATAGCAGTCTACAGTTTTCTCTCCCGATCTCAGCTTTGGGTTGTAGCAGCAAACGAGGATCTCGATTCCCGTAAATCTGAACAAGACTTCAATCATGCTCCGGATTGTACGCCAACTCAAACCATCGAGTCCACACGCCAGCTTCGGAATGGCTAATCGTGCAATGTTGTTGTTTAGCAGGGCTTCTCTCAGTGCAATCAGGGTCTTCCATAGATTGAGATAAGTCGGCTTACTCGGGGACCATTCCTTGGTGACCAGGTAGAAGATGTGTCTTGCTTGACCATGTGCATTGTCGGTTAGCCTCAAGACGCTTCCAACCTCTGATCCTGTCGGCGTAGTTCTCCGACACGCCCAAACTTCTCATTGAACGTCGCAGCGATTCCTCTGGACATCCGCAAATCTCGAGCCACACAATGAGCGAGCGAATAATCAGGAGGCACGGAAAAGAGGTCTCGTTGATCTTCTTTGGTTACACCATAGCGAGCCTTCTCACTGCTGTTGTATCGGGCCATGAAATCGTCAAAGGACATCTCCGAATCAGGGGGATCAAAGCTGCAGGTTCTCACGGTCCCAGCACGATCTTCAACATTCTTTAACAAGGGCATCAGCAATCGTGGACGCTTCTTGATTTGGCAACGCGTAGGCCTCGACCCATTTGCTGAAGTAATCCATTACTACCACAATGTATTTGTTGCCATCGTTCGTTTCCGGGAAAGGACCAGCCACGTCGATCGCTATTCGTTCGAAGGGACTACCAACATTGTACTGGCGCATAGGGGCTTTACCACGCTTTTGTGGCCCATTAATGGCTGCGCAAATGTCACATTTCTTACACCAGGCCCTCACATCTTCTTTGCAGTTCACCCAGTAGAACCGTTTACGCAGCTTGCCAAGTGTCTTGGTAACACCAAGATGTCCACCGCTGGTTCCATTGTGAACTTCCGCCAAGATTTCCGGGACCTCTTCTTTGGAATGACGATCTGCCTCTCTCTTCTTGTCCCTCTGGTCTCTCAATCACACGGCGAAGTAATACGTTATCTATTACCAATGAATTCCACTGGGACCAGTACGACTTCACGTTCGGCGAATATCTGCAAACTTCCTCCCACGTTGGTCTCTGGTCCGCGTTTTTCCAGTTAATCACCAAGCCCAACTCTGGATCACTGATTTGGTCATTTGCAAGATCTTCGGTTTGCAAACTATCACCAACCACAGTCGTCCTTAAGACTTTCACTTCTTTCTCTTCTTTGTAACGATTTCCCATCTGTCCGCAATTCCAACAGCGAATCGGTCCCCCCTTCTTGCTCATATACCGATCCAGTACTTTCCGCAAAATCCTTTCCACTTTGGAATCGTCGGAACTCTCCTCAACAGCCCGTACAAATCCTAGAGACCTAGAGCATTCTTTCGCGGCCTCAAATTCCAGGGCACGTGCTAGGGCATCTCCCAAATGCGTTGGATGAGCTAAAAGAAGTGTTTGCCTTGTCTCGTTGTCACGTAAACCATCAATAAAAGCCTGTACTGTTAAGCGCTCCATAACATTTTCGGGCATAGCAGGGTACGCAAGGCGAACGAGGCGGGCTACGTCGGCTTCAAACTCCTGCAGAGACTCATTTGACTTTTGAATGCGATTTTTTAGCTGGGAATGATAGACATGTTCCAAATGAGCTTGGCCGTACCTCATTTCTAAATGTCGTACCAATTGCTGATATCTCCCTGTTCCGATGGTGACAGTGTCTGCAGGATATCAGTCGCATCTCCTCGCAGTGCGACAGTCAAAGCGGTAGCCTTTTCAGCGATTGTCCATCCGTTCGCTCTCGCAGCGGCCTCAAACTGGCAAAAATAATTGGCCCAAGCGGTTTTTCCGTCAAACTGTGGAGGCTTAATAACTGACTTTGAGATATACTTGTTTTCGACTAGTTTCGGTGCCTCCGATGTTTCTTTGACATTTGGTGAATTGGGCTTTTCTATTTCTTGTTTTAAAATTTCGATTTTTTTATTTACATCGTCCTCAATTTGTGTTATTTTGCCTTGTAGCTCCGTAGAATTCTCTATAATCTTTTCTTCTAATTCCCTGGAATTTTCTGTTATCTTTTCTTCTAAATTAAGTATTTTATTATTAAAGCTGGCCTGTATGTCTTTAGAATTTTCTGCGATCTTATCTTCTAAAATATTAATTTTATCACTGATTTTCTCTTCTAAATTAACTTCCAAGTCAATTATTTTACTATTCAAATTGCCGTTTAAATTGTCTTGCAATTCCCGGGAATTTTCTGTAATTTTGTCATTCAAACTGTCTTCTAATTTTTGTAGGCACGAGTCAAGGTCACCTTCCAACTCAAAGCAAAATGTGTCAGGATCCTCACCTTCCTCAATCAAAACGTCTCTCAGTCTGGCTTGCAAAATGCTTTTCTTTCCATCTGTCTCGCACTCTCTCTCTTCCAATATACATTTCAGTTCGGACACTTTCAAGTCTTTCAACAATTTTTTCAGAGCCATGGTCAGTCTTTTTATTTTTCTTGTCTATCACACACGCCACACTTGACACCAATTGTTACGTTTTTCGTCGGTTCCGTGTGGACAGAAAGCCACAATTTATTTAAACACTATTTATTTAACACTAATTAACAAAAACAATAACGATAAAAGACTTATAGAACTATTTACAAACGATTTATAACTAAGAATTTATTTTGAATTTTAGCGCGTCAGCTGTATATTTATAACTGCCCTCTCTAGGCCACTGCCGCCGGCTTTTATACCTACAGCAAAAGAAATCTAGAATAGTCCATAGATCGTTAGGAGCATAGAGAAGGTTTTCGAATGTTCTCGTATGTACTAGTCCATTCTAGTGGGTCTCGATTCTTCTCGAACGAATGAATCATTGCGGTGTCTATGCGATGTTAAGGTCATCCGAGGGCGGGCCATATTGTGAGGTTAGGTCGAGTCCACACCGGCTCGCAACAATATTGCCGAAATTTCCTGATTACAATTCGGACCCACCTGTATATTTATATGGCGGATATTTGTTACAGCTATTACTTCGCACCTTCAATCATAAAGTGGAACAACACAAATTAATTATAATATATGACTTAGGTCTTTTTATCACTGAAGGTGCAACATTTTAAATATATCCTTCTTGCCTTTTAATATACGTATCGCCCTACTGAAGCATAGATACCGTATAACCGAAAAAAACGGCGTCGGCAATGGTTATGCAATGACGATCGTTTCAATGATATTCCCCATCTAATTTTACATATAAAATGACAGCGATCTTCATTTCATAGCCATCGCTGACGCAGTTTTTTTTTCGATCATATTGTAGTAAAAAGACCTGGTATATAAATTGGTAAGTGTACCAATCTTTACCAACTGTGTATGTTATCTTCTATATGTCTTGTTTAAATTTTAAGAAATTTTAATACAAATAAAAAACGATAATTAAAAAACTACTATTTATTTATGTAAATAAAATCTATGAAATTTCATTATATACTAAAAACAGCTGAATAATCACATAAGCATTAAACATTGCACAAATTTAAAAATATAAATTATAACATAGCATTTATCATGAAAAAATTGCACACGCTATATAATTATATACCTGAATAAAATAAATCAGTAAATCTAAGAAAACACACTGAGAGTATACACCGACATAATTTTTAAAATGAAAAAATAAAAATAATTTTTGAATAACTATATCAGTACTAATCAATAAATATGTAAACATTAATAAAATTGAGATATAAACCTGATTCATATCTTTCATATTTTTAAATAAGAATTTTTTTTTGAAGAACTACAACACTCTCCTAAAAATGATGATATCTTTACATATCAAAATGAAAATTTCTGTTATATTTATGGTTGGTTTTTCCTTAAATCTATATAAATACATTTTTTTAATTTTACGTCCTATTAGATGAATCATGGTAATCATAGCAATTAGTTTCACAACATATATTTTATCCTATTACCTACTCAGTCAATATACAGGGTGTCATGATTGATAATAACGTTTATGAAAAATAGAAAACTAATTTTCATTAAGTCACATTTTCAAAAAAATCTTATTGCAAATATTCAAGTTAATTTCCTTATCTCTATAAAATCCCACACAAAAAGATTCTAGAAACTCCAGGCAAGAAGTGAAATAAGCTAAAAATCAAGATATTCACAGTTTGGCAAAAAATAATATTAACATATAGGTACTTATCATAAAGTAATAAAAGATAAAATAAAAGCATAATAGATATAAGTTTAAACTAATGAGCCTCAAGATTTAGGAGAAAGTAGAAAAAAAAAAAGAAAAGAAAAACATTTTAAAAACCAAATATTCATGAAAGAGTAATTCAAATTCCTAAGAAGTTTTTATAATACATATTTAGCAAAGATATATGTTTTTGGGCAGGATTTTTTAATTTTAAGGTAGATATCACAAAAATATTGATGAATGACATTATAAATAATAAAAATTTAGAAATATAGGTACAACTATACCAAAATTTAAATTTGCAAAAAGATCCAATTATTTGTTCCCTATAAACGTTTATCCTACTGTCAACTATATCAGTCAAACAAAAAAAAATAGTTTCATATATGTTTTTAGAAGCTTCTGGTTCTACTGGTTCAAAGCTGTATGTCAGTTTTAAAATTTGTCTACTATGGCACTATATTTTTTCATTAAAATTTAGATAAGACTAGAAAATTTTAAAATATCTATAGTCATAAAAATGTGAATGTAATGTCCAAGAAAAAAGAGAGAATACAATTTACAATGTAATAAAATATTTTTCTTAAAACAAGTTTTCAGATAAAAACCTTCTAATCTTTTTAGAGGGTGGATTCTTTTTAGAATTTTTAATAACATCTGATGATTTTGATTTTTTTCTAAAATATCTAAAGTCATCTGCATGATCTGGATGGAGCATTTGTTTATAATTTTTAGGAACACAAAGTTCTGGGAATGAATGAAAAAATGTTTTATAACCACCTTCAAGTATATAAATTTCAGGATACACTAAATTGGGATAATTTGATGAATTCATCAGACGGTCCTCTTTTCTGTAAAAACAAAAAATATTACTATATGTATATGTTTAAATTATTCAGTGCATATTCATTTATAACAGTTACTAAATTTAAGTTACCTTAAAAGTCTACTCATACTGGGGCCCCTTTCCATTGAAAATTCGCAATGGAATATTAGGATATGTCTTCCACCAGCTTGTTTAACTGGCTTATGCAAGAGCTTCAAACATTGCTCTTGGGTATATATATTTATGGCACCTTCAATATGGCCTCCATTATACTCATAGGGATATCTACAGTCAATTATCTGCAAATTCAGAAAAAAATTATTACTATTTGAAATGAAAAGAAATAATTTATTATCACACTTACTAAAAAAGAGTTCAACATTGGGGTATATTTTCCTCGAATAACATTACTCATTGTTAGAGAAGATATTGATTTTAAATCTGGATGACTTCCAGTAATTAATGGCAAGATATAGGGTTTTGAAAAATCACCAATTAAATCTGAATCAGATTCAGATTTTTCTACAGCCTCTTTAACTTTTTCTTCCTGATATATCAATTCTGATGGCGTTTTTAGATCAATTTCATTGCATTTGATTTTTTTTCTGGGGGTAAAATTATCAAGGAATTCTGGTTCAGAATCATCACATACACCATCAAATAATTTAAGGCGCTTCAAATTCACAACGGTATCGCAAGTGGGGCTCGCCGTATTATCTGGTGTTCGAAATAAACGTTTTTTCTTACCAAATATATGATCCCTATTGGGCGTAGAATCTTCATCGTCAGCACTAGCTAATGAAAAACATAAAATAGAATTTTCCGCAGTCTCATCTCTCAACGGAGAATCTGCCAGTAACTCAAAATCTGACGGAGGCTCTTCGCAAAAGCCCGAATCTTTCGTATCAGCATCGAAAAGAGAGACTTCTTTAAGTTTTTCTGGAAAAAAACCGGCACCGTGTTCACACATTTTTAATCTGCCAGCTGATTTTCGCGCCTTTTCAAATCAGATAAATAAATGTGAACTTGGCAACAGTACATAAAAACTACTGTCATTTTTTTCGACCACAGCACACATAAGAACATTGAATATGATCTAGGGAGGGTAAGAGATTATTTACGACATATTTGTAATAAATAATTATAATAAAAACTTTCTGTGTTATAAAAAACACATATCAATACCACATTTTACCTAAACAAAATCAATTGTTATCAACCAAATTGAATTGATATTTACTGACGTTTTTTACTTACGTGTAAAAAAAACAAAAATCATATAAACTTTTTACTTTTCTAGGACGGTTCAGATCAAAGGTTCAGATCGATAATAAGAAAAACCCCTTCCATATCTCTATTATATACTGGGTGGTCCAGAAAATCCGTTGCGAATCAATGTCATAATTTTTAATGGGACATTTCATTGGGGACATTCAGTATAAAATCATTCTGATTTAAAATTTCTGGAATTGTTCGTACTGGACAGCACGTGGGCAGCAGACTGGACTGAGTTTAGATCGCAATCCCGATGGTGCCACGATGTGAACTTGCTTATTTGAAATTTTACATTTTTTTATATAGGTATTTATTTGGATTTTAAATACAAAATTATCAATATATTTTATATTAATGTTGAATTATTTTTTGGCCTCTTTATTAATCTCGAAAAAAATACTCTCCTCATCCATAGTTTTTTGGGCTCAAGTTTCGTTTAGCCGAAATCAGTTACATAGAATATCGGTTTTTAGGATGATTCTATACAAGAAAACTAGCACTACATAATTTAATTTTTGCCGCGGAAATTCTTTGTTTTTGAGAAAAACTCGAATTTTTTATTTTTCTATTATTAACAAAAATTTAAAACTTTACGGTGTTTTTAATAGTTTTTTCATTATAGAATGACGTAAAAACATTTAATATGACGATGTGAACTAATTTTTGTTCGAAAATATATTTTTATTACATTAATTTTCATTGATTTTTCCGGGTTTAGAAGTGCCGAAATGTGATAGGAAGATAAAAACTGCATATTTTTGTTTGATTAAAAATTTCCTATAACTTTTTCTATAACTTTTTCCGCGGAAATTTATTATAAGGGCGGTGGAAAATCTTCAATATTTCGAAGTTTTCCATAGTATTCTCAACTTTTTTACATATACTTTCGGTTTAGTTTTAGTTAGTTTAATTGTTTTTATTGAGTTTGGTTGTAATAGGTTTAGTTGGTTTGGTTTGGTTTAGTTGTCGTTTTTATGCTTTATTTACATTTTTTTTTTAATTTTCGCATTTATTGACCATAACGATATTCAGTTGATAAGAATAGATATTATTCATTGATCTGTGTCAAAGGTCGGGAAGATCACTGCATAGTGGTGAAATAACAGAGTTCCGCGGATTTTAATTTTTGTATCGGTGCTTAAAAACAATACAAAATAATATTAATTTTTTATATCTCGTCATTTCGTTACTTCTAAACCGTATACAAAAAGTGGCATCAGCGCATTTCCGCGGAATTTCGTTTTCGTATTAGTAGTTACCTACTTGTAGTTACAAAGACGTCTAAATTATGAATTAACATTAATTTTTCATGTGTCATTTCGTTACTTTTAAACCGCATTCAAAAAATGGTGACGCAATTTCGCGGCAAATTTTTTTTTAGTAATATACTCCCTGAGGTACCTAAATGACAAAAAATGTTTTTTTTTTCTTTTTTAACAGATTTCGGCTAAACGAAACTTGACCCGATTTTGGTATTCAACTAGAAAAAAATCAGTGTCAAGTTAAAAAGGCGAATCGATATATGTGTATAAAATTATGGCATTGTTATCGATTCGCAACTAATTTGACGCTATTTTTAGGATTATTACGCGGTTTTTTAAAATTTATATAAAATGCAAAAAATAATACATACTACATTGAAAAACGGGATGATCCATAAAAAAACGTCTTCAAAAACTTCAGGCAAAGAGTTACTAGCTTTGTTCGGGTTCTTATTGTTATTACCGATTCTGAACCGTCCTAGAATTCGGCAGCGAATGCGCAAATGAAATAATGTCTTCATATTTCCTTCTGCGCATACGCATCACAGTTCTAGAGGACGGTTCAGAATCGGTAATAAGAGAAACCCGAAGTAAGCTAATATCTTATTTGCTTCAGGTGCGTATTCAGGGTCCAAAAATAAACATAAAATTCTAAATAAATGTGTCCGCAAGGCCTTCGTTTTTAATCTACAGGGTGTTGATCTACAAGCTTTAAATTAATGTTTCTATTTTTAGTATCATAAAATTTATGATAGTATAAATATAATAATTTAATAAAAATTGAAATAGTGAGGGGAATATATAAAAACAGAAGGAAAAAATTAATTGGGGCTTTAGGCTCCCGTTTGCTCCTTTTATTTTCCATTATTTATTTTCGTTTCTTCATCATTTTTTTTCCATCTCCTGGGTTGCACACGGTGCATCTTTGCATCGTTTGCTTCCTGTTTTTTTGTGTTTTGGGATCGGTTTTTTCGCTTCCTGATTCCTTACCGTACTGATGAAACCTGAAGGCAGTTACATCAGTGTGCACTAGTGTAGATGTGGTTGTGTGAGTGTGCGTGTCTGCACTGGTGTATACGGTTACGAGTTTGTTGAGGGCTTGCCGATTAATTTTTTCCTTCTGTTTTTATAATAATTTATATATCTCGAAAACGCTATACAGTATACCAGATATACCTCTTTGAAGTAAAAATAACAAAGGAATCATCATTACTCAAAAATTTAATACAGTGCCAAACCAAAAAGTTGTAGTTATTCGAAGGAGTAGAAAGAAAGACATGTAGATGGCGCCCTCTAGGTAAATTATATCATTTTTTAGAATGTCTGTCGAAATCTTTGTTGCCTTGCTGGACAGACTTTACATAATTTTTTAACTTGCTTTAACTACTATATGATAAAAAAAACGACGTAAGCGATGGCTATGAAATGAAGATCGCTGTCATTTTATATGTGAAATTATATGGGAAATATCATCGATTGTCATTACCACGCCAACTGGACGCCGTTTTTTTCGATCATACGATATAATAAATAGTTTGTTATATAGAATTTTCTAAGATGTAAGAAAAATATTAGTGGTTAATAATTAACTAGTTTCATAAAATAATAATAAAATTAATATTAACTTCCGAAACAAACCAAATAAGAAACGGTATAACGAAATGATTATAGTTCAATAACAATGGATAGGTAAGGAAATCATAGAAAAACAGTAAGAAAGAGTCTTAAAATAGTTAATATCTCTGGAATAAAAGCACTATTGAGGTTTCAAATAAGCACCTTATACAGGTCGCTGTTTCATGCAACAGAGGTTTTTAAAGTATGTATATGTGAAAAGTAATGTTACAATTTCGAATTAGTATTAGGAGTTTCGTGTGAATAAATAAATTTATTAGTTTATTTAGATTTGATACAATCGTTTATTATAAAGGTAAGAAACATAAAATAATAATTTAATGTTTGATAACATTTTTAACATTAGCTATAAGACAAATATGCATTTAAGCTTAATACATATATTTTTTTAAGTAAAGTAAAAATAACAATAAGTTTTCGAAATTTCTAAAATGTTTGACAAATTAATGCTTCTTACAATTATAATTTTAATTGCAATATATATCTTGTAGGCTAATTAACAAAAAATATTTTTAGTGATAAAATAAAATGAAAAAAACCATATAAAATGACAGATCCGATAGATACACAGTGTTTATACAGTATAAATGGAATCATAAATACCTTAACCAGTAACAAAGAAGGAGAATGTAATGAAAACGAAAGATATGGTATGATGTTCAAGATGAATTTGCTTTTAAAAATTTAACTAAACCACAATTAAAACTATACATTTGTATGAGGATAAAACTAAAGTCTGACCAACGATTTGGGAGAGATTTCGACAGACGACATCCAAAAAATGAAAGACAAAACTATCATTTGACACGTATCCTTTCTCGTTAGACAGATAGTATTGAGTTCTTACGCTTATATACAGGGTGGTCCGAACCGTATTCCGGAAACTTCGAGAGCATATTCTGCCGATAAAAAGAAGTAAAAAACTTCTTATAAATGTATGTTCTAAAATGCTTAGTTTCGGAGATACAGGGTGTAGAAGTTTTATTTTTATTTCAATTTTTTCCAAATCATTTCTGAAGTAACGTCAATATTTGGATGAAAATTGGTGTCTGGGAGTTTTTTGACATGAGAAATTTGATTTTTTTTTATGTCATTTTGACCATATTATGACTCCTAGTTGTAGCGGGCGCCACTTACATGTGTTTTAACTGGTTTGAAGAGTAATAACTTTTTGTCCGTACCTGTATAGAACTACTGAGTGAAAAAATATTCATTTTTGTATTTTTTACGTAAAAAATGTCTCTTGGTAAAAATCGTTACGAGTAACCATTATAGAGATATTTAGAATGGGAATAGTCAATACATGTATTGACAAAAACATGCGTTGAGTAGATATAGTTACTGGACTAAAAAGATAAATTGGGAAAATTTTTATTTTTTTGAATTAATCATAAAATTGTCTTCGAAAAACATTTCAAATTTATGATTTCCGTCTATTAACTATTTAGTCTCAACATGTTTAATTTATGTCGATGATGACAGGTATTGATAATTTCGATTTCAAATATCTCGAGAACTATTACTCGTAGCGATTTTTATTAAGATATCTTTTTTACGTTAAAAATCACGGAAATGTAATTTTTTTTACTTAGTAGTTTTATACAGGTACGGACGAAAAGTTATTACTCTTCAAACCAGTTAAAAATATGTAGGTGGCGCCCTCTACAAGTAGGAGCCATATTGACATCAAAATCGAATTTCTCATATCAAAAAACTCCCAGCCACCAAATTTCATCCAAATATGTTACTGCAGAAATTATTTGGAAAAAACCGAAATAAAAATACATTTATAAGAACTTTTTACTTATTTTTAACTGCAGAATATGTTGCTGAAGTTTCCGGAATACAGTTCGGACCACCCTGTATACCGTATGGTCGTAAAAACCGCGTCAAAGATGACTGGAAAATGACAAAATCGTTGATAATTTTGGCGAGGTCAATCTCTAGACGTCATTTACTAAACATTGACACACCCAAAAATTAACACTAATTATATAAATCTTAAAAAGGAATAGAAATCTTCCAGACGCACAAATCTATTTGCAAAAAAATATTTTCCCGAATTTTAAACTAGAGCATTTGTTTTATTATTACTCAATATAAAAATAAATTACAATCTTCTTAAGGTCAACTGGCAGTAAGCGCCATTAAAGAATAAAGAAGAGTATGGGCCAAGTTCATAGTACAAAGAATACAAGGTATGATATTGCGCAGGTTGATCGCTACGTCACAGGTGATAACTGGCGCTATTGGTCAGCACTCTCAAATTGTCAAGATATTGTTATAAACCTGTTTTTTTGTTTATATACCGTCATTGAATTATCGCTAAGCAAGTTACTGTGGAGCAGTGCGTAAGGAGTCGGGCTAGGAAGCGAGAGACCTGAGTTCGAATCTCGGCCGGGACATAACTTTTTATTTATTTTTTAAATACTGTTGTATTCTATAGTTTATTTTTGTAGTATAAAAAAAAGAACTATTTATTCTGTTATTTTTAATCTCCGGTATTAATATAAATTGATTGTTGGTACAACACCTCATTTAATATAAAATAATATCTACTTTTTGAAATGTATCGGGCACTAATTGTACCTAAAAGTAATATATTTTTAGTGATATACCATATTGTAAACTATTTAATATTTCAGTCACTTAAAAAGTTAATTTGCATTGAATAATTGCCTACCATTAAAGGAAATTTGAGCTATATAATCCTTGATGGTCATATTCTGGGTATGCAAATACTTCCTCTAAATTTTGGGTTTCGTTCAACCGATTTATTCTCAAAACCTGAAACATCTACATATAAAAAGAAGCACAGGTCACTAATTATAATAGACTTCACCCTTGGAATTACTTCTATCACAATTACAATACATTCATCTGCATTGGCATTTTCTACTTTTCGATGGGAAACTTCAACTTCCCAACATTTTTTAAATGATGTAACAATTCCTCTTGTGGTTACTTTTCCATAGATATCCTCATCTCTGTCCTCATGTGAATTCAGAGGCAATGAACATGAAAATTATTTACCATAAACATCGCAAACTAAAAACCTAATAAACAATTTTATACCGAATATAGAAATAAATTCAGTATTCTTACCTATTATTATCGTCCAAATCCATGTTAATAGATAATTATTTTTAAATATATTTTTGGAACTGCTGGTTTTAGTAATTATTAAATTAAACGAACTAAAAAGTCTAAAAAATAAACAATTCTTAACCATAACCCTAAAAAATGCAGATCTCCTGTCAACTTTCTTTATTTTTTATTTATTCATTATTTTCAAATACATTTAAATTTTTATTAAAACGTATTTGATTATTTTCCTGGTGACGTCACAGGTGGTATGCGCGAACTGAACGAAATTGGAGCCGCTATCGATCATACCTTGTATTCTTTGTACCATGGGCCAAGTTAATGACGTGTAGGTCTTAACCTCGCTAAAGTTATTATCGATTGTCATTCCCCAGCCGTCTTTGACGCCGTTTTTATCGATCGTATGGTGTCATGAAATGTAAAAAAAGTTTATTTTAATAAACGTTTTTAATATTACTGTATGTACAAATACCTTCACTATACCTGTAATTTTCTATTTATTTATAAAAAAATAAATCGTTATTTTTAAATGAAACAACTGTTGCTAACTGTTATTTCTATGCAATTTTTTACTGCAATATAATTTGCAATTTTTTACTGCATTATAATACCTACATACATACTTAGAACCACACTTGTATTAGAATTTAAAAAATAGAAACGGCGACATGAATTGCGTAATCGAAAAAAAAACGACGTCGAAGACGGCTGGGGAATGGCAATCGGTGATAATTTTGGGGAGGTTAGTCTCTACACGTCATTTCCTAAAAAGTGACGTAAAAATCTAAATTAACACTAATTGTAAAAAGATTAGAAATAGAATAGAAAAACTGTTCCCAGACACACAAATCTATTTCAAAAAAAAATATTTTTCTAGAATTTTAAACCTATATGTATATCATTTAATTTTTTTTACTCCATATAAAAATAAATTGCCAAACTTTCATAAAATCATCTGGCAGTAAGCGCCATTGAAAATAAAGAAGTACGGACCAAGTTATGATGTCTAGGGCTAGGAAAAAAAAAAGGCGTCAAAGAAGATTGGGAATTCTTTGACGCCTTTTTTTTCATACGCTATATGTACTATGTTGAAATGGTAAAAAAAAATATTTAAAGGTAAATTTTAAATTTTTCATTAATTAAAAATTTTAAAAAATAGCAAAATATTTAATTTATTCTTGTCAATATTTGTTATAAAACCAAATATTCTTACCTGCCAAAATCCAAATCAAATAGTTTTAAATTTTCTCTTGTTTTAACTACCACTCAAGAAGTGTAAGTATATAAAACTAAAGAACCTGGACAGAAATGTCAGCCTCTAACTATAATAAGCAAAACATGTTCTAATAATTTAATTATAAAATTCCGACTGGCTTTTATTTAATTAAGAACAAATTGAATAATAGAATTTTTCTAATTAAATTTTCTGTTCAATCTTAACGGTATTTATTTAAGTGATGAGCACCTTGACATAAAAAATACTATACCTTCTAAGAAAATAATAAATAGTATAAAATAAAAACTTTTTTAAGATTATTCTACTAGTTTGAAGAATTTTCCAAACGAAGAAGTGACATTATCTAATACAAATCTAAAAAGGAAGCAGAGACGATACAGGTAAGTCAACTAAACTTTTTTTTGTTATTTTGAATAACATTACAAACCATACCGGGTGGTGCATCGTCGTTGGAAACAGAAAATTCCATGCAAATTTTAAACTGTCCAGCTATTGGCCTTCCTGTTCATTTTGCAGCGAAGTTGTCAATAGGGTTTTTAAAGGTCTGCCTATGCTGAATACCCATGCCAAATTTGAATAACACCACTTAAGTACATTTTAGAAATATTTCAAATTACAAAAAAAATATTGAATTTTCTCATATTTATTCCTTTTGTAACTTGTAATTAATAACCACTTGTAAATTTTATTATTTTTGTTGGATTTTTTCTGCGTATTATTTTTGTTGTACAAACTAAATGCCATAAAAATATTAAAAATAAATATTTCTAAAAATATAAATCATTTCTTGTATAAACTTTATTTACTAAAAACTATTATGTTTTAAATAAACAAGAACTTTTTTTCGTATATCTGTTACGGTTAAGGTCCGATACCCGTTTAATATCAACATATATATTAAACGGTTAATCTCGAAAATAACGCAAAACAAAACAAACCATAAACAAAACCAAACTCAAACATTAACCCCGGACATCGAACTTTAACCGTAACATAATATCGTCCTATTGCTGCCAAAACTCATTAACTAACATTTTTCCGAATAACCTAAAAATTCAATCACTATAATTATATTTTGAAGCGGAGAATCGATTGAAAAAGTCATGAACTACGATTTCTCTCTATTTATGCTGTATTTTAATACCGAATAGTCACTAACAGCAACTTTATGCAATGTAATTAATCTTTAGACGTGTTTTTCTATGCATTTTTCTCGGAAGTAATAAAAAGTAAGTTAGTGACCTTTGGCAGCAACAGGACGATATATCGTTCCATTGCTGGCAAAAGCATGGCAAAAGTCACTACTTACATTTTATTAATTTTATTACTTCCGATAAAAACGCGTCTAAAGATTAATTGCATTGTATAAAGTTGTTAGTGACTATTCGATATTAAAATACAGCATTAATAGTCAGAAATCGTAGATAATGACTTTTTAAATACATTCTCCGCTTCAAAATATAGTTAGTGATTGAATTTTCAGGTTGTTCGTTAAAATATTATTTAGTGACTTTTGGCAGCAATAGGACGATATCTATTAATAAATTAAGAATTATGCATCATAAATTGATAAATTATGAAATTTTTATAGAGTAACAGGCAGATACTTCCCATCTAAAATTTCAGAACACGATTTGTTAAAAAACACAAAAAATAATTTTACTTTTCGTATTTTCATTAAAATAAATTAAAAACTGTATATCATAAATTGATAAATTATGAAATTGCGATAGTGTATACAGGCAGCTACTTTTTCTGATATAAAATTTCACATACAATTCTTTAAAAAAAGCTTTTTTTTAATAAAACAGTACAAGTAACAACTAGGCCGGAAAGAGTTTCTTTAAATTCCCTATTAAAAAGTATGCCGAGTGCGTCTCAAAAGTGGCTCACCCCTATAACTTTTTTATATGTTTAAATAAAAAAAACGAGATTTCGTATGTTAGTATATGACGTAAATTAGGATTGATTGACGTATTCATTTTTTTACCACTTCCTGTTTCACTCGAAATGACTACAACTTTTGATTTTTAAATGGCACCCTCGGTATTTTTTTTATATTATTCGATACAAAATGACACTCTGAATAGAATAACATATCACATGTCAACTTTTGACCTTTTTGCTTAAAAAAAATTATTTTAAATTTCAGTCCAGAGTCAGAGTGCCATGGCGTGTTAAAAACACTAATTTTTAATCAAGGAGCCTTGGAAAAATAAATTTGATCGTCTACTGTTTTTAGTAATTTGTCCTGACCGATTAAAAAATGCCCATATCGTATTCGGTATTTTTAACAATATCTCATTTTTTTCAAATGGGTCACTATATAGCATATTAATTTGGAAAAAGATTTTTTTTTTCGAATAATTTGGTACCACACACTTGGTATTTCCAGTCAAATTGTCATTATGAACCACATGTTACAATTTCAAATAAACCATATCCGAAAATGTCAAAAGTTGACATATGATGTGTCATTCTATTCGGGGTGTCATTTTCTATTGTATAAAGCAAAAAATACCGAGGGTGCCATTTAAAAATAAAAAGTTGTACTCATTTCCGGTGAAACAGGAAATGACTGAAGACAATTGAATACGTCAATCAATCCTAATTTATGTCAGGTATTAACATATCAAATCTGATGGTGAGCGAGAATGTAATATGGCGCGTGTAAGAACATATAAATTTGCTGATGGTGGTCAAAAGACGAAACGTTGGATGACAAATCTGAAAACACTGTCGTATAACTGGAAAGTAGTGAAAATAAAAATCGCTTTTAGTTTTGGTATACCTTGCCAAATAACGTCAGAAAAAAGTAAAATCGAAATCTTCAATTTTCGGTTTTTCTCGAATATCTCCGGAACTACTAAGAACCTTAAATGTTTCTAAAGGGTATATTATTAGACACATTAATGCACAACTTTACTATAATTTACCCATATCTCCAGGGGCGCAACTAGACATATACTTTTAGGGGGGCTTAACTCTTTTGGGGGCGCTTAGGTCACTATAAGATAATATTGATGTGAGGTTAAGGCCAATTTTATAAGAGACGCACGGTTTATCAGGGCGGGCTAAGCCCCCCGGCCCCTCCCTAGTTGCGCCTCTGCATATCTCCTATAGTTTTCGACGTCGCAAAAACTGATGATTGATTTATTTACAGAACGACATTTTCAAATTATCAACTAGAAGAACTTGAAAGAGCTTTCAGTAAAACCCACTATCCGGACGTGTTTTTTCGCGAAGAACTGGCTTTGAGAATAGACTTGACGGAAGCAAGAGTGCAGGTTTGGTTTCAAAATCGCAGAGCAAAATGGAGAAAACAGGATAAAAATTCTCCGAAGTATATGGGAAACACATCTGCCAATGGTAATAATAATACCAGATGATCGAAACAAAAAACAGAGCCAAAGACGACTGGGAAATGAAAATCGATAAGAATTTTGGCGAGGTCAAGCCCTAGACGTCATTATTTAGCCCGTGCCTATCTTTATTTTTTAGTGGCGCTTACTGCCAGGTGGTCTCAAAACGTTGTAATTTATTTTTATATTGAAAAAAAAAGTATTTTTAAATTGTGTAGATTAAAAATAAATTTTTGGAGAAAAAGTAATTTTTTGGAAATAGACTTATTTGTCTGGAAACGTTCTATCTGTTTTCAACCTTTCTATAACTAGTGTTTATTTTTGACAAGTTTTAAGTTAATTTTTAATAAATGACGTCTAGAGATTGACCTCGCCAAAATTATTATCGATTGTCATTTCCCAGTCGCTTTTACGCGTTTTTTTATCAAATGAGGCAATGTGTGGAAGTTACTTGCCCGTGCTTTCTATCCGCGCCGTTTTAACTGTACGGTCAAAACCGATCAAAATATCCGAAGTGTATGGTGGCCTTAATTCAGGCACAAACTTCTAAGTCCCTGCTCTTTACTCATACTTAAATTTACCTAAAAAGGATATTTTGATTTTTAACGTTTAAAACTAACCATAAAAATAGGCACTTATTTTTTTAAATATGTTATCTTGCAGATTGTCCTTCCGCAATAGATTCGCCGCTTAACTTTGTGACGTCAGATAATGTCAGCAACTCAAACGTGTATTTGGGATTGGAGTGGCCAAATATGATATCTCCTATTCAATTTGCACCCTCTTCTTCGACTGAACTATACCTCAATCCGCAGCAGATAATAGAAACCTCTCAACGGCATATCAGGCAAGTTTAGAATCTATTGATCAATTGCGATGATATCTGGTGACGCCACTGAATATACAGTGCAAATATTTTCAGGGCTGGTAGATCTCGATAAAAGAAACATATTTTCTCTTTATCGTTTTTCAAATAAATCCAAAATAACTGAGTTATTTTACTTTGAAAATTTCCAAAAAAAATATTTTTTGCTAAAATTTTGAGAACCACTGGATCATTTCTGGGTTTTCTTTCTTGTAAATTTAATCTACTACCTATGTTGCCATATTACCAAGAAATAATGTTTTTTTATCTAAAAATTAGAAAAATTTGCAATTTTTTAAAAAAATTCCAAATTTTCTCAATTTTTTTTCGCGAAAAAAACTCATAATCGTATTTCTGGGGTCGAAATATACAACCTCAAAAAATATTTGCACTTATTTAAGACTCACCCTGTATAACTAACAAAATAATGAGTTCTAGTATGTATTTAATGCGCTTATATTTAAATGTCGATACTAAAAGACTTAAAGACCGTTTAAAATATTTTTTCATAGTAGGTACTGTAATTGTTAATATACCGGATATTTTCTGGTATAAAGTGGCTCACCCCTATAACTTTTTTATATATATTCACATAAAAAGACGAAATTTGATATGTTAATATATGGCATAAATCGGCACTTCCTGTTTCCTCTTTCATCGGAAATGACTACGACTTTTGATTTTTAAAAGGTACCACCGTGCTTGCTTATAATATGATAAAAAATGACATTCTGAATAGAATAATATATCGTATGTCAATTTTTGACATTTTCAATTAAAAAAAAGTATTTTAAATTTCAATCTATAGTGCCATGGCTCTGTTTTAACACTATAGATTGTGGCCTGTCTAATGTTTTTCGTGTCTTTTCTTGGCCGGTTAAAAGATTACCAAATCGTATTTTTAATCAACTAAATTTTTTGAAATGGAACGAGGGTGGCTCGTCAGTATATTTGGAAAAAGCATTTTTTACGTAAACTTTGGTACCACATATTTAGTATTTCGAGTCAAATTGTCGTTATATTTAATGTCGTGGCACTCTAGATTGAAATTCAATATATCAGTTTTTTTAGGAGAAAATGTCAAACTTGACTTGTAATATGTAATAAGTCATATTCTAATCAAAATATCATTTTCTATCAAATAAAGTAAAAAATGCGGAGGGTATCATTTAATTTTTTTTCCGGTGAAACAGGAAGTGATCGAAAGTAACTGAAAACGTCAATCTATCCTGATTTATGTCCAATAGGCTTGGTGCATATCAATTGATTTCAACAAATTCCGACTGCAGTGCTTCAACGGCATGAAATTAGAAATTATCAGTATGTATTTTTTTTGTTTGTATGTTTGTACTTTTCATGTACGAGGTTTGTGTGATATAACGCTGTTTCGGGTAGTAAAAAATAAGTGAACTTCGAGAACAGTGCAGTCGTGGTATTTCTGAAATTTTTGTATAAGTAACCAATGTTATTCAAAATATTTACAGCACGCCCATCAATTGCTTGCTAATAGAGAACGGATCGACCGACGTACTGTACCAAATATCATTTTTTTTTTCTGAAAAGAATAAAAAGGTTATAGGAGTGAGCCACTTTTTGTAAACACCCGGTATAACAGATATTATGTTTTATTATTCTAACACTACATGTTCTTTTCCTTAGCCAAGACAATTCCTGTCACATAAATCTAAGTTTAGCCGAACCTACAAATCTTATTCAGCCAAGCCTAATGGAACATGCATCTTCGCAAAATAGCACCCTAACTATTTCGATGGAAAGTTTTTTAGATAATTCAATAAGAAACAGTCCGGATGATAGATGTGTTGGACAAGGAGTTTGTGCTCTAGAGCAATGCCCGCTTGAAAATGCCTGTTCCATCGAATGTAGCTCGATACAGAATTCAATATCGGCTTCAAGGCATGCTTTACTTTCCGAAATGGGCGAGGAATGTTTGAATTTGGGAATTCCGGACTGCAAAGAAGACGACGACGATATATCAATCGATTCCGATCTGCTTACTTTAAAGCCAAAAATTAAATGCGTAAATTATCCAAATGATGATCACCGGTCGTTGAATTAGTTATCTACTAATATTTCTTTTTATATGTCATAAATATCAAGTTTATATGTTAAATAAAAATAATAATAAGTATTAGCATTTTTTATTTGTATTCTGGCGATCATGAGGCTCAACTCAATCAGGACCGCTTTACCCATTAGGCAAGATAGGCAGCTGCCTAGGGCGGCAGCACGGCGGCAAGATGATGGGGGTGGCAAATTTTGGAAAATAATATTTACGTAAATAAAACATACTGGCACAGTATCGTATTAGTTTTGAATTACTAAAATCAAATCAAAACTTATATTACATAATATATTTTTTGCATCTATTAGTCATTTTGTAAGATGATTCGAATTTATTTTACGTAGGTACCTAAGATTTTGCCTAAGAAAAATGTCAAGGAAGAAATTCTCCCAAAGAATAGGTACATTTTATAATTTTTAATTTAACGTTATATTATTTTTTTTTATATGTTTAATTGTCACTATTCAGTTATTTTTTAAGACTGCACATTTGACGTCCTTTTAAATAAAAATGTACAGGCTTTGCCAAAAAATTGGCAACCAATGGGAAAATATTTTATAATTTAGTTATTGAACATAGGAAAAATCAAGAAAATGTGTAAAAAAGATATTCTTCAGCATGTCATTCAATATCATTAATCATTAATCATAATGCCGTTAATCATTAATCATAATGCCGATATACTACGAAAAACCTTCTAATAATATGCAAAAAGTAGAATCAGGTAATTAAATATTCAAAAAAATAAAAAAATCTGAATTTAATTTATCATCTATTTAATCAAGTTTCAAAATATACTGAGACTTTCAAAAATAACATTCTCAATAATTAATTTTCGAAAAAAAAAATTCGTATGTAAAAGTATGAATGACACAAGAAAATATGAATCAAATAAAATATTTTCCAATGCAGTTAAGTATTTTAACTCATCTACTGTCCCGGAATAAGTATAAAAAAAAAACTAAAAATGTTAATTCTCACTTTGATACAATGACCCATAGACAACAAAAAATCATTCGAAGTAACTTTATACTTTCTAAGTGATCTGATCTGACAAAAAAATCTACAAACCATTGCAAGAAGTTTGATATCATAAAAATTGCCATTTTATTTTTTTTTAACTATTTACAGTATAGTAAAATATATTATGTTGGAAATTAATTATGTTGGAAATTAATATCTTTTATTTATGTAATTTTAGCGAAAAAATTAAAAAAAAATAATTTTCTCCGAAAAATATATAAAGAGCTATCTTTTAACCTCCCTGTATATTTATGAAACACAATACTTGGATATACGCCGTAAAATAATATTCTGAACATCTTTTTTCTTTGACTCTTCTCGATGTTTGGTCTCCTAAGATAAATTTTTACATGTAAGTGGGTAAAGGGAACTGTTTGAATTTCCCACCATGGCAGTTGTCGCTTTACATAGTGTCATTTTTTTAAAAAACAACTAAACACCTTTTTAAAAACTCAACGAAATAAATTCCATTTGTTGCCTGTATTAGGTATTAAAGATTTACTTGAATTTTTATTAGTGAGAGGGGGCGGCAAAAGAATGGTGCCTAGGTACCAACTTACGTTAACGCGGCCCTGAACTCAATCCTGCATCAAGTCAACCTTAGCGCTAAAAATTGAATACGAACTACAACCTATACGATATAGGCTTGACGCATTTCAGTTTATTTAAAAAATTCCGACCGCAGCGCTCGATGCGGCAGAAATCAGAAGTTTCGGATCTGTATTTCATGCAGTTCCGATGTTGATCGCATTGAAATAATATTAAAATCGTGGCGTTGTTAAAATATTTAAGTATTTTAGTTTTTAATAGTGCAGTTATTGAAACTATAAAACACTCAGGTACGAGGTTTGTGTAATGTAACGCTGTTTCGGCGCATGTAATGTAACGCTGTTTCGCATGGCGTAGGCATTGCTGTCAAAAACGAAATCGCCACCAGTTTAACAGAAGTGCCCATTGGAGTCTCCGAACGTCTCATGACTCTAAGGTACCCTATATCAGATAAAACCTACGTCAATATCATTAGTGCCTACGCTCCCACCCTAGCCGCTAAGGTTGAGGAAAAGGATAAATTTTACCAAGATCTACAAAATGTTCTCCAACGAATTCCAAAGCAGGAGCGAATCATCTTGCTAGGTGATTTTAATGCACGTGTCGGTAATCAGCAAGAAATATGGCCAGACGTATTAGGAAAACATGGAATGGGAAACGTAAATATCAATGGTGAACGCTTGCTAACAACATGCACAGAGTACAACCTTTGCATCACCAATACATGGTTCAAGCTGAAAGACAAGTTTAAAGGTACCTGGGAACATCCCAGATCAGGCCACTGGCATCAATTGGACCACGTCATCGTTCGAAGGAAGCATCTGAAAGATGTCAGACTTACAAAAGCCAGAATAGATGCCGAATGTGGTACTGACCACCGACTTGTAGTTTCGAAAATGAAACTTCAATTAAAACCCAAACATCCACACTGCAAAAAGCAAAACAATATGACCAGATTAAACGTACGGAGTCTAACGAACAACGACACCGCCAACGCCCTCCGGGAAGCCATCAGAAAAGCACTTCCACCGATAACCTCAATCTCCGAAGCTGAACAAGGCTGGACACAATTGAGGGATGCGATTTATAATACCAGCGAAGAAATACTGGGAAAATCCAACAAAAAGAAACAACCAGACTGGTTTAACGAAAATCAACCACATATACAGGCTTTGTTGGAAGAAAAGCATAGAGCACATCAAGCAGTCACTGCAAATCCACACAATCTAAGGCTGGTGGACAACTTTAAAGCAGCCAACAACACGCTTCGAAGAAACCTGCGCCAACTAAAGGATAACTGGTGGTCACAAAAAGCAAATCAGATTCAAGAATACGCCGCGCATCACAACTATCGTAAATTCTTCGAGGCTGTAAAAGAAGTATACGGCCCAACTAAGAACGTAAGCTCCCCAATCAAGGCACAAAACGGTGAACTTCTAAAAGAGGAAGAGCAAATCAGAAATCGCTGGAAAGAGCATTACAGCCATATCCTTAACCAAGACAATATCCCCAATATGGAAGCACTAAACACAATACCTCAGTATAACAGCATTGATGTATTAGATATCCCAATAACGGAACAGGAAATAAGGGCCTCCATAAAATAACTTAAAAATAACAAATCGGCTGACTGTGACGCGATTTCAGCGGAATAAGTGTGCAAGCAAAGAACTTATTGGTCATCTTAAGGCTCTCTTCGATGTCATATGGGAAAGCGGAGAGGTACCTCAGGACTTTCGCAACGCGAATATAGTAAATATATTTAAGAACAAAGGAAGTGCATCAGATTGCGGAAACTACCGAGGAATTTCACTACTGGTTATCGGAGGTAAAGTTCTCGCAAAAATTATGTCAAACCGCCTGCACCCACATATAGAAAAAATCGTCCCAGAATCGCAAATGGGCTTTCGCACCAACCGCGGTACCGTTGATTCCATATTTTCCGTCCGCCAACTACAGGAAAAAGTAAAGGAACAGCAGAGTAAACTTTATGTTGCATTCATCGACCTAACGAAAGCCTTCGACTCTGTAAACAGAGCTGCACTTTGGGCAATTATGCAAAAGTTCGGAGTGCCCAACAAATTTCTTAGTGTGTGTAAAAGCCTCCATAACAACAAAATGTCGAGAGTGTCACATCATGGATCACCGAGCGATCCCTTCCGGACAAATACAGGAGTCAGGCAGGGATGTGTTCTAGCTCCTCTCCTATTCAACATATTTATGGCAGCGCTCTCTATTATAGGGGACAGCAAACTGCAGGAGAGAGGAATGGGTATTAGATACAGGTATGACGGCGGTCTGTTCAACATAAAAAGACTCAGGGCAAAAACACGTATAAAATTCATCACAGAACTCCAATACGCTGATGACTGCGCTCTAGTTGCAAATACGTTACAACAATTACAGGAAATGCTGAACACATATACCTGGGCATACGAGACTTTGGACCTTAAACTGAACATCGATAAAACAAAAATCATGTGCACTCCCGCGGAAAATCATAACAGCGCTATAAAAATCGGAGAAGAACTATTGGAATATGTATCGGAATTTAATTACCTCGGCAGTTTGATTTCGGAAAAGGCAAATATCGACTCTGAAATTCAGCAGAGAATCAGCAGCGCCTCAAGAGCATTCTGGAAATTAAAAGACAGGGTTTTCTACAATCATGACTTGAGCACAAAAACGAAACTTGCAATGTATCGAGAAGTAATAATCCCCACCATGTTATATGGAAGCGAAACCTGGGTGCCGTACCGCCGGCACACGAGCGCATTAAACAAGTTGCAACAGAGACACCTTAGACAACTTTTAAGAATCAAATGGTACCACCATGTCTCAAACGTATCAGTCCTTAAAAAAGCAAGCTGCGAGAGCGCTGAAGTCATGATTACTAAATCTCGCTTAAGATGGGCTGGCCACGTATGCAGGATGCAAAAAACCGCCTACCGAAATCTCTTCTTTATGGTGAACTTGTAGAGGGTAAGAGGAAACCGGGTGGACAACTTAAAAGATACAAGGATGTTGTTCATGAAAACTTAAAGGGGATAAGTATGCAGCATCAGTGGGAAGAAGCAGCGCACAATAGAACGCAATGGAGGAGAATTGTAAATTCAGTTAATAACGACAACCAAAAACTAAAGAGGCAACAAAGTAATGAGATATTTGAATGTCCGGAGTGCGGAAGAGAGATAACATCACGTATCGGGCTTTTCAGTCACAGAAAAGCTCATGACAGGAAACGCCTTGCGTAACCATCTTTTGATGCGGGTCAAATACTCGTCAGCGAGTAATGGCAGTAGTAGTAGTAACGCTGTTTCGGGTAGTAAAAATTAAGTGAAAAAGAACTCGAACTGGGCGTCGCTTTGTGTTGTGACAGTTTCAAATGTTAATAAAATTGTCGAAAAGATATGTTAACTCGTAGTGCAATCAATAACATTCAATAACTCAACTTTCCCGGATATTCAACTCTCTCAAAACAACATTTTGTAGCTTCACCACAATCACAACTTCTCACACCGATTTGATCAAAAGCAAAAATAGATTCAAGCAGCTCGACCAAGCAAGTTAGTAAACGCAAAGTGCCCAGTACATAATCAAAAAATTAAATAGGCCTAGGCATATACTATAACAGGATAAATTATAATTTGCAATATACAGTATACTAGCTTATGGCCTCTAAAATTGTGCACAGCGTCTGACCGGCCCAGTTATTACGCTGTTTAATTTTTGCGCACTTTAAGTTTATTTTTGCGCACAAGAAAATTTACTCGTTTGCTCATCGTCATAAAAAACAATTTTCATACTACGAATTAGGGACAAGGATACTTATAGGATACCTAATCTGTGATACTAGTTTTAATCAACTAGTGCTTACATTTTTTATGAACATCTTCTAAAATTATAATTATGTACCTTTAAAAAAATTGTTATAATCAAAATAGCCCCAGTTATGTCTCCGCTAGCAAAATGGGTGCGTAAAACTATGCTAGCTACCGTAGTTGAACTCATCTAAAAAGTTTTATTCTGAAGGTATCAAAACGTTTACTTTTTATTTTTTTGTTTATAATTTCCACAAATTTTAATTCCTGACGTTACAGTTAACACTGTATAACGGTTATATGTTTTTTTTAAACACAAGGCATATGGTTAGAGATTATTTGCAAATAAAATGCGTAATTCTGGATACAATTTTGGTTGTACCACTCTGTATAGTGAATAAATCGCTACAAGAATAATAAGCATAGGTAATTACATTAACGTCCGTACTTAGAAATGTATATGCATAGAACAAAGCCCATGTTCTTTATTATTTGTATACATACTAGCCCTTACCTTGGTGCAAAAATAAATAATTATAATAAATACGTGCCAATTATTACTTGTATTCTAGTAATTATTCAATACTACGCAGATGCATTAAAATTTTAATATAGATTTTATTTGATATTTGATGCATAAAGTGAGTATTTAGAAAAATGGAAATATCAAATACATATTGTGGAGCTAGCTCACTTCATGTTATTTGTGAAAAATATAAATTTGAACCAAAGAAACCCCTTATTTTGTTTAAAGATGACAAAATATTTGATAATTTTAAATGGTTAGATATTATAAATTGCAGTGGTAAGTTCAATCTAGGCTTTTTTACCTAATGATAAAATGAACATCCCAATATACATATTACTGTATTACATATTTTAATATTTTTTAGGGTCACTGGATGATAAAACATTTGCCAATATTCCAAATTTAGAGGTTATAAACATTCGCAATTGTAATATTGAACAAATATTTGATAAAACCTTTTTAACTTTGAAGTGCCTTAGATCTCTTGATATATATAAATCGAACTTTCCAATTAATGCAAAAACATTTGAACACAGCACTGAATTGGAAACAATCAGATTTCTGGAAAATAAAAGACCAATTTCCAACATAAAGCTTTTTGAAACTTTAAACAAATTAAATCAATTATTTTTTTGTAAGGCATCTGACCTAATTATTGCAGAAGAATCATTTTTGGGACTAAATAACTTGCATTACTTATATATCCAAAATTGTTCAGTTGAAGTTATCAATGCTAAAGCATTTGTTAACTTAAAGTCATTAAAATATCTATTTATGACAAAAAATATCATTAAACAATTCAGTGTTGAAGCTATATTGGCATTAAAATCATTAAACAATTTAGTGTTATATGACAACCAATCAGAGGAATCTAAACCTCTAGAGATCAATTACCAGGAGTTTGAAAATTTACCACAACTGCAAACACTATGTTTTCAAGATGTAGTATTGAAGAATTTAGATTTAACAAAATTTACTAACTTGAAAAATATTCAGTTAGTCATTGGACAATCAAATAATGAAATAGTTGATTACTTAAATGAAAAAAATATAGATATTGAATGGATTAGTGACAGTAACTTTGTAGAGGATAATGAAGACATAAATTTAAAACAGAATATACAAATATGTGGTTAATATTTATATCATATTTATCTATACATATTAATATGCCGTATAAAAAAAACGGCGTCTAGTTGGCTTGAATATCACAATGACAATGACATTCCCCATAATTTTACAAATAAAATATCAGCAATCTCAATTTCATAGCCATCGCTGACGCCGTTTTTTTTTTCGATCAGACAATATAAAATATTTATAATATATGAATTAAAAATAAAAGTATCTTTTAAACTCATCTCATATGGTTATTTTAATTGGCAGTTAATAATTTAAGTTAAATATATATAATTTTGAAGAAATTAACTGTTGGCAGGACCTGGTTAGGACACAATTAATGGTAAAACAAAAACAATTTTATTTTTATAAACTATATTTAAAAATAATAAAAACAATATACCTACTTACCTACTCGATTTTTTTAATTGTTTTTATCATAAAATTATTTTTAAAAAAAAGCTCCTGAACAAGGCATAGCTTTGCATATCTTATTGCTCACATTAAATGAAAAAATAATCAATATCTTCATAAATGGTTACAATCAATTATCTGCTCTCAATTTTTGCAAGTGTCTTACAGATTCTTTCAGCTTATAAACTAGATCTTGAAGTTCTTCACTAGTACAGGAGAATTCCAAAGCTTTAGTCACCATCTTCTGTAAATGTTCATCAAATGTTTCTGTGTTTAAAGTTATTCTATATAATAAACCAGCAGAAGTTTCTTCTGAATTTGACTAAAAATAATGGTAATTTTAAGCTGTTGGTATTTACCTGCCATTCCATTCTCACCTTTACGACGTGATCAATTTTCCATTTCAAATCTGTGACATGAGGCAAGTGGTTAGCAATATTTAATAGCTGAATTCTAATAAGGCCATTCCATTTACCATAATAGTGTTCTATTTCATCTACTAAATCATTTCTCAGATTACACTGATTCCTCAAAAATATGGAATAATCTTCTTTTGTTTGATTGTTACGTATAAATTCTGCAAAAGTATAAAGCAACGCAGCATGCACTTCTTGAATTTCAATGTCACTCTTTAAAAAAATTCTTTCTAAAAAAATACATATAGATATCTATAATTCTAAAAATAGATACCTTAAAGTTACCACTATTCTGTGTTTTGCCCGATAGTACTGAGCAACAATTCTCTACTATTTCTCTCACTAAATTTTCACTAAATATACTAGTATTATTTAAAAGACCTAATGAGTCCCTATATGATTCCTGTATTTCCATCATCAATCATAACATAAAAATATGTTTACAAATTTTAATAGCATTTACTTCAAGGTAAGCCAATACACTTTTGCAATGTAATGCAATTAATTAGAAATCAATGCTTATAAAGGTAAAGATTTTAATTTATATTTCTATGCTCTCCCCATAGGAAAGTCTCCTGTGCTTACACTTGCTGCATAAAACAGAGATAAACTCTGATAGAATATAGAAAAAAAATAAAAAGTATGATAAACAGAAAAAATAACCTTAACAGGCAAGTTTATCTTTTTTTTAAGATAAACATAAATAACCTTGACAATTGACAAGTATTGAAATTGACAGTAGATATTAGAAATGTTTACCTAAATAAAAATATCGATATAATGCAACAGTAACTGCAGTGAGCATAGGTGGAATATGATCAAAAATGTTATACTCAAGTGAGCTTTACATAACGACAGGATTCTTTGATTCTTCTTATTAATCATACACCGTCTGATTGAAAAGACGGCGTCAAGTTACCTTAGAAATACCGACACGAGCTTATACACCCAGTATACAGCATTTATGTGGCGAACCAAGTCCGTAGCAGGCCAAATCCGCAGACTTGATCTGTCAGATTGGATTGGTCTAAAAACACGTAGGATATCTATACGAAACATAGCCGAGTTAGTTCATAAAATATCCAGAGGCATGCGGTGCTTTATGAAAATATATCAGAAATTTCTATAGTTTACAGTGAATTTTATCATATTTAGTAACAATAATTGGTATACGTTTCACTGGTAACTTTGCTGGTAACCAGATATAGCCGATATAGCCTGCTTGGACTCAACTGATTTTTAAAATTCTATCAGCAGCGCTCGGTACGGCAGAAATCAGAACTATCCAACCAAGTTTATTTCACGCCGCGCCGACGGGCGCCGGCGCCGTCCCCGTCCCGAAATATTGAAATCAGGGCTACGCAGGGGCGGATCCAGGATTCGGGAAAGGGGGGTGGGGGAGTTGCTAGATACAAAACTTTACTGACATAATATGATTTACTGACATGATACGCCTGAATTATGGTGGGTTCATACAGCCAAATAAAATAAAATAAGAATAAAATAAAATAAGAAATAAGGAATTCTTATTTGTGTGCGTTCATACAGTCAAATAAAATAAAATAAGAAATGTATATTTGCTCATGCGCAGTACGATGAGGCTGGATAAAAGTTAACTTTTACGATTGTTTATAGTAATTTTACTATTTATAGTATATTTATTTATTCGTTGCCTACTATATTATACATTTTACTTATGTGAAATTATAAAATAAATTAAATCCAAACTGAAAATATTTGTAGGTTAGAATTAAGCGTGCGCAAAGCCGTTTTCACATAAAATAATGGTGGGTTCATACAGCCAAATAAAATAAAATAAGAATAAAATAAAATAAAATTATAAAGTTGGTTATATGGGATACCGTACATGCGTTCATACAGCCAAATAAAATAACAAATAAAATAAGAAGTCTTTATCTTTTAACTTCTTGTTTTATTTTATGTGAAAACGGCTTTGCGCACGCTTAATTCTAACCTACAAATATTTTCAGTTTGGATTTAATTTATTTTTTAATTTCACATAAGTAAAATGTATAATATAGTAGGCAACGAATAAATAAATATACTATAAATAGTAAAATTACTATAAACAATCGTAAAAGTTAACTTTTATCCAGCCTCATCGTACTGCGCATGAGCAAATATATATTTCTTATTTTATTTTATTTGACTGTATGAACGCACACAAATAAGAATTCCTTATTTCTTATTTTATTTTATTCTTATTTTATTTTATTTGGCTGTATGAACCCACCATAAAACAAGAAGTTAAAAGATAAAGACTTCTTATTTTATTTGTTATTTTATTTGGCTGTATGAACGCATGTACGGTATCCCATATAACCAACTTTCTTATTTTATTTTATTTTATTCTTATTTTATTTTATTTGGCTGTATGAACCTACCATTAAAAATCTGAATTGAAATTAACTAATTTTCGAGCAAAGTTTATTTATAAAAGGAATGTATTATAATATATAAATTCAAATAGTTAGAGCTAAACATAAAACTTACTTTTACAAATGTATATAATATTAGATAAATAACACAAGTTATGTACATCTTATTCAGATCCATAGAAGAGTGAGAATAAGCTAAAACTAGAACATCTTAAAATAAATTCAAATAGTTAGAGGTAAAAGTATTGTCTTCAACAATATTGTACTAAAATAAAGAGACTGTCGAATTACTTAAGTATGTAGACAGTGTTGTTCCAGATTTTTTTTGTAATTGTAAACAAATTGGAATGATGAAGTAAAACAGTACTGAACACAATTTAGTGTTGGACACAAAATTAAACGTATTTAAATCACAATATATATAAAATACAAAAATTTACAGACAAAATTTAAAAGAATTCAGGTAAGGATATAATTCTCTTATTATCTGGTCAATCTCTTTAGCATTTTCTTACTCTGTTTTGAACAAGCAGAATACATTTTCAATGGTGGTGAAGCTGGTTCCTTAATCTAAAAAAAAATAAAAATATTACTTCAATGGTACATAAAAAAAATAATTTGCGAATGACTAAGTCTAAGAAAAAAATACATATTTTTACATTAATAGACTATTTTCCAGGGTTGGAAAAAATCATGATTTTTTTTTTAAAAAATCAAAAAAAATCTGATTTCAAAAATCAGATTTTTTGGATTTAAATCAGATTTTTTTTATTTTAATTCAAAACAATATTTAAATCGGATTTCCAAATGACTAGGACTTATTTCCAATTAAAGTCTTATCCTAAATGGCTAAATCTATACTCCGATACCGATAACATTAACAATTATACAGCGCGTGTCATTTTTCCACATCAGTCACCAGCCATTAATATATTCCGCAATAAAAATCGTTCGCTTCAGATCAAAAGGATTTTTTTTTCAAACGTCTCAAAAGTATTAATTTTTGTCATTTTAACGCCTATGCATAAAAGTAAAGCACTGTTACGCCTAAGCACAAAAGTACAAAAATATATTATTAAATTGATATTAAGTGTCAAATTCAACGAGTGTACAAATTGTTGCTTGATCACTGTTTATATTATTTGCAATGTTTGAAATTGATTAAAAAAGTATTTGTAATGTTTAAAAAATATAGTACCTATGTTCTATTCGGAGTAAAAATGTACTTTTCGTGTCTCCCTGTAATGTCGGAATAGCTATAGTTTATTTTTTATTATAGCTAGTATAATTTTTACTCCTAACAAAAAACAATACACTATTGTTCGGAAATAGTCGAGAATGAAATTAGTATGTATTATGATCTAATGTCAAAGTGTAAAGTACTTACTGCAGATCAAAATGTCTCAACATATTTTCTGACAATGATTATAGATTCTCGGGAATGAAGATTAGATTATATTATTATTAAAATTAGATTTTATTAGACAAATCTAGTTGTGCACTAGACTTTGCGAATGATATGTATTCGAACAGCGAATTTTTGTCACTTATTTTTAATATAGAAATTAGTTCAAAAATCGGTCTAACAATTAAATTGAGGAATAGATATTTTTATATAGTTTTATAATATTTACAATTATTTTTCGATTTATATCTGTTATAGAAATATTTTTTATAGTTTTCTAGGACACATTTTTATAACTTTTAGAGTTATTTTTTGATTTATAATAAAGTTTCAATAAAATTATTTCTTTTTATTTAAATCGCATGATTAAAATTTAAAAAAATCACTTGATTTAAATCATTTGATTTAAATCATGCCAACCCTGCTATTTTCTTTTCATCAAAATTAGTATTGTAAATTAGAGAACTATAGCATTTTAATTTTCAACTTAAAAAATTGGCAAAAAATAATTGTATCAATGAAAATGGTATTAGCACTTAGGTATAGAGACATGTGACATGTAACATTAAAAGATAGAAAACCATTTAATTCTTACAGTAGTAACATCTCGTTTCCATTTGAAAAAAAAAGACTTTACATGATAAATTTTTGATAATTAACTTCAGTTAAAGCTAAAGCCACTACTTAAACCTCTTATATTTTTGAAATAGACAACCGCCTGTTTTCTCTATAAAGCTACAATGTTTATAATTTTTATATGTATATGTATTTTACCATTTTTTATTTTTATGAATAATCAGTTTTCGTAAAATTTTATGTTACTCTTATTTTTTTCAATTTTATTGAAAAAAAAATCAAAATCTAACATTTCAAATTCAGCTTCTACAACTACTACAACCCCTCGCCCTTTTTTCTTGGGACTTTAAATGCAAGCTCAGCTAATATCAATGACTAAAGAATACAAGGACAAGTAACGTCCATATACGGGCTGCAGCTGAATTTTTGTTGTTAGACGCCATTTTTTTGGAGTAACGGATGTGTCACTAGCGACAATTTTAGCGATTTTTAATAGTTTGTTGTGTGTACTGAAATTTGTATAAACTTTATTAAGGCCCCTACAGACGGACGTTTTTGTACGCGTGTATGTACGTGCGTTCAAAGACGTGCATACAAAAACGTCAATGTGTATGCACAGAAACGTCGCGTTTTTGAATGCACATTCGTTTTGAACGACGCTCATGATTTCTGTCGACGACAGAAATTCTGTACGTGCATGCAGGATTTTCTTGCAAGTCTCAACGTGTGGATGTGAACTGTGCGTCGCACAACGGTAGCGTCGATTTGTCCCACAAGCTGCAGCGTTTTCTTGATTTGACTTCGCTAATAATTTCTTAGTAGAAATGTCTGACTGTAGAACACTATCCCGTGAATTCCTGCAGGAATTTATTGAATAGTACAGAGAAATGCCCTGTCCTTGGCAAGTAAAATCCAAACAATATTTAGATAAAACTAAAAAAACGAGGCTTATACGCAAAGCTGGTTAGGAAGCTACAAGTTGTTCAGCCAAACGCGACTAAGGCTTCAGTTATAATTAAACTTTACAGTCTTCGGGGAGGATTTGGGAGGACTTGTAGGAAGGGAACATAAAAAGTTTGTTGACTCCAAGAGATCTGGTTCGGGAGCAGATGAAGTGTATGTTTCTTCACTTTGGTACTATGACCAAACCTTTGGCGTTGAAGAAGCCACTCTTTACACCACATACGGCGCGGTTAGGAAGTTTATTTATTTAGATTAGGTTAGTTTTTTTTTAACTTTCGTTTGAAGCACAGCAGTGCACGCCACTGCTGCCAATGCTAACTCAACCACTTCCTTGGACATCGCTCTAAAACATTGTGGATTTTCAGATTTTGTATGTGCCTCTAGATTTTGTATGTGCATCTGTATGCAGTGCTAGTGCACGTTTTTGTATGCACGTTTCTGAACGCGCGTACATAAACACGTACAAAAACGTCCGTCTGTAGGGGCCTTTACAATGGTAATTTGTTCAGCTTTCAAGTGTAAAAGCCGCAACGATAAGAAAGATCCAAGAGTTACATTTCATAGGTAAATAAACAGTCCACTCTACCCTTTTAACGCTTTCTTATTGAATTTGATAATTATTTTTCTGATATTATATCACAGATTATACAGATTATAAACTTTGTTTTTTCTTTATTGTTTTTCGTGGTTCCAATTTTCGGAATAGGGCACTAGTTAGGTTACTAATTTGCGCACATAGCACGCCCACTTATGGCCTGTAAAATTGTGCACAGCACCTGACCGGCACAGTTATTAGAGAGATATCGGAAAACCAAATAGCGTCATGCAGTATTTACGCGTACCTTATCACGGTTACGATATGCGCGAGTCAATTTTTAACGCAACACCCGCTAATAACGTTGCGGATCAATTACACCAAGGGCTATTTCTAAATACCATTTAAAAATTGCTTAAATGGACATGTGAGGGTATTTGACAACCGGGGCCGGCCGGCGAGACCTTTTATTTTAAGTTTACGTTACGTTTGAATTGTTTTGAATTATTACTTTAGTTTTATTAGGTAATTTGATATTTAAGTAGTTGGGATTAGTTTTAATTAAATAAATATTGCCCAAAATATGGATTCCACCTCTTCCAATATTAAAGAACCTATAAAGAGGCTTAGGTTTTCAGCAGATGACGACTTAGCCCTTCTAAGAGAATTTGTTGCTTGTTGCCCTAAACCCACTGGCAGACGTTGAACAATAAAGCACTGGAAATAAGCACTTTATCCCTTTAGTTTTAAAATACCTAGTAAACAAAACAATTTCAAAGTTTTAAATTCAAAATTAGGTTAGTTTAAATAGCGGACGCGACGCGAACAGAATTCTTTCCGATCCAATAACTATAAATGAAGAGAGTTAATACCACCTCACGTAAAGGAAATAACACCTGGCCTCATTAACGTCCATGCACGCTATTCGGTTTAGCGATATCTCTCTATTACGCTATTTATTGTTATTTTACGCGAGTTTATTTTTGCACACAGGAAATTTTACTCGTTTGCAGATCGTCATAAAAAACAATTTTTGTACCACGAATTAGGGATAAGATTTTTATCTGTATACTTATAGGATACCTAATCTGTGATTATATGAACTTGATATGTCCTATACGTCGATACTAGTTTTGTACTTTTTGTTAACATTTTAATACTTTTTTCTGTAATTAATTAGTATGATGGTATGATACCACCTAAATAAGCAGCATACACCATAGGCGTAGTCAAAACATTTATCAAAAATATAAATATCTCTTCAAACTACTAAGTTAAAAAAAATATGTGACACGACACTGTTTGGAGGTATGGTAACAATGTTATCTCAGGTGTTATTGGTCCTTGTATTCTGTAGTCATTGGCTAATACCTTGTGTACCATTATTACTAACCTCAACAATCTTCCTTTCATTTTGTATCACAGGCGCTACATGTGGCAAAGACTTCCTCTTTCCTTCTCGCTTCTGGTCCTTAGTAGTTGTTATTGATCTGTTGCTAATATCAAACAATGAATTTTGTTGTTTTAATGCACTGTCATTGCTAACGAATGATGATTTATTTAAATTTCTTTTAACAGACAATGGCGTGCGTGAAGTTTCATAACTAGAACCATATCCTACAAACATTGTTTAACTTAAAAAAAAATCAGTAAAAAATATAATCAATTTGGTTAAAGTAGTGTGTAACTGTAAAAAAGTTTTGTAATCAAGCAGGCTCAGGGAAATTTAGAAAATTCTATAATTTTTTCCCCATTGAATAATATACATATTTTTTTAAACGTCACGAAAATACTTTCTTTTGTTAGTTTTCTGTGACATCAGTTATTATGATTTTATTTTTCCATTTTCACGTTTATTTACTAAATAAATGACTAACTGATATGACGGAAATATTGCCAGTCATATAAAGTTCCTTCGAACTTACACTCATTTTGTTGATATTATTTCCTTAGTTTTTTATTCAATGGATCTACAATAAGAATTGAAGGATCCACGGGAAAAACTTGATAAGCGCCAATTTCTTAATTTTAGGATTTTACAATACTATAGTATAGGTCTAACTGGTCCCTACAAAATGTATAAACTCTGTATGACAATAAGTTTTTAAATCCTATGATATATGCCTAATAAAAATATAGAATACACGGCAAGAACCTGATAACTACCAGCCGTCCAGTGCTCTCCTGTGAAATGGTGCTTATCATGTTTTTCCACCGGACCCTTCAATTGTTTATTTTATTAAACAAAGCATGCTAGATCATGAAAAAAAAATAAAAAATTGTCGTCATATTGTATCTTTAAATGTACAAAACTAAGAAAATAAGGTAATACCTGAAGAATAATACATATTTGATGAATGGTAATTTAGAGATGTACTGTTCATTATAGAACTATCATTAAAATCCAGTGATAAATTGCTCAAATCCTCCAGACCCCTCCTCTTTTTACTACTGAGTGACTGGCCCAAAGTAATTTCTCGGCACCTACAATTTTACAAGGTACATGTTACCAAAATCAACTTAATAAAAAATATCAGTATATGTTATGGTATATCAGTACGTGCAAAAAATTTTACTTATAACTAACTTGTCAATAAATGCTGTAGGGGTGTAAGCAAAGCTATCGCACTTCTGACAAAAAATATATCCACATGAATTGACATTCTGACACTGTCCAATTGAATTTTCTAAAACTGAAGGCTTTTCACACTGTGGGCACTTTGTCAGCGATTGATTATGACTTAATTGGTTCCCTAAAAATGTATTTAAATAAATACGGATTGTATTTAAATAATTACGGAAAAATTGGCTATACTGTGTTCGACGATTTTAGGACAAGCGATTGATACTGATGCTAAAACACATTATTGATTATTTTTTTAGCAAATTATGTCAATTCATTATCGTAATTTTTTTTGGCTGATATTAAAAATAGCTGATATTAAACATAGCAGGAGCGCAACGGCCCAGCTACGTTGTAATACCGGTTCCTGGTAGATCACCGAAATTAAGTGATGTTAAACGATGCGCCTGGAAACTAAAAGTCTAAAATCTATTGGCACATACTACTCATTGACGCCGGTTCGTGGTCGTGAGTAAGAGTCGATTTAGACATTGACCAAGTCGGTAGGCCATTGACACTGATATGGCCAAGGACCGCGATTAGGATTACGCCTAAGCCAAATTAGCCATAGCAGCAAAAAAATTACGTTATCTTAAAATACTTTACTTTAAAAATAATGGTATGTCCCGTTATAGAATAAATCTGTCAAAAGACAACCGTAAATGAGAGAACAGAATCTACTATTGAATTAAAACAAGAAATACTTGTCCCTAATGTCATTCTTTTGATGAACAGATTAACTTGTGGTGGGTCACAATATATATCTATAGAATTAATACTCCTAGAAGGCTAGGATACAGGGTGGTCCGAACTGTATTCCGGAAACTTCGACAGCATATTCTGCACATAAAAATAAGTAAAAAAGTTCGTGTAAATGTATGTTCAAAAATGCTTAGTTTCAGAGATACAGGGTGTAGAAGTTTCATTTTTATTTCGATTTTTTCCAAATAATTTCTGAAGTAACGTCAATATTTGGATGAAAATTGGTGTCTGGGAGTTTTTTGACATGAGAAATTTGATTTTGATGTCAATATGACCCCTACTAACAGAAGGCGCCACCTACATTTGTTTTAACTGTTTTGAAAAAAAGTTCTGTTGGGAAAAGCTATCATAGTGATTGATATTTGCCAACATGTCACCAGTTTTCTTGTTTATATTTTTATATTACCACCTACCAAACCAAACTAATGTAATTACGAAAAATAATATATTTAGTGAAAACACAGACATATCATATGTCAACTTTTGACATATTCGCGTATGGTTTATTTGAAATTAAAACTTGCGGTACGTAACGAAAATTTGACTTGGAATACCAAGTGTTTGGTATCAAATTGTTCGTAAAAAAATGCTTTTAGAGCATTTTACGATTAGAGCATTTTCTAACTGGCCAGGACAAGACACTAAAAACATTAGACGATCGAATCTATTTTTCCAAGGCTCCTTGATGAAGAATTAATGATTTTAACATAGCCATGGCACCCTAGTTGAATTTTAAAATACAATTTTTTATTAAGCGAGAATTTCAAAAGTTGACATTTGATATGTCATTCTATTCAGAATACCATTTCCTATCGAATAAAGTAAAAAATACTGAGGGTGCCATTTAAAAATCAAAAGTTGTAGTCATTTCCGGTGAAACCGGAAGGGACCAAAAACAATTAAATACACCAATCAATCCTAATTTATGTCACATACTAACATACCAAATCTCGTTTATCTGAAAAAATAAAAAAGTGATAGGGGTGAGCCACTTTTGAGACGCACTCGGTATACATCCATATAATATGTAAAACAGGCCATATACAAAAGGACTAGTCAATATGTAAATAGGCACTCAGATTCGTATTGAAACATAAAAAAAATTAACTCTCGCCATATACAGGGTGATTTTTAACCTATACGCATAAACTTGAGAAATTATTGCTGATGACTAATAATGAAAAAAAAAATGTTAGTAAAATATTCTTAGATTCTGAAAAAATTTGAGTTTTTTTCACAAAAATTTATCAACTTTATCAGTAAATGCACATTCAATTTAATGGAATTTACGTTTTTTGTTTTTATTTCAAATAGTTTGTTATCTCTGTAAAAAAAGTATTTAATGCACATTCAATTAATGGAATTTAAGTTTTTTGTTTTTATTTCAAATAGTTTATCTCCGTAAATAAAAATATTTTACTAACTTTTTTTTTTCATTATTAGTCATTATTTGTCACCAGCAATAATTTCCCAAGTTTATGCGTATAGGTTAAAAATCACCCTGTATAGAGTTGTGAATACCACATCTTTGAACTTCTGCTCATAAACGAGCGACCCTGTAAAATACGCTATTATATTTGATTATATTAGTTATTCTGAAAATAAATCGTTTTAAGTGGTTTTATTCTCATATCAACTTAGTAAGAAAAATAATATTATTGTTAAGTATTATAAAACAATAATCATATTTATTAAATAATAATTAATTTTTATTAAATAATAATCAAATTAGTTATCAACAGCTAACTGGTAATAGAAGAAAATTAATACTAACATTTAAAAAAGGTACTTAAATTGAATTCTGGTTGTCTTAGCTTGAGGGTAATTATATTGATTTAAGTCATTTTACTGGCTTAACTTGCAGATCAGCATGATTTAAGTTAAAAATATAGACTTAAGTCATAAAAACGAGTTAAATAACGTTATATTGATTTAGGTCTTTACAAAAATGACTTGATTTGAAATAAAATGGTTTAAGTCAAAGACTTAAGACTTAAATCATTTGAACTTTATGTTGAATTTGACTTATGATTTAAATAATTTTTATTTTAGGTATGACTTAAGACTTAAGTCTTTTTAAAACTGACTTCTTGCCGCTCTGGTTATAAATAGTCAGATCTTGTAGGCAAAATAGTCTGTTTTCACAAACGGTCTGTTTTCACATATAATGGTCTGTAACATATACATACATTTTTAACAAATTCAAAATTTTCTATATATAATATTAATATATCTGTCTAAAAAATATTATATCATTAAAATATATTATAATTATTATAGACCGAGAGCTAGCTACATAAAAAACCTTATCATCGTTACATGGCTAATTTTTTGTGTGAAGTATCCTTTTGTGTAGCCATTGTGAAATAGTCATGTCTGCCAGCGCGATCCCGGGGCTTAAAGCGGGGGCGGCCAATCGAAAGGGTGAAATTTTGACACTAAAAATATTATAAGGTACACGAGTTATAATTGCCAAATAGCTTTTATTATTAGGAAACGTGTAAAATTGATGACAGACATTTTTTCTCGTGGCTGAAATGCCGGCAGACAACGCGAAAGAGGCATAGAATTTTAACAAAAGAAAATCATCCCATACATGCATGTCGGTTGGTGGAATGTCATGTTTATTGTTAATTAATTTAAAAAGCCGTGTGCAAAAGGGCCTTTCGTTATTGAAATAATAAAAAAATATATTTATAATATAATCGTATATTATATGATTTATCTATACTTAAATGGATGAGGCGGCGAGCGTTCCCTGAAAGCGCTAGAGTAATATCGCGCTTTTGACAACTGTCTACAGCTGATTGAGCCACGATCTTTTTGTCTGCCCTTTTGCATACGGCTTTTAAAATAAATAAATATGACATTTCACCAATCGGCATGCAAAAATATAATTTTTTTCATTCTTCAAATTTCATTTTAATAATTTTTAAAATTTCATGCCTCTTTCGCGTTGTCTGTCGGCATTTTAGCGACTAGAAAAATGTCGGCCAACAATTTTCCACGTTTCTTAATAATAAATAAAAGCTATTTTCGCAATTATAACTCATGTATCTTATAATATTTTTAGTGTCAAAATTTCACCCTTTCGATTGGCCGCCCCCGCTATAAGCCCCGGGATCGCGCTGGCAGACATGACTATTTCATAATGGCTACACAAAAGGATATTTCACACAAAAAATTTGCCATGTAACGATGATAAGGTTTTTTAGGTAGCTAGCTCTTAGACTATTAAGCATAGATGTCTACTAACATCGATGTCTCATCACTACGGAATAGTATTGGATTTAATGAAAGATTCCAGGCGAAAAATGTGAGAAAAATCATATTTTAACTAAAAATATTTAGGGAATATGGTTAGTTTTAGTTTTTTTCCTTGGATAATTAAAATTCACGTAAAGCTTGATTTTCATGCATCCGTTGTCCGACGATACGTTGATACGATATTAATTTTATTGGTGGAATTTAAAGACTTTGATTGGTTAGAAAATAACGCAGTTTTTAAATTTATTGCATTTTCATGCCTCCGTTTATCGGATATACGTTGGTGTTATTTTATATTTTAGTTTCCATAACGATTTTACTATTTTACTTATATTTTTAATAAGGTTAGATTAAATTTGTCAAAAAAGTGTCAAAACGTCCGTTATCGTATGAACGGGTCCGTTGACGGGCTAAAGTAAAATATTTATGGATAAAAAGTGGCGCGAAAACGCTATGACCAATCAGAGCACCGTCGGACCATCGTATCAACGTATAAAGCCGGAGTCTCATGCATCCGAAATCCGATGACACGACGATCCGACGGTGCTCCTATTGGTCGAAATATTTTGAGACCAATTTTTATCGGATATTTTTAACTAATCGTCCGACGTCGTATAAAGTTAAATTTTGTTTAACTTTTGTACGATATCGTGTGTTTTTTAACCTCACTTTTTTTGAAAACATTGGTTTTTAAAAACAAGCTTAGTGGGAAGGGGGCAATTTCGGGATATTTGGCGGGGAAGTTATTTTTATAAGTGTTTCTCCAATAATACATGTAATAATGTTGATACTGTTGATAGGAAATGACAGGTCTAAATGTCAAAACTGTCAAATTTCGGAACAAACTTTCGGATGTATGTGACAGGCTTTTTTTATTTCACAGGATAACTTCAAATTTCGGATGTCGTACCATCGGATTTCGGGTGCATGAGACTCCGGCTTAACGGAGGCATGAAAATCAAGCTTAAAGCTGGAGTCTCATGCATCCGAAATCCGATGGTACGACATCCGAAATTTGAAGTTATCCTGTGAAATAAAAAAAGCCTGTCACATACATCCGAAAGTTTGTTCCGAAATTTTACAGTTTTGACATTTAGACCTGCCATTCCTATCAACAGTATCAACATAATTACATGTGTTATTGGAGAAACACTTATAAAAATAACTTCCTCGCCAAATATCCCGAAATTGCCACTTCCCACTAAACTTGTTTTTAAAAACCAATGTTTTCAAAAAAATGAGGTTAAAAAACACACGATATCGTACAAAAGTTAAACAAAATTTAACTTCATACGACGTCGGACGATCAGTTAAAAATATCGGATAAAAATTGGTGTCAAAATATTTCGACCAATAAGAGCACCGTCGGATCGTCGTGTCATCGGATTTCGGATGCATGCGAAATCCGAAATCCGATGGTACGACATCCGAAATTTGAAGTTATCCTTTGAAATAAAAAAAGCCTGTCACATACATCCGAAAGTTCGTTCCAAAATTTGACAGTTTTGACATTTAAACCTGTCATTCCTATCAACAGTATCAACATTATTACATGTATTATTGGAGAAAAACTTATAAAAATAACTTCTTCGCTAAACTAAACTTGTTTTTAAAAACCAATATTTTCAAAAAAAAGCGAGGTTAAAAAACACACGATATCATAAAAAAGTTAAACAAAATTTAACTTTATACGACGTCGGACGAGTAGTTAAAAATATGGGATAAAAATTGGTGTATTTCGACCAATAGGAGCACCGTCGGAACGTCGTGTCATCGGATTTTGGATACATGAGACTCCGGCTTAAAACAGAAGCTTTTTCATCATTTAGCAACAGTGTTTACTGTCCAAACCCTATACTTACTTTCTTTCTTCGTGAGGGACTTCTCACTCTAATAGCCTTCTAGGAGTATTAATTCTATGTGTATATCATATCATACAATATAATTATAACAAAGAATAATTTATCATATAAATAAGTATAATTATTAAAAAAGTCTTACCTAAATCAACAAAATCTCTGAAGTTTTTACTACTAGGACTACTTGAACCGTCTGAAAATAGCTGTTGAGTCTCAGGACTACTTGGAGGTGTAATCTTATAATTCTCCTTATTATTTTTATGACACTCTTTAAACTTTTCATACCTAAAACATTAAACAATAAAAAAATAAATATAATTTCACCACAATTAGAATAATTTTCAACACACACAAACCTCTCTGTAATCTTTAAATTCCTACTAATGGCATCTTTAAAACTTGGGATCATGGACACTCTAAACAAATCTCCATCAGATAAATAACTAAAAACTTTCTCCATGATGACATCATTTGAAATAAATTCCCGAAATTTTTTACTATCTCGTACCACATTTGATTTAAACAATGTGGAATTATATCCGATTCTATCAAATCTTTCCTTAATTTTCAGAGGCTTTAAGGGCTTCAAACTAGGATATAATATATCATGCTGCTCTTTTAAAGGCGATGCAACACTACATGCGGAGGCATATTTTAGGAAACTTTCTGATTTTTTCGGTGTACTTTCAAAGGTTTTTGAATGGAATTCTGGTGTGGATGGTGGAGTGACAATCTTTTCACACCTACAAATAAAGATTATAAATAATACATTTCAGATATGGAAAATAAGATAACACAAACCCATTATTTTTAAAATATTTTGTTGCAGGCTCGTCCCAGTTGTCAACATTAAAATAATTTTGTTCGATTTTAAAATTTTCAAAATTTTTAGACAAACATTCACTAGATGCATTTAAATCTGGTGTAGTAGATGGAGATGGTTCTAATGAATCTCCTCTTCTAATTCTTATATCAGAGTATTGTACCTTTAAAATTTTATCATGTTAGTTTTGTGTAAAACTCCTACAATCTACACATGACGTTTTATCTTATATTCTGCCTATCAGTTAAAATGGAAGGCCATCCAGAGAACTGACGACAGCTTTTATGACTTTTATGACTATCTTCACTATCATGCAAGAATAATTATGAAAATAATATTTGTTTGGTAATAACTCATTCATTAAAAAACTGTAAAAGGTTTTATAAAATTACATTGTTCTCTGAAACTACATAAAAATATTAGATATTTAAAAGCCGTTTATTATTATTTCTTGTAAATTTACTGATAGCAAAAGGCAAAAAGGCTGCAGACAAATTGCTTTTTTCATATGACGGAACAATTCCATCAGTTCTCATAGGTCTAGACTGTCTGTCATCTTAATTCAAGTAAAATCGTCCGTTTTTTTTTCGTCGACGCACAAGATTTTACTCATATTTTAGTTTTACTTGATACATTTTAACTGAACAAATAAAACCGACAGGTAAAATGTTATGGGTAGACGAAGCTTAAGAGTATTTTTATAACTCAATATAAATAATTGATAAAGAATTTACCTTTCGTTTTTTCGAGCTGCTCGTAAATAAACGATCTGGCTGAGCCTTTGGAGTACTTTCAAACAAGTTCGAGCTATAAAATGAAGAGGATAAATCGGTAATTGGGCCTTCACAATCTTGAACATTAGATGAATTCATCTAAAATATTAGAACCATAAATGACAATAAAATTATATAGAATTGCGAAAAAATACCTTGAATTTATAAACAATTACAGAGAGATTTTTAAAAATAATTTAAAGGTACAACATAAATAAAAACACATAAACAAACTTTTCAATCTTAAAATGGCGCCATGACACTACTTTTTTTATATTCTTGTCAATGCACTAAATAAGGATCATTTTTAACTGTTTATACCCATTTTAGATATATAATCATTCGTTAATCATAAAATTATATAAACATCAACTTTCTAAACTTCTGAAATATCTTCCAAATAAATTTATAAAAATTATGGCGGTCACTACCGGACATAGAAGAAACGTCAAAGTCAAATGTCAAACATGGCATAGATGTCAATGTTGTCAAACATTTCGAATACTCTCGTCAATTTTTTTTTTGAGGGAAAATTAAATTCTTAAAAAAGGACCATTTCTATTTATTGAGGGCTTCCTTAAATTAAATCCTAGAACATTTTAACAATACTAATCTCAATAATATAGTGTAGCTGTAAATATTGTTAAAAGCAATGTTAATATTATAATATTTTTAATGTTTAGTGGGCTGTGATTTATTAAAAAATGACAGTTGAAATTGTTTATTTTTTTGAAAGTTGTACGTTTTATAAACTTTCTATTTTCTATTAGTGTTGTGTTAATTTTAAACTTAATTTAAAAAAATGTACACTAAAACAATTTTATCTTAAATTTAAGGTACATTACATTTAGAAAAATCTGGTCACAATTTTTTTACATAAAAGTAGGTAGGTACCCACTTTAATTTTTCTCTTTTTTCGTATTTCTTACAAGTATCAAAGCATCCCGTATAATATGAAAATTTGTAATATGTTTGACATACATGTAATTTCATTTAATATCTTACAATAAAAAAATTAAATTATATTTTAAGTTTAATAAACTATATCCTGAAAAATGTAGAATATTGGCAACTCGGTAGTTTGATATGTTACGTCACAGCGTAAAGTTATTCTATTGGCGGGCGCCATCTTATCGACAGTTGAGTTGTTGAGTAGTCAAAATCGGCTTAGTTTTTCAGTTCATAAAGTTTATAATTTTAGAGAAATCAATGTACTTTAAAAAGTTCCAGAACCTGCAAGTAAGTTAGAAGAACAGCTGAGTGAAATTTAGCATAATATTCCATACAGTTTTGGCTCAAAAATCCGCAGCATTACTGCAGTGTTTTTATTTGGTGCATTGTTTAGTGGGCCCCTGATTCTAGCTCGCATCGGGCTGCGCGCTTTGAAATGGGTAAAAGTTCTTTGTTACATGTATTTTTAATGGTGTTTGGGTATTATATGTGACTATAAAGTAGAGAAAAGGCATTTTGAGGAGTTATATTTATTATTGATTGATTGAAGTGAAAGGTGGCAGATCCGCTTCTATTTTGTGTCTTGTATAAAAATTCGTTTGAAACTAGTTGGGGAAATGGGCCAATATAACTGGGTCAAATTGTGGGAATTTGGAAAAATAGGGTAGAAATGTTTCATAAACAAATAAGCTGAATCTTTGTAAATTAATTAGGTACATTAATATAAATATATCATTGCAAGTCTACTTAGTACACAAAGATATTTCTTAAATAAAAGAAGGGGATACTATTTCAAGTATTCAAATCTAAAACTATTCAAAATCTCATGTTTGCTCACCAATGTCAGTGTTTAAAATTATAAATTAGAATTTGTTTATTTTCACAAAGTGGTTTATTGAAAATCAAATGTGATTATACCTAATCAAAGTAAAAAACCATTAATTTATGGTGGTTTGTTAGACTTCCAAATGCAAAATAGTTAGTTGCAGAATTTGTTGTTCTAAGCTACATTATTATAATAATAGTGTTGATAAGTATTATGGTTTTAATGCTCAATTCTTAAAAATTATTTTCTTGTCATAATTTGGTTACTTTCAGGAATAGTTGCTCGGCAACTTCCCCAACCCGTCATGTCAAACGGTGGTGCAGTCATCGCCAATACAATGACACAACAACCCCAATCCCAAATAACAGCCGTCCAGAGTAATGGAGGCCCGAAGAAAGTAATTTCAGGAGGTGGTTCATCTGGAGGTCCCACGCCAGCTGCCACACCAATTCAGAATGGTACAGGACAAGGACCAAGTCCCCCGCCTTTGACAAATGCACCTAAATATGGTAGTATATTAATATTAGCATTAGTAGATTTTCGTTGTTTTACTTATGCCTATACTTATAATAAAGTACTATGGGCAAATTAAAATAACATTGGTTGCACATCATAATACAACCACCTGCAAACTCTATAAGACGACGAAAGGTGTCATTGATGACGTGCAACGAAAGTTGTTTTAATTTTCCTATATATGAACAGGTACACTATACACACTATAATATGCATAATTAAAGTCATAGTCTGTCCAATGAGAGGATTCATCACAGTGACAGTTGTGTCTATCATTTTTATCTACAAATGTATTTTGTGTCATTTTTTGGATATCATCTGTTGAAATCTTTCCTGATCTGTTGGACAGACTATACATCATAACTTTACAAATAGAATTATGGATCTTGGATAGCAGAGTGGTTTAGAAGAAAATTTTATGTACCTACCTAGATGTTAATACATAACTTGGTACTATGGTTATTCACTTATAATATGTTCATAGGTTTTTCTTTTAAAAGTATGGAAGACAGTATGGAAATTCCAAAAAGTTTAAATGAGATTAACAATTAACCATTTTAAAACAAGTGAAAACGAATGTTTTCACTTGTAAAAATACATTCTTCATGAATATGAAGAATGTATTTTTCACAAAATGTTAATAATAAAAAAGTTTTTCCTCTTGTAAAGATAATCCGGGGATATTTTTTAATGTCAAAATGACATTATTGGCGCTTATTTTAAAACATAATAGCTTACTGCTGGTTTGTTATATACAGTCAAGCTTAAAGACTGGAACAATATACAATCAATTTTATCAATTACAAATTAATTGAAAATCTAGGAAAGTCATGTGATGTTTTGCAAATGTTTAACAAATTAGTTCGTGTTTCTGCAATTTAAAAATAATATTACAATTCTGATTAACAAAATGATTGTAAAATAAAATATCATCTTTGACTAGCATTGTCTTAATTTTGGCATTATACAGAATGTGTTGGATAGATCATTATCACTATCGCTCACTGACCATTATCAAGTGTGAACTAATATAAAATTTAGAATTTCTGAGTTCTAAAACTAATGAATTTATACCCTACTGGTATAGCATAACCCTTGGGTCACTGTTAAATGTGTCTAGGAGTGAATTGCTATAAATATCTAGTAAAGCTTGATTTTCATGCATCCGTAATCCGACGATACGATGACACGATAATAATTTTATTGGTTGAATTTAAAGACTTCGATTGGTTAGAAACGGTTAACCAATCGAAGTCTTTAAATTCAACCAATAAAATTAATATCGTATCATCGTATCGTCGGACAACGGATGCATGAAAGTCAAGCTTAAGTTGGGGAGAGCAAAAATGTGAAGTATTTATTACATAACCACATAATTCGACGCTACATTTCATGCGCTTCGGAAAATACTTGCTCTTGAAGAAATGCCAACCCTGTATACTAGAACAAAACATTCACCCATGATGGAGTTGGGTGCAGTCAAGTGTAGGATTGCCAAATTTCAAAATAAGAAATAGAGGACAACAGGGTAAAAACAGTGCCACAGGCGAAACATTTTTGGGAACCTCGCCCAAATGTCAAAAATTTACCCAAAAGTTTATAAACTTTATGTGGTTGAGGGTCTATCTTACTTTCTTAAAGCTATATCCTCTTAATTCTTAGAACACCAGTGTCCTAAGTACACTAAGAACAGAACACCAGTATCCTGAATATCCTGAGTCACACAAGGGTTGTAAATTACAACCCTTGTGTGACTTATTCACTTAGGACACTGATGTTGGTACTTTTATAAATGGTTGTAATTGTGGTAATATTCATACATGGATTACCAAAGATGTAACTGTTCTTTGATATAAAAACTAGTAGTGGGAACTATCGAATGAATACTATCGAAACATTCGATAGTTGCAATTCAATCGAATAATTCGATAGCTAGTAAGAAAACATTCGTCGAAAACTATTCGAATAAAAATTATCGAATGGATGCGTCATCTGCCTTGAAATATTGTATTCTAGTAATTCGGCAGCAAAAACCATTCATTTATAAAATTCATTCGTTTATCAAATTCATTTATTCGTCAGGATCGATTTTAATAAAATATAAACTGGATTTTAGTTGTCGTCCGGCGACGTAGGTTTCTTTCCTAGAAACCCAACAGCGGTCGGTGGCAATGCTAGGAAAGAAGCCGGCATCTTTGATTTTTTGCGGAGTCAAATAAAGATAAGGACACATTTTTTTTTTTATTGAGGTGCTAGTATTTACACAGAAAATATATTCTGAAGGGCGCTGTTGCCATATATTCGTATTAGTTGGTATTAGCAAAGAATATTATTCTTTAGCATTAGTTAGTTAGGGATAGTATGTCTATATGTTTTGCATTTTTTTATTAATATTCTGTTGTTACACTGCAATAATACTTTTTATTTTGGATGTAGGAAAATGATTTTTAATGTTTTTAAGCAAAGACTGGTTTAATAAATAATAATAACAGTAATAATTTGTTATACCTATTAACAACAAAATTTACAATCATTTAATAATATAAACATTTTTTTTAAGTAGTAGCAAAATATAAACAACAAATAGAAGTCAAAAGTATTTATATTAGATCCTATTTAAAAATAATATAGTCTCTAAATGGCAACGTTGGTTTATTATATAATAATAATTACAGAACTAATTTGTTATATTAACAACAAATTTTAAAATCATGAAATATAAACATTTATTAATTTTCTAAGCATGCAGTGTAATGGAAGGAAAATATAAATAAAAAATTAGAAATCAAAATTATTTATATTACTTTTTATTACTTTATATTACTATTTAAAAATAATATTTACTTTTGTTGGCATTTACTTTAAAAAATAAATGAAATATTTCTTCGCAAAAAACTACATGTGAGAGAATTAGCATAAACAAAATACAAACATTGTTAACTTTTTTTTTAAATTGGCACGTGTAAAACTTTCAATTTAATTTTCTTACCCCAAAATTTGAGTTCGATAACCATTTACTTAACCACATTACTTAAATATGATTATTAAGTTCCAACTAATTCATATTATTAAAACATCTAAAATACAAATATGTATTTTTAAAATTAATTGTAAGTTCATCTCATCTCTCTTAAAAATTGCTACTTCTCAAAATTTCCCATTAAAAAAATGCAATCTAACCTAACCATAATATACCATATAAAATTAAATAATTGAAAGATCGGGCTACGGAAAATCACACAAATTTTCGGAAAAATTTTGACCACTTCGCACACAATCGTCAGTTAAAAAAAACTACTATTTTAATATTTTAAATATTTTAATAAACGCAAAAATAGCATAGTATTGTTACGTTTTTCGTCGGTTCCGTGTGGATAGAAAGTCACAATGTATTTAAAGACTATTTATTTAACACTAATTAACAAAAACAATAACGATAAACGACTTATAGAACTATTTACAAACGATTTATAACTAAGAATTTATTTTGAATTTTAGCGCGTCAACTGCACTGGTATATTTATAACTGCCCTCTGTAGGCCACAGCCGCCGGCTTTTATACCGACAGGTAAAGAACTCTAGAATAGTCCATAGATCGTTAGGTGCGTAGAGAAGGTTTTCGAATGTTCTCGTATGTACTAGTCCATTCAAGTGGGACTCGATTCTTCTCGAACGAATGAATCATTACGGTGTCTATTCTTTAATGCGATGTTAAGGTCATCTGAGGGCGGGACATATAGTTAGGTTAGGTCGAGTTCACACGGGTCCGCAACAGTATTTACAAGGCGAAGTTATAAAAATTTGGAAGAACTAATAATGCACTGACGCACATAAAAATCAAACGAATACTAAATTTCATTTATCAAAAGTTCGATAGTCGTGGCGCAACCATAACCATTTAGTCGCACGGCGAGGTTGTCACATATGCTTTAGTATACAAATGAATGAATGATTTTATTCAAATAAAACCATTCGATAGTTGAAATCATTCATTCAGTAACCATTCGATAGTCTAATTCATTCGATAGTTCCCATCGCTAATAAAAACGGCTTTTAAAATTTACGCCTTTTCCAATGAGGTTCCTTGTGGACAACCCAGGCACTCAACCTCTTTCTCTCGTGCTGTTTGGATCACACATGATCTGTAATACTAAAATTTGTTGTTTTATCTCTGGGTATGGGTTAGGGCTGCACCGAGTACCGAGTATAGTAAACGCCACGAATGTTTGGGAGTGATTCATCAGTCGCTACCATGTGAACTAATCTATTCAAGGTCACATAAAACTTAATTCCAGTGCCGTGGTGTTTCAAGTCATATAATAATCAATATATAATCTGTTGTAATTTGTTGTTTTAACTGTCAAAGTCTTGTCAAAACATATATTTAGTTATAAATATAAAATGGAATGCCCCACTGGTCGCATTGCAAGCACACCAATGGACTGACGCACAAAAACGAATCAATCAAAGAAACGCGATATAGTATCGTCTTTGTCAGTCACGCTAATATTTTAGAATAAGTAGGAGGAGCGCAGGCAGATGATTAGACCGGGCTTTTAAAACCTACGTCTGCGGTAAAAATTTACGTTTTTAATGTAAAAATGATAGCGCGCGTGTCGATTCTAACTTCATCAAGCGATGAATCACTCCCAAACATTCGTGGCGTTTACTCTAGTTCGGTGCTCGGCCAGAATTTTAACCGAGTAATATGTACTCGGTGCTCGGCCTTACTCGGCCGAGTAGGCCGAGTAAAGTATAGTAATAGAAACAATCCATTTATGCATGTCCAAAACAGATAAAAATGAGACTCACAGTGGCAAATAATAAAATAAACAAAAAGTTAACTTTAATTAATGAATTTTAGCAAAGTAATAATAAGTATAAGTAATAACACAAACACAGTGAAATAATAATTTAATACTTATAATCTAAAAGAGGTCAGCACTGTCACTCATGTTAATTAACTTTAAAGGGTATTATTAATTGTTTGAATTATTTTTCACTTTTAAATTAGTTACACATATAAGTTTTGCTTAAAACAAAATCAACGTCGCCACCACACCTTAAAAGAATCAATTCAGAATCCAGCACATTAGAAATATCAGTTTGCATGGGAAACCACAGAATAAAACAATATCTCCATAAGTAAAACAAACCAGGTCATTGGTTGGTGGTAGTCGGGGAATCCCAGCCGCTCGCCAATCATAGGCAAAACAAAAAAGATCATTGGTTTAAGGCCGGGGAATTCCGGGAATTTTAACTGGCTTTCTTTAATGTTAAATTATATATTTATATTTATATTATGTATAAAATATAATATTATTATGTTATGGTGTATAGTATAATTAGTATATATTGATAAAGGTCGCATAACTGTTAAGACTATTAAAAACCCGACAATTCCACTACTCGGCAGCCGAGTACTAGGTACTCGGCCATTACCTTTAGCCGAGTACTCGATACTCGGTCAAGTTAAAAAACAGGGCCCGTTACAGCCCTAGTATGGGTGATGACGCTTGAAGGTCATTTTGTAACAAATTGATTAAATAAACAGTAATAAATAAATATTGTTTGTAGAAAGGCCACTAGAGTGTGCAACTGCTATGGCAAATAAGGAAATGAATTTTTTACAAAATTTTGCCTGGATTAGGGGTACTTTACATAATAGCTTCGTAATCTCCTATGACAGTAGACGCTAAGGGGCGCTATCTCACAATTTAACAAACATTGCGTTTTTTTTTTTCAAAAAATTTAAATGCAATGGTATGTATAATTTTAACTGATAGTAAGGAGGAATAAAAGCTTAAAAGATCAGGAAAAACAGCATCTGGATAGCTTTTTTAGTTTTCAAAAGTTATGACTTTGTATGGATTTACTGCATTTCCGCATTTATATAATTAAATATAATTTATTTTTTGTTCCAGGGACACTGGTACCCAACCGTATATTTGTAGGTGGCATATCCGCCAATACAACTGAGACAGAATTAATGCAACTCTTCTCAGAGTTTGGCACTGTTAAAGCGGCTAAAATAATACAAGATCGTGCTGGTGTTTCAAAAGGATATGGATTTATTACATTTGAGAGTGAGGTAATATATTTTATTTTTAAGCAAATAATCAGAAGTTTATTAAAAAAAATTTGTCATTCAACTAAAAAGTTAATAGTAAATAAATGCAGAAATAAAGTCATATTTAGTTAACTCTAAATCAGTTTCATAATTGATGCGTTTACTAGTTGGAATATATATTTAGAATATACCGAGTGCGTCTCAAAAGTGACTCACGCCTAAAACTTTTTTTCAGATAAAAAAAACGAGATTTAGTATGTTAGTATATGACATAAATTAGGATTGATTAATGTATTCAATTGTTTTTGGTCACTTACTGTTTCACCGGAAATGACTTTAACGTTTGATTTTTAAATGGCACTCTCGGTATTTCTTTATTATTCGGTAGAAAATGACACTCTGAATAGAATGACATATCATATGTGAACTTCTGATATTTTCGCATATGGTTTACTTGAAATTGTAACATCCAGTTTATAACGACAACATGACTCGAAAAACCAAGTGTGTGGTACCAAATTATTTGTAAAAAATGCTTTTTCCAAATATGCTAATGAGCCACTTGTTCCATTTGAAAAAAATTAGATATGACTAAAAATACGATTTGGGCATCTTCTAATGAAAAACCGTCATCAGAATAGGCTTGAAAATGAAAGCACAATATTAAATGTCAAATGATAGGGAGAATGTCATAGATCATTCTTTTTCAAGCCAACTAGACGCCTTTTTTAAAGAAAGCGTCTGTTCTTCTCAAGAGACCTGGATTAAATTAAAAAGAAGAAGAAAAAAGACTCACAAAATCTCGGTCTCAACGTTTATATTAAGTTAAATAGTGACACGTATTTCGCTCATATGAGCATCATCAGACAAATATAATTAAAGTCACACGTTCACATTTTACACATTAAAACAACACAAACAGTGTTGTTTTAATGTGTAAAATGTGAACGTGTGTATTTTCTTCTTCTTTTTAATAGACGCCTTTTTTCGATCACTCTTATAAAAGTTTTCTCAGTCATACAATATTTAATTTTATACAAGGATGATGCTCGCCGCCCTCTCCGTAACGCAGATAACATAATGTTGCGGGAACGACGTTTAAATATAGCTCCCGCTATAAAGAAGCAACCATTTGGACGTCCGAGCACAGGACAACCGTACGATACTCATATACCGAATGACGGAAGATCGCCGGCACCACCGTCCCATCAAGCCGCTATGCAACCTCCTATGCCGCCGATCTTTTTTGGGGCGGCCCCGCCCTTCTACGCCGGTGCGACCGCTTATTACGCACCACCAGTGCCATCTATGGTCAGTTCTGCACAAGCGCCCGTGCAAGTCTCTCAAGCTAACCAAGATCAGCCGACTCAACAAGCAACTGTGTACCAAGGTATTGTGTATTTTGTTTTTAAGATAAATAGGCATATGTCAGAATTACAAAATATAACTTTTAAAAATACGAGCCCTAACAACTATATGTTGGGACAAGGTAATATTTTGGAATTATTGCCCTGGTTTTTCAAAATGACTGAAAAATATATGTTTAATTTTTTAAATATAAACATAGCCATATATCCTAAACAACTTGACAATATTTTTATGAATTTGTAAATCAATCCATATTTACAGTAGAGGATTTTGTTCATAAAAGGACAAATTTGCTGACAACTAAATGTTGGAACAAGTATTTTTAAATAATTAATATCATCATAGGCGGCTTTGCTGTAAACGTCACAAATGTCGCAAACTGTTTACTTCAGCATTGACAGCTTGTAAGTGACTCGATACTTTGAGTAGTGAGATTTACTGTAAGTAATTTTAATTTTTTTAATTTTCAATTTTGTTAATTATTTAATTCAAAGTAATGGTCCGTGGAAAAGCTACAAATCAAAAACTACACGAAATTATCATTCGTCAATAGTAAGTACGGGAAAAACAATTCGAAAAATTTCTGATGATCTAAGTATTCCAAAAACCACGGTCTTTAATATAATAAAAAAATACGGCGCATCTGCCAATGTAGACGTTAGAGGTAAAAGTTCGAGAAGGCCAAAAGTTGTATCTCAAAGAGATTTACGAAATTTAGTAAAAATTTGCCAGTCTGCGAGAAGAAGTACTCTTCGCGAAGTGACAGTTAAATGGAATACTGTAACTGGTTTAAATATATCAAGAGAATGTTGCCGAAAATATATCCACAAATGCGGTCTGGGGTTTTACAAGGCAAACTTTATTTTGTGTGGATAATCAATTACCTGAAGATTATTGATTCAAATTCTTATTTAGGCCAAAGAATAACCGCTACTGACAGAAATTCAAAAGAAAAATCGCTACAATTGGGCAAAATCTAAATTATCGTGGACACAAAATAACTGGAATAAGGTCATATTTACAGATGAGTCTAAATTTGATGTTTGCGTTGGAGATCATCGAAAACGAAAAATACGAAATAAAGCAGAAGCCTCTCATAAAGATTGCTTAAAGAGGGTTGTTAAATTTCCTAAGGGGATTATGGTTTGGGGTTGCATGTCAGCAAGAGGTTTGGGCAAATTAAATTTTATAGATGGCACTGTTAACGCCCAAAGATATCAACATATACTTGAGACCTCACTTTTGCCTAGTGCTCAAGATTTGTTTCCAAACGAAGACTATATTTTCCAACAAGATGGAGCATCGTGCCATTCAGCAAAATCAACTAAAAATTGGTTCGGTAATAATAATATAAAAGTTCTATCCCATCCTGCAAGTAGTCCGGACCTCAATGTGATAGAAACTGTGTGGCATAAAATGAAGTTATATTTAAGAAACCACTCTCAACGAACAATTTTTGATTTGCGGGCAAAACTACAGGAAATTTGGGATAATTTTTCTCCTCAAATGTGCCAATCTTTGGTAAATACAATGCCATTAAGAGTTCAGGCAGTTGTTAAGGCGAAAGGTGATGTAACTCCGTATTAAACAAATTTCTTGTTGTGCTGTCCCAATATATAGTTGTCAGCAAATTTGGCATGATTTTGGCAAAATAAGTTATTATCAAAAGTGATTTGTTTGCAAAGTTATAAAAATATAGTAAAATTGTCTAGATCATATTGTAATGTTTGAATTTAGAACAGTAAACAAAATAAATTGAGCCGTTTTAACAAATTACTATTTTTTATTGCAAACAAGACCTTGTCCCAACATATAGTTGTTAGGGCCCGTAATACAGAATACTGACTCCATTAAAGTATGTATTAAAAGGTAATAACTTTTAATTAATTTTGTTTTTATTTAAGTTATCTATAAAAAAAGAACTATTTCTCGCTTTCAAACTTCAAGAAACTTTCTGCATTTATTATTATATTTCTCAATACTTATGTACAAATAACAAGTTTTAATATTGCACAGAAATAAATAAAACCCCACATAAATATTTTATTAATAATTTCAGTAATTTATAATCACTTACTGAATTTTATACTTTAAAAGTTGGTGACTAATACAACTTTATGGGTATACACTTAGTTTGCCGTCAATTTTTCCTCCATTTAACTTTGAAAAACACATAATAACAGTAACCAAATACAAAATCAATATCGCAGATATTTATAATTTTTCAGAACGCTGGTTGACGTAATTTTAAACTAAAGCTAAAACAACTAAATTCTTAAGGTTCATTCATAACCTCGCAATTAGTGGTTTCAATTATATTTTATACTTTTTAAGCTTCATTCAGACCCTCCCAGTTAGTGGAATAAATTAGTGGTTTCAATTAAACTTTATACTTTTTAGTTTACAATCATTCACAATGTCTAAAAACACAATTAAAATTAATAAAACTTCCTAGCAACAGCTTGCGGTAGTCTGATGTATCCATAGAGAACGCATAATATTTAGCATATAAAACAATAAACTTTTGATTTCTAACCAAAATTTTTCTTGACGGGTGATAATCAAAGGCCAAAATGACATTCCTCACAAATTTTGAAGTATAATTAGTGGAAAAGTCAAAAGTTTGTAACTTTTTCCAATAATTGAAAATTACTACCACTATTTATGACGGTCTGAATGCTTTTATTGAAATTAGGTGAACAAACTTCTACGGCTAATTGAAACTACTAATTTATTCCACTGATTTCGAGGTTCAGAATGAAGCTTCATTCAGAACCTCGCAATTAGTGGTTTTAATTACACTTTATACTTTTTAGTTTATGATCATTCACAATGTCTAAAAACACAATTAAAATTAATAGAATATTCTAGCAACAGCTACCCCAGTCAGTTGTATCCATAGAGAAAGCCAAATATTTGGCATAAAACAATAAACTTTCGATTTTTATTGAATGATTTTTTGTTTGTAGCTCCTCCTGTATATCCCACACAGACTGGTCCACCTCAGACTGCTCCATATGCTTCAATGATGTTTCCTCAGACCATTTATATGCCCCAACAGTACTCAGTGGTTCCGGTAAGTTATTAACTAAGTTATTTCCTCTTATTAGTTATTATATCACCTTAAAAACATAGATGTTGATATTAATGATATACTAATTTGCTAATTGTATTAATAAAATGTCATTAATTATGAAGTTATTAGAATAAGTGTTACTTGTTTTTAATTATATTAAGTAACATTTACTAGCATCATTTTCCTTAGCTACTTTTTTTCATCTACACCAGGCACATGCGGATATAATAAAAAAAAATGATCTAAAAAAACAAGGGACAAAGACGGCTGGGGAACGACAATGGATGATTTTGGCGAGGTCAAGCCCTAGACGCCATTTACTTGGCTCTTGCTCTTCTTTAAGAAGGTTGTAATTTATTTTTATATTGAGTTTTAAATGGCCTAGTTGAAAATTCGAGGAAAAAATATTTTTTTGAAAATAGTTTCGTGTGTCTGGAACCTTTTTTTATCTTTCACTAATTAGTTTTAATTTTTGAAGTTTTATGTCACTTTTTAGTAAATGACGTTTAGAGTTCGCCAAAATTATAATTGATTGTCATTCCCCAGCCGTCTTTGATGCAGCTTTTTGCTCAATCTTATGATTACTTTATAGCAAAAATGTTTTCTTTAAAATATATTGTGTTTGGTAATATTTATTTCTGGCAACATTAGTATTAACTAGATTATATCTATTTCTCAATATATGGTATGTCTTGAAAGGCATTTATTATTTTTACAGTTTACAGGATAATTTTTTTATATGACCAGAAGAGTAGTCTGTCACTTTTAATAATGCAGATATAAGGTGTCTACTTTCAACTGCTTGCTTAGATTTCAACTGCTGATTAACATTTTGAAAGTGGATATGTTGTCCATTTGGTTACTGGGAATGCCAAATAAAGGTTGATTCTTACTATACATTCCGTTTCCGTCCCATGTCCGTTCCGTATTAGTACGAGAGCTAGCAACGTCGGAAAAACAAGTATTTTAAGACGTCTGGCTCTTTGATATATCTTTTACTATGCTCTCTAGAATAGCATGCGTCTGGCTGCCGGTAAGCGTTGCGTTCCCTACTGCGCATTGAAAGAAGATTCTATATTTTTATTAGTCCTTTAAATTCTAGTATTGAATATAAATCGAACATGTCTCCATAGCGCAGTGCGTAGAGTTTCCGATCACGAACTGATGATTCAGAGTTCGAATCCGGGTCAGAGCAAATACTTTTTTATTTTATTTTCGTTTATATTCTGATAGTAAAGTATTAAATATTTGTTTTTTTAATTACCAGAATTATTTAATACTTTACTATCAGAATATAAACAAAAATAAAATAAAAAAGTCTTTTGACCTGACCCGGATTCGAACCCTGAATCATCGGTTCGTGGTCGGAAACTCTACGCACTGCGCTATGGAGACATGTTCGATTTATATTCAATACTAGAATTTATAGGAGTAAATTAATAAAAAATATAGAATCTTCTTCCGATGCGCAGTAGTGAACGCAACGGGTATCGGCAGCCAGACGGGCCGCATGCTGTTCCAGAGAGCATAGTAAAAGATATATCAAAGAGCCAGACGTCTTAAAATACTTTCTCGAAAATGTTGCTATAGTCTGTGAAACAAATAACTTTGAATTTGACAGTTCCCGCGGGCTTTTCTAGTGTTAATTTTATTAGGTTAGCAACTTGCGGCCATGCTGACGCAATGCCGTCTCTAAAGGTGCGTATTCATTATCCGAACGAACGAACGAATGAAAGTGCGGTATATTTAGACGGGGACCGAACGCATGCGGCCGTTCGTTCGCTCGACCATCCGTTTCGAGTCGGTACATCAAAGGCGTTCGCCAACAAATGCCTCCGGTCTTCTCGTGCGGTTCTATCGTACGGTCCCCGTCCATACCACTAGCGAATATTCGTTCGTTCGTTCGTGCGGATAATGAATACGCACCTTAATAAAACAGCCTCGGAGCGAGATTTATTACGTCACGCTAGCTAGATACTACTGATTAATAAATATGTTGTAGAATACATGAAAAAGATAATTATTCCTCGCATTTTTGGTTTGTATTTTAAAAATGATATAGTTTACATGAAATATAGGGCAATTCCATGTACGACGTTAATTTTCTTATATATTTTAAGTGATTAAATTACTGAAAAAACTCTCATCATACGCCTCAAAAAGAATCAAATTTCTTAAAAAATTATCTTATATTATCTAAGTTAGCCAGATTTCGCGAAAAAAATTAGGGATAAATTATTAGAACTAGTTTGCAAAAAATCTTTAATAATTGCATTTTATATGAAGAGTTGCTATGGAAAAACAAAAGAACGCTAGCTCTGGGCCTGGTGCGCGTCATTTACTGTTGTCAAGCGTTTGTGTACTGGTGTATTTTTGTGCCAAATGTAAGTAAAAATTAATTTAATTTAATTACAAATATAGCTCAACTTTTTGTCCCGTGAGTAACCAAAAAAGAAAAGTTTTTAAATTTTTATCGTTATTTCTATAGAAAACCCGTATAAAGGGAATCAAACTTATAGTATATTGACTAACATGTATTGTCAATATAACTTAGTTTTTTAAGATTCTTGGAAATATTTTTTTTTTTAATTTGTTTAAACTGTCCCATGAGTAATCAGTTAAAAGTTACAGCATAACATTTTGCTGTTAACATGCTTTTTTAAAGAAATGCGTTTATTATTTTACCAAATATATCAAAAAACATAATTTTACTAACATTACAAGACTTATCGCCAGTTATATTTCTTATTACTTAATATCGTCTTTTTTTTTTAAATAATTGTTGAAAACATCAATACAAAATAACGGTCATAGGTTCTTTTTATTTAAGGATGGCAAAAATTAAGAATCATGACAGGCAGGCACGAGTTAGGAGTCGCGTTAACAAGTATCGAGACAAAATTAATGCGGACAAAAATTTAAGGCAAGCGTATCTTAAAAAATATGCCGAGAATTAAAAAATTAAAAATTGAAAATTAATATAATTGAAAATTAAAAATTATAAATTAATAGAATTGAAAATTAATATAATCCTAATAAATTCCGATGAAATTGAAGCAGCTAAAATTAAATTAGATGAAAAATGGAATCTAGTTAAAAGAGTACCAAATACAACAAGTTTTCATAGTTTTAGGAATTTTAGTAATTATCAAATTGAGGTTAGAAAGGTGTTTAATTCCAAGCACTCAAATATTGTTCAATGTTATTCTATTTAGTTATCAAATATTATGTTATTTTTTTGAATCTAAATAAAAATTTATATTAAAATCGTAGTGTCCCGTGAGTAATCAACAAATTATTTATATCCCAAATATATCTGTATCTTGTAATACAGCTATAACAAATTAATTTTAAGTTCAGCACATGAAAGTTCCTAATTCCACTTAATGTATTTTATTTTGTATAGGTTCAGAGAAAAAAGCTATTAAAAACAAAATTTTAAAGATCCAAATTTTTTGATGTCCCGTGAGTAATCATAGATTTTTATTAATGTTTTAATCACTATAAATTTCAATATCTTGTTCTGTTTCACAACAGTAATTTAAATCATTGTCTGTGAAAATAATAACCTAAAACTTTACCTAGCCCATATGAAGGACAAAATACACTTTCTTAAAATTTTGTTGTTATTCTAAATGTCCCGTGAGTAATCATGGAATTGCCCTATACATAATATACAGTTAATAAATAGAATATATCGTGGGCGTACAGCGAAAATCCACTAAGTCACATTTTTGGTTGAATTGGATTAAACACACCACTATGTTCAGTTTTTCACGGTCTTTAACATGAAAAACCCATTAAGTCCAATTTCGGCATCCTTATAATATAATATAATATAAAGACCGTGAAAAACTGGACATAGTGGTGTGTTTAATCCAATTCAACCAAAAATGTGACTTAGTGGATTTTCGCTGTACGCCCACGATATATACTTATTTATAGTAATAAATACTTTGGCAAATAAACTATGAACCATACAAATGCAGCAAATGCAGCAAAAATTGTACAACATATTTTTTAATCCGTAGTATCTACTAGTGTGACGTCATAAATCTCACTCCGAGGCTGTTCTCTTAGAGACGGCATTGGTCTGATATTTAGAAATGTCAAAAGCTGATGACATTTTACTTTTGACAATTATGACATTTCGTGTTGATTTTTGTAAGAAGAGAACTGTCACTTGTTTTATTATTTTCCTTTTCTATTTCACGAAAGTAAAAAGAGTTACCTATCTGATCCGTTCAGGCACTCAATTTAAAGAATATCAGTAACTTTTTTGACAGAGGGATTTTATATTTGCCATGTTGGTAAAAAATAACGGTCAAAATTCAAAGTTATTTATTTTATAGACTATAGCTCTAGATTATATAATTTGATTGTATTCACACTATAAAACGTAACCATGGAAATGGCACCAAAACAGAATGTATAGTGTGCATTGTCCTAGTCATTTATATGGTATAATATTTTATGTAAACGGGAAGTAGCGAATGTGGAACGTATAGTGGGAATTGATATATAGAAAAAACAGCTTTTACAGTTTTCCGAGACCTATAATTTAAACGGCAGTCTTTGGTCTGTATAGATTGTTCACGACTACTTTATCCAGTACGTATAGGGTTTTTAGAAAAGTTTAATATATGAAGGTTTTAGGGTTTTATCAGCCACACTTGCAGCAGGGCCGTGGTCAGCCAGATTTTGCTATACGTTAAGTCCTTGATTCGCGGGTTATAATTAGCGATGGGATGGATATTGAATGAAATAGACTATCGAATGATTACTAAATAAATAAGTGATTCCAACTATTGGATGTTTTTATTCAAATAAAAACATTCTTTTATTTAAGCAGGTGGCAACATTAGGGTCCCGTGGGACCCACTCTTCTCACGCATTATCAAATAATGCGAATGAGCGTTTTGATAGCTTTTATTCGATAGTTCCCATTATTAGTTGTAATACTTAGTAGACACCTTATAAGAGCTGCCCCTATAGTTAGAGTATTGTATGTATTGTCTTTGTCCTTGCACAACAGTCCGCTCAGGCCCTCGGGGGCCCTTTGGAGTGCGCCGTTGCGGGTTTGTATCCCCCGCCGCCTCAAGCCTACGTGCTGTTGGACGCTGGCGCGGCGCCCCAGCTCCAGTATTGAGGTTCGGCTTTACCATTTTATATAAATTAGCCTGCCTTTAGCGACGCACGAGTTTTTGTTTCAACCAATTATTTTGATTATATGTTTTGGATCATACGACAAAAAAAAACGGCGTCGGGATGGATTGGAAATGAAGATCGCTGTCATTTTGTATGTAAAATTATATGGGAAATATCGCCGATCGTCATTTCCAAGCCAACTGGACGACATTTTTTTTATGGTCGCACGGTATATTAAGGTGAATTTATATTAATTTAAATTCATAGGATACGGTTCCAACTTTTATAACACAGTTCTCTGTGAGTTTCGTTAAGTTAATCGACTTATATGCATTAAACTAGAAAGGTTTGTGGTAACTAGGTACACGTTAGTAACTGAAGTAACCCATGTGAAGCATCTAAAAGTATCTTCTGCATCTATGCCTCAACTTTTGTATACGAATATCGTATACTATATTTATACTTCAGACGTTATTGTTCTCAAAAAATGATTAATATAGCTAACATGAAAAAAAAACTTAAGCTATTATATCTCAAACCAATTTTCCTGTACGTGACACATTTACTTCTCGTTATCATAGATGCATACTTGCGTCATTCATTAGGTTACTTGTTTTTTTTTATTACCGATTCGGAACCATCCTAGAAGTGTGATACGCCTGCGCAGAAATAAGTATGCAGTAATTCTTTCACCTGCGCAGGCGCTTTAAAATTCTAGGACGCTTCAGAATCAGTAATGGAAAAACCCGAAGTAAACTTATATTTCAACATTAAAAATGAATTTATAGAATAAAATGCCTTATCTTTTCAGAAGCAACAGTAAGTGTTGGCTGTTTGCATATAATTTGTACTCCGTTTTTTTCTGACCGTGAAAACAATGCCACAGAAAAAAATCTGCATTTTATTATTATGAAAGCTTCATTCAGAACCTCGCAATTAGTGGAATAAATTAATAGTTTCAATTAGCGTAGAAGTTTGTTACTTTAATTTCAATGTAAGCATTCAGAACGTCAAAATTAGTGGTAGACATTTTCAGTTAGTAGAAAAAGTTATCAAACTTTTAACTTTCCCACTAATTATACTTCAAATTTTGCGAGAAATGTCATTTCGGCCTTTTATCTTCCGTCAAGAGAAATTGTGTTTTTTTAAATATTGTAAATGATCGTAAACTAAAAAGTATAAAGTGTAATTGAAACCATTAATTTATTCCACTAATTGCGAGGTTCCGAATGAAGCTCAAAATATGACATAGGTATACACTTAAAATTTCGTCCACGAAAATATTGCTTGGGTCGCTTCTGTATAACTAAGTATATGTACTTCCATTTCCAGATTGCTAATACAGACATATAAATAACACTAAATATATTATTGGGTAACTTCACATGGGATGTCATTTATTTGACGTTTTATGAAATATTAGGTTTTGTAGTCAGAAGTTCTAAAGAGTTTTTAATATTTGTTGGGTATAAATTCATCCTATAATATTTAAGATATGTTATATAAATATTTTTTATTTTTATTTAGTAGCGGTTTTTTTTTATTTATTGCCTTGCTATTGCTACAAGAATTTAAATATTGGAAAATTTTTTAAAATTTTTATTTAATAGGTTTATACCTACTTTTGTATTCACATACTTTGGTTAGTTTTAGTTATTAGATTATTTAAAAGTATAAACCTTTCTCTTCATTGTCCATGTCATTGATTACTGTATTATATTTATATATTCTAATGTACGTATTTTTAATACATGTGATACATAAACTTTACATTTAATATTTTTTGTAAAAATAAATTTATTTGTGATTTAAAAAATTATACTATTAGTGATAATAAATATTGCAGAATAGAAAATATATTAAGGTCATTGAAATGCGGTTGCGTTAAAAATAATTGTTAAGAAAATATTTGCATTAAAAGAACCATGTTCATTTTTTTTCGCTTTGGCATGAACTAGTAATAAGTAATTTTATTTTGTCGTTATACGAGATAAGTTTGCTTCATTTTTAAATATAAAAAATAGGTCAGTTTAGTAATATATTGATCAATATAGGTATAGATTACAGAGACATAGATGCAAATAATTATACAATATCTGTGCTAACAGTTGTACATATAAGTAAAGTGGTAAATCTGTTTTATTTTTGCATGTTGTGTGTAACATTTTTGCCTGTATGTGTTTTCTCTCACTACAGTGACTGCCAATAATTTCACAACGAATGATGATTAAAAAAAAATATTAAATTTGTCGAAAATGAATTAATGCGGAATCAATTCAGCATGCTAAATAACAAAAAAAATTAGTATATAGAATGTTCAGCCATAGCTCAACGTCACGTCATATATTGTCGAACTCTCTCAATCGCTTGACAACCAGTTGAAAGAGATTGGTGACGTCATTACGGAATTTCGTAAATGACTGCATATTCTTTTTAGTAATTGTCATTGTCATTTGATTTGGGGTTATAATTTTATTGACGGACATGATCAATATCAAAATTAAAAATTGAGTGTTGCTGTCAAACAAAATTCGATTTTTTTATTGCAAAAATGCCTCAAAGATTTAAACAAAATGAACAAGAGCTCATTGCTAGGCTTATAAATTATTTTTTCTCGAGAAAGAGACACTGGTAGAACATTCTTGACGTCCTATACGAAGTAAGTACAATGCAAATGTGTAATATTCCTATGTAAAATACAAATTGATAGCGTTTTTAAATAATATTTAGTGTTGGGAAAAGCCGATTAATTTCAATAATCGAGTACTCGAGTTCCAAGCGATTGCAATAACCGAGCGATCGCTCGAGCGAAATATCGCTCTTATTTAAAAATACGGTTTTTCGTCCTGGCTTGTTGTAAGTACTCGTTAACGCCAAGCGCCAAGCAGTTAGTTGCGTGCACAGGGCACACATTCTTTCGGAGATGAATGGCAAGTAGCAAGCGACGAGCGATTCGCTGGATCGCTTGATTTAGTTTATTTCAAACCATTGTTGATGTAGGTCGTAAAATTTTGTCCCTCAGATACGCAACGGATAACGTCGTATAAATTTACTACCTGCAATCTATGTAGAAAACTCGCTCGGCTTGATAATGATGAAATGATATGTAGATTAAAAACTAGTGATGGGAAAAACCGATTAATTTCAATAATCGAGTACTCGAGCTTCAAGCGATTTCAATAATCGAGCGATCGCTCGAGCGAAATATCGCTCGTATTTAAAAATACGGGTTTTCGCCCGTCGCTTGTTGTACTCGTAACGCCAAGCAGTAAGTTGGTTATGAAAATCATTTCGGTTATGAATGGCAAGTAGCAAGCGACGAGCGATTCGCTTGATTTAGTTTATTTCAAAGCATGTCGATGTAGGTCGTAAAATTTTGTCATTCAAATACGCAACGGATAACGTCGTATAAATTTGCTACTTGCAATGTATGTAGAAAATTTGTTCGGCTTTTTATCGAGTATGTCACATTAACATCGGATTTCAATTTATTTCATTCTAGGATCGCTTGCGTTCGTCGCTCGTAACTCGTCACTTGCATCGCTCGGTCATAATCGGGTACTCGAGCGAATTTCGCTCGAGTTATCCTATCACTAAATAATATAGCGAGTTGCTGATGCTTTAGAAATAGGAATTTCAATAGTCCAAAGGATTGGAGCTAAGGGGATCGTAACTGATGAGTTCAAAATAAAATAAATTCCAAAAAAAAGGGAACTCGCTCAATCAGTAAGATAGAAACGTACAGAAAATTTCCTAAACAATATGAACTGATTTCGGACAAGCCCTCAAACTCATATTTGACAAAATAATCATGACGTAACGTTGAACGATGGCCGAACAGTTTATATATTTCAAAAATCACTATATAAAATATGTCATTAATATATTTTTGGAATAGAAAATTATGGCAAATCCGCTTGAAAATGTGATTGAATCACCTTGTGTATTGAAAAAAAGTTAAATGTGTACATATCTTATAAAAAAGTTTAGAGTGTAAATCTCAAACCAGAACTCTCAAACGAAAAAAAGAAAATCTCAAACCAGAAACAGATTTTTATTTAACAGGTATCAAATTTGCTGTAATTTTTCAGAAAAAATTGTCCAAAAATTGATATCTGGTTTGAGTTAAATCTTAATATCTTAAAATCGAATTCTAATCAACTTCTGTGATATTTTTTTTTGAAATCTTGTCATTAATCTTGATACATATGTAAAGATTAATTTTCCTTCAGGCTGATGACAATTAAATATTTTTAATCTTATTGGGCATGCGGTATTGATTCAACATTTGTTAATTTTGATAACACAGTTATAAAGTAATAAAAAAATCTCAATTGTTGTGAACTTTTTGACGGTTACTCTATAAAAATTCTCCAGTACCTATGTAGAAACATTTAATTTCAGTATGATTATCCGTACGGAGTGGGAGCCGGCCCTACGCCATCGAACGGCATACCCGCCCATTTTGCCAACGCCGGCACACCATCGGGGGGTGGCGCTTCGCCCCCTCGGGGCCCCTGCTACGCTCCGGGCCCCGCTCCTCAAGAAGCGACCATATTATACGGACCAGCCCCGCCTCACCCGCTGTTCCATCCGGCTGCGATGGATCCGACTGGAGCAGGGGGTCCGCTCTACGCCACCGCCGATGGGGCTTTTGATCCCATGGGCCACGCAACCATTGCTCACTTCGGCTCCATGGGGATGCCGTACGGAATGAACGAGGTTAGTTTGATTTGCCACGTAGTTAAAGGTATTTGTGATTCTGCATGTCGGTTATGAATTGTGAAATTAGAATTATTCGATTAAGTAATCGGTAGTAGCATATTTAAACACCACGTTAAAATATTGACAGCGACATTAAGACAGTGCATGTTTGAATAAATTAATGTCGGTGCTAATATTGATCTTTCTCCCTCCCAATCCACTTTGGATAGACCAGTCAAATTCAGTTTAAAAATAAAGGGTTTCATTTTGGAATAAAAATTAATAAGTATAATAATAATTGTAATTTTAGTCATAAGCACAATCACAATTTTAATATGCGTTTATACAGCATAGTCGTAATCATAACTTTGAATGAAAATACATTTGAACAATAACCTAATATTAAAAACCTAATTTTAGAAGTATATTTTTGTTTAAATTTTATTACCCAGGTTTTTCAAACACGAAAATTATCATAATAATTATTAAACATGAAAATGGAAAAAATAAATAAATAATGTCCTCTAACCCTAAAATTGACCCCGCGCATCGCGCATGCGATCTTCGATTTTTTTCGTAATCACAGTTGTCAAACTCTTGCCTAATTATAGATTATAATTTTGTGTCAAATTATGTCAAATAGAAATGATAAATGTTTTGCATTTTGCATTTTGGACTATGTTATTACGTGTTTCGTGTTTTTTACAATTAAGTGGAGGAAAACTCAAAGGTGAAATTAAGTGTTGACCCAGACCATAGTTTACAGTTAACATTCGATGCCCAGAGATTATGGCCAGAGAGTGTATTAGCCACGAATAAAGTTTGTACACTATCTTGTATATGATAGCAAAAACTGGAGTAGCTGTAAAATAGGAGCACACGATAGATAAATAATAATCATATTGAATAATTATATTGATAAATGTAACAATAAATGCAGGAAGTTGCTTGAGCTTGAAACGCAGCTTGAAAGCAGGATATCTTTTTTTGGTACAGTACGTCTGTCCGTTCTGTAGCTACGGGGTATCCGTGAGAGGGGAAACGATATTCTCTCGATGTTTTTCGTAAAAAAATAGACGACGCGTCCCATCAATAAAAATTCGACAAATTTGCAAGTTGCCAATAAAATGAGTGGGCGGAAATGAATCAAATCGACGTATAAAATATATTGCTGTTTATTTAAATGTTTTTTGTCCGCATTCCTTTCATAGACACAGATTCAGCAGATGTACTGTATGTGGTGTTTTTTTAAAATACACCCTTACTTATTTTGTATTAACACACACTGTAATTGTTTTTAATAAAATAACTCGATTAGATTTTTTCAATTTTTTACAGTTTTTTTTTCATAATATTTTTAAGTAATCACTTGTCACTCAAATTTTAAATATATTAATTTTCTGCTATGCGTTCCAATTGTACCAACGTATTTCTTTATAAAATAAAATAAACTACTTTGAAAATAAAATAACAGACACATATATCAAGTCATACACATATGTCAAGAATCTTGTCGTTGGACAGACTATACTATACTTGTAATGATTATGTTTTGTAGGTTTACTAATAAATGTTTTTAATGAAACTGTGAACGCCTAACAAACTAAAAAATGTTTTCAAAATACACTCAGATATGAGGCAGTGTAGATCTTCAAGGGTACTTTAGGAAACCTACGGTTATATTTAGACACAGGTATATTAATTTGGCCAGAGTCTTCAAAAAGTCCACTGTTTGACATAATGACAAAAATCAAAACTCTAATAGCTGCACAAAACGCCTAAAACAACTCGCGTCTGTTAAATGCATTAATTAAAATACTGGCCGTGCTTCAGACCGAACTCAACTTGAAACAAAAAAGAATTACTCAACAACTTAACAAAAGAAAAAGTACTTAAATTACACCTAAAAATTTAAAATTCATTTACCGATTAAAATACATTATCTAATAAAGGAGGGTCCACATTTAGTAACATGTTATATAACATTGCTATTTATTAAATAGCTATTAAAAATTATTATTATTGCTATTAAAAAAGGCTGTACTTAAACTGCCGTTAAACGGTAGCTTACTAAAATGCCGTTAATAGGTATGACGTCGTTGATTTGACGCACTTGACGGCTTTATGAAATATAGGAATTTTATAAGGACTAACCAACACTATCCACCCTACCAAATAACCAACTTAACCAACGCAACTAACCTCGACACTGATAAAAAAATTTAAAAAACAAATATAAATTAGTAAAAACCAACCAACCAATGAATTATCACCCTCCAAATAATCACGCTAACCAACCCGCCAAATAACTAAACCAATCCAACCAAAAAGAGTGAAACCAATGCAATAAGATCACGCTATAAGCAAAAAAAAATATAAAAAAGTCTTGATCAGCGTGAGATTTGAACTCCGGACCATGCGCTCACGAACCGATAGCCTCAACCACGGAGCCACAGGTACTCTTGCAATATGCTTATGGCTAGGCATTACTTTCCGCCGACATGAACGACGTCACAATATCTATTAACGGCATTTTAGTAGGCTACCGTTTAACGGCTGTTTAAGTACATCGATTAACAAAACAAGCTACATATCACATGTTAAAATACCGGGAGCCGTCCACATTATAATTTTTGTAATCATGAATCGTTTTGGCGAGAAAGAGGTTCAGCTCGCAGCAGCGGCGTGCGTAATTATTTTTGAACAAAGAGAAAGAAAGTCGAGAAAAAAGGCGGTTTTGAGTCCACCATAGCCTACCAGCAAGATCTAGATACAGTTGAACTCAATTAGCTTATCTTTTCAATACTTGCCTCGGCTGTTTCTCGTGGTGTGTTTCTGTCTTTTAAAAACATTAATAACTTAAAAGCAAACCATTTTGAATTATCCACTTGATCTAAACCATGCAGTACCTCATTTGCATTTCTTTTGTTCCCTCTGGAACTGGCCTATTAGATAACGCATTTTTTCTCAACTTTTTCTCTTTCCAAATACATACTATGAAATGAAGATCGCTGTCATTTTATATGGAAAATTATATGGGGAATGTCATCGATCGTCATGTCCAAGCCAACAGCCAACTGGACGGGAGGCCGACTGGACGCAGTTTTTTTTCGATCATACAGTATTATTGACCAGTAAATAAACAAACCAATATCAGCTCATCACACTAAGATTCTGTCGCGCACGTCCCTGAAAATATGAGCGGCTAAACTAGAAATTTAGCAAATGTGGACGCGTTGTTTCATGTTACAATAGCAGTGTTGCACAACATCTTTTGATCTTTACCGACTACAAATGGATAACATCTAGCCAGTTAAGGACGGTCCACACTTGCTATATAACACTGCTATATAGCAAAGTTATATAACATGTTACATGTTTTTAGTCATATTTAGCAAATTTCGCTGCTATATAACTTGCTAGATGTTATCCATTTGTAGTCGGTAAAAATCAAAAGATGTTGTACAACACTGCTATTGTAACATGAAACAATGCGTCCAGGGGCGCTATTCTGTACACGGCAACGACAATCGTCGGTATCGGTAAGTTAGGACAGCTCTCGATACGTATTTGTATATAGTAAAAATGTGTTAATTATTGTTGTCATAGTTACCGATCGGCCCTATAACAGATATCGCAAATTTGCACCTTAATTGATTACGAAAAAAAAATTCATGGAAACTATATGGCTCACGGTTTTTTAACATGTTATATGTAGCTTGTTAAATAGCAATGTTATATAACATGTTACTAAATGTGGACCCTCATTTATATAGCATCGAAATTTGCTAAATATGACTAAAAAATATGTAACATGTTATATAACTTTGCTATATAGCAGTGTTATATAGCAAGTGTGGACCGTCCTTAAGAATCTCCGCAGTTTGTTTTTATAATCATCCTGATTCAGTAGCGCATCTAGAGATTTAGTCTGGAAGGGTTGTGGGTAATATTTAAATAGGGTACTAGATTTATATTAAATTTTTGCCGAAATATATTGTGACTGCGGAAAAATCTAAACTTGGATTGGGCTGATTGATCTATTTTAATTGGCTTTATTAATTTCTTTTATGGCAATTCTATTTATACAACATTTTATCTTATTTATAAATTTCTTTCTGGGAGGAGTAATTACTCCCATTACCCCTCCCGTTTATGTATCCTTGTCCTGATCCAAAGTTGGTACAAGTTTAGAAATCATCTTATTAAAACATTTATGCCTATGTATGACGGTGCAATTAAATGGAGTTATCAAGTTATTTCCCTGGACGGCTGGTTGTTATCAGGTTCTTTCCCTGTATGTATATTTTGACTAGGCATATATTAAAGGATTTAACAACTCTGCAGAGTTTATGCATTTTGTAGGGACCAATTAGAACTATTATAATGTGGTAAACCCTAAAAATTAAAAAAATGGTGCTTATCATGTTTTCCCCTGGACCCTTCATTTATGATTGTGACTAAAATTGCGATTATGATTACGACTATGTTGTATAAACTATTCATGATTACGACTATGTTGTATAAATATAATATAATATTCTAATATAGGTGTATACAAGTTTGTACCTTAGTTAACTATCATACTTTTTTTTATCTTATGCGACTGTTCTATTCATCCAATAGTTGGTTTCTTATATTGCAAAACAAGGTGTCTTATACGCATTCTAAAATACGAAGTTTCTATGTGATATATGAAATAAATAAGATATTAATTTGTTAATATACATTAATTGTTTATCTGAAGTTCTTATTTTTAAATTAAATTTAAATTCTAATTAATTCGAAGATATTTAATTTTAGTTAATATTATTTGGTCTATTAGAACATAACGGACTAAAGCTTCATTCAGAACCTCGCAATTAGTGGAATAAATTAGTGGTTTCAGTTAGCGTAGAAGTTTCTTCCTATTTTTTCAAAGTAAGCATGCAAAACGTCAAAATTAGTGGTAGTCTTTTTCAATTAGTAGGAAAAGTTAAACTTTTGACTTTTCCACTAATTATACTTCAAAATTTGTG